AAACCATCGAATAGAATAGAAAAGGTTTGCAAGGGTTAGATGGACGAAATATTTGAACAAAAGGCTTGACTCATGGAGAAATGTATTCTTTCGTCTTTTTTCGGTTGAGATGTATACAAAAAGTGCAAACTTTATTTTTGAACTTTTTTGAATGAATAGGTTATTCTGATTGAAAAATGAAAGATAATGCAATTGTTCAGTTATATTTTTATAGAAAGGCCGCTAGAAAAGGCTCTGAAAAAAAGAAAAAAAATAATGTGGTTCTCGAGTTTTTAGGATGGTTCCAAGCTCTCACACTTCTGCAGAATATGATCAATAATTATTTTTAAATGATTATAAACTGGCATTAGAAAAAGATAATTTTTTCTCAGGACTACCGAAAATTTTGCCAGAAAAGGCAGTCTCTTGGTGCTGCAGTTAAGGGAAGAAGATTATTTTTTTTAGAAAAAAAAAATTTTTTTAATGATAAAAAATGGATATTGTAAGAATGAAATTCCATAAATCGATTAGCGCAAACCTTTGTTTTTGTTCCAAAGATCACTTTGCCCAATTGCATCTAAAAACTTGATCACAAGGCGTCATTGAGCTGTGATTTGACCCAAGCGCGCCCGACCTCATCCTCTTCTCTGCCCTTCTCCTCAACCGACCCATTTGTTATTTGCTCCTATGGCCCCTGTATTTATTGCTCTGTTTACCGTGAAATTCGCAATGTTTTTCCCGGTTTCTCATTGTTTTTTTTAATTTCTAATCTTCAAGTTGTTTTTGTCCCTCTGGTCAGTGAGGACGAAATCGTGTGAGACCTCGTTGGAATGGTCGATGTGTAATATTTTCCTTTTTTCGCGCCATGCCACGTTGGCCTTAGTTTTTGTCCTTTGAAGGGTCTCTGCTTGTTTTTTTTTTTTGTGTGGGAACGCTTTTTTTTGTCTTGTAAAACTGTTTTGGAATGAATTTTAGGAAAATGTAAAAAAGGATTCAATCCGAAATTCGAACTAAAAGGAACATATAACTTTATTTTCTCTAAATCGAACATAAAATTAGTTCGACTCTGAGAAACTTGCAAAATTTTTTAATAGCCCAAGGATTGAAATAAAATTGGCGAAATTTATACTCTTGTTCATCTCAATCTTGTAACCTGCAGGAAAAAAATCAGCAACTTGAAAAAAATTGAATTTATTTTTTTAAGGATCAAGTTTTTCCATTGCAAAAAAACAAGAAATTTATTTGTACAGCTGGAAGATTTTTGAAACGACACCACTGCAGCTGGTTTCTGTTATTTACCCGCCAGCACTTCAATCTATCATTTTTTTAATTAGTCTTCCGAATTTTTAAAACGAAAAGACAATGTTTTTCAAGTTTTAGAGGTCGAGTGACTATATTTATGTTTTAGGAAGAACTTCCTTTTTTCTTCTTGTTATCAAGTTTTCAATGATCATTGTCTTCTGAATCCTGAATAAAAAGAGAATTTTTTTCCATTAAAAGACGGCATTTGTCAATTATCAAATATTGTTCTTCTCATCAGGGTGTAACTTTTTTAACTTGATTTTCTGTAGGTTCTAGCAAAAATGTGAAAAAAATTATTTGTTTCTCATTCTCTGTGAATGAACCTTTCTTGTGTGAAACGTAGGTGCGTGTCTTGATTTTTTTCTCTCTTATTGATTATTCACTCCTCTCGAAGTCATGAAGATTCTAATTTCATGAGCTTCAAGCTAATAAGAGGCGACTTGATTTTATAAGATTATAACTGCAAAAAATTATACTTGAGATAACATCTGGGTGACATTTTCAATACTTCCTCCATTTCACTATGCGATCATCTCATTTTTTTTTGAATTCAAACTTGTATACAGCCAAACTATTGAATTTTTAGAGACGGAGAGAAAGTTCCGAAAATTTTTAAAGCGAGATCTGATAATCTTTGTTTTTTTTTCTTTCTTATTTTACCATTTTTTAGTTGATTGATGAGTGAATTTTTTTTATATTCTCACGAACTTTCAATGAAATTGATAGTTTGATAGCCTTCCAAGAGTTGAAACTCGTTAGCTTTCTAAGGATTGACCTATTGGAAGGATTAAGGTTTTTTTTTTCTCATAGACCAAAGAATTATCACTTTCTTCAATTCCCCTATCGATTTTTAAAATTGTTAGCCACTAATTTGATCTCTTTTGAGGACATATATAAAATTCGAAAAAAATTTTTCAAAATAATGTATGAATATTTCTAATTTTTCTCCGTTTCAGTGATTACTCACCTTTTTTTCAAGTTTATTTCCGATTCTAAACTCGTTAGCTATCAAGCGAACTCGAACCGAAGACTGAAAAACAAGCGTTTGCTTTGACGACCACGTGGTGGACAATGGTGACGTGATGCGCATTGTTATCAATAGCGCACATAATCTGGTTGTTGGTTATGGGTGCGAAATAGAGGAGGCGGTGCACGGGTCCGCGGAACATCTTACGCGATAGTCGTCTCGATTTCTTCGACAGGCGTCGTCAACTCTTCGAAGCGTCTTTTTTGTCGGAATGCTAGAGAAGAGAAATGCGCTGGGAAAGAAAACGACCGTTTCCGCTTTTTTTTTCTTAGAATTGTCATCTTTTTCATTTTTTTCCAATTCTATTTTACTCTGTAGGATCCCTTAATGCGGTGTTCGAAAACGTAAAAATCGTAAAATGCGTCAAAGATATTTCTTTATAAATATTCCGTTCTTTTTCAAAAAACTCAGTAATAACTTCTGAGCAGAAAATATTCACAAGATGCAGCAAAATAGGATTAAGTAGTCCCTAAAAGGTTTTTCGCCTCCATTCGCCTCTTTTTTGATTCATCAAAGCGTCTTTGAAGAAGACAAAAATAATTTTCGCCAATAATCAGCCACTTTTCCTCAAGTTTAGGTTAAGTTTTATCGCAGAAGTGAGGGGATTTTATAGATCAAAAATGCTCGTTTCTATGCTTTTTCATAACCTTTAAAGTGTTTGAGAACATTTTTTCCAGATTTCAATCTTTTTCACGTGGTGTCTGCGAAAACATTAATTTGTCGTCTTTTTCAATTTCAGAAAAATCAAATAAATTTCTTTTTTTATTTCAAGCTTCAGTTAACTCTCGATATTTGATTGTATTTCGAAGATTCAAAAACCAGAAAAAGAAGATTGTTTATCCATCTGTAACGCATATATCAAACTACACGATTGCCATCCGCATTTCATTGACAACTGTCGTCGTATTTTTCGTGAAGTACTTTGCGGAGTCGTTTGTTTTCCACTCTTTAAAACGCGACCAATTGACCGATCCACATTTTCCTGCACTCGCTGTTCCAATGAAAACATCCGCTATAGTTTCCTGAGCCGTCAGCAGGTTCAAAATAACAAATAAGGAGCTTTAGGGTACCGAAAAATGATGGATATGAACATAATTTGTGCTCCATAATATGTACTCCCCTTCAAGTACCACCTCTACGCGGTGATGGGGAGGCAACGCCATTTATGGCGGCTAACGGTACACCGGTCACGCAATTCGGCTTGCTTCTGCTAACAGAATGGGCGGTCTTTTTTAGCCTTGGCAAGGCAAAAAGGATAATAATACCACAATTATGCTATAACACGTTCAACTCCACGGATGGAACTTTTTCGCAAGAATACCAGTCAACCAGGACGACAACACTGGATGACCGATTGCATAAGATCTCCTGGAAAACGTGTGGTCCACGCTTCGATCAATAAAAGGCACTAAAAGGCAATAAAAGGTCGAAAGCGAAGATGGACCATCTAAGTATCTAAGTAAGTAATATGTACTTGCAAAAAAGACAAGTTTTTGTAGTCCAATTTTACTTGTTTGAAATTTTTTCTGATATTCAGATCAGGAAAACATTTTTTGAAAACTCAGTTTTTGAAAAATCCACGACTCCCATAAGAAAGTTTAATTTTTTCTCTATAAACTGCCGCTCGAAGTGTTTTTTATTCCCTCTTCTCAAAAGATCAGACTTGATTCAATTGGCATTAAAAGTGATTTTCTTGCTAAACTTCGACTCGTCAAAAACACCGTTTTCGCTGATGTCAACTTCCCTGTTTCAAAACATTATCTGATCTTTATAGTTCACTGCGTCACTTTGGAAAGCTAGTAAAAATATTTTCCAACAAGTTTTACGATCAACTATCAATTTTTTTTCCATCAAACTCTTAGGAAAATATTTTCAATTGGTACACACTTTAAACTACGCCGCTTAAATTGATAAATCGTTATCAATCTCGTACTGGTCACTTTTTGCTTATCTTAAGCTTCACGTTAGTTTTGTTTGGTCTGTATAGTTCATTGCGACATTTTTTGGCACGCAGTACAAAACAATGAAAATTTTTTTGGATTTAAACGAGCCTATTTAAATATTTTTCTCCTCAATTTCGTATTGGAAAATGATTTTACTTAACTTTATTAACTTGACAAAATACTCGTTGAAACTTTTGAGATTGTGACTGTCAGGATTACTCTTTTTTTTTAGGATACTGATGTTTCAAAGACTTATCTTCCTGACCAAATTGCGAAATGACGAACTTCAAGGGTTTTATTTTTTTGAAAATTAAGAATTTCTTTAAAGTTTGAGGTTTTTTTCGGATAAGTTTATAGCGCAAAAAAAAGCCATCCGATATCTATAAAAAATCAGTATGTTCCCTTGGGCGAAGCTACATTTTCACAAAAGTACCACACACCCAACTCGTAAACTCTAATCAAACTAAGACCGATCACTTTTCGCTTATCTTTAGTTTCTCGTAAGTTTCTAAACAATCGCCTACTCATTTCATACAGCTGAGATAACGAAAAGTTTGTTACGTGTTGAGAAATTGTTGGCTCGTTCAGGTCAATGATAAAAAAGACGACGCGCCGGAAAGATAAAAACGTGACTGGAACAGTTATTAGTCTGAAAGCAAGTTTCATAAAAAATCACGCGGTTTTGTTGTTGGACGGATTCGATCTTTGATGTGACCGTAATGATTTCGAGGTGCTTTTAAGGGAGTTGAATGTCATTCCGTGAGATTTCTTATCACTTTTATTGGTCTCGAAACATTTCCCCGCTTTCTGATGTAAGAATTGGGCCGGATTGAAGTCTGACGGTCCTTTTTCACTGTCAAGAAAGTATAAAATCTTTTCAAGTTCATTGGAAATGTGGTCTCGTTTCTCAGAAAATTAAGATTAAGAAAATTAAAGCTCTGAAAATTAAAAATAACTTTTTTTGCGCTTCTCATATCTTCACATATCACCAATCATTCTTATGAAAAAATAACAGAGTACATTTTTTTGTTTCAGTTCAAGAAAAAAAGTTTCAATTTCTTTATTCATTTTTTTCTCGGTTTCACGTTTTTGACAAAATTCGAGAAATTGTTTTGGAGAACTTTGAAAAAAAAGATGTTCCGTAAATTTTAGACAGAAAAAAAATTTTTTGTCTCTTCTCAGCGATTCTTAAAAATCGTACAAAACGATCTTCTCAGGTTTCGCATCATGATCCCTTTTCTCTCCTTCTCCCTAATTCTTCTTTGAAAAACTATCGACGCAGTCTATTTTTAGCCGTTTTGCCCCTTGAGAGCGACCACGCCGCCAATGAACTTTCCAAAAAACCTCACTCTCACCTGACGACCGCGTGGATCTCAACAGATATTCGGTTTTCTTTTTTTTTCTATCTGTTTGCGCTTCCTGTTCGCAAACCTAACCGTTTGGCTTGGCACGCGAGTTTAAACAAAGCCGTTTGTCTCGGATCAAGTGAGGCCGTTTTTTTCGTCCCCTTGACTTGAAACAATTGGCCATTTTGCTCTCTTATTTTTTTTCCTTTTTCTTGTCAGTTTGTTCGCTGAGAGACGAGGAAGATATCCGGTAACATGACCTGATTTTCCGATTTTTGACTTTGCGCTCATAAGTTTTTGAGTCATTTCTGTCAAAAGTGACGGCTTGAGAGCAGAGTTCAAAGAAGTTCAAGTTTTTTTGTTGAATTTTTTTTTTGCAGGAAATAGATTCGAGACGCTTTGTGTACTTTTGATTGCAATAAAATGCTTCAAAATGTTGAATGGACTTGAAAAAAAAAAAGTTTTTTGTTCCTAAAACCAAAAGTCACCAACTTTCTTCACTTTTTTTTCAAACGAATCATGTCATCCCATTTTTATCAGTAATCTATCAGAATTTAACCATCTGGTTTACACAAGTTTGTGACGAATTTGATAAGTTTTTCTCTCATTTTTTTCACATCTTCTGATATCACTTCACGTGAAAAGAAAAAGTCATTTTTGCTCTCATTGATTTTGTTTCAAAGGTTCTCTCATTATTTGATTATACGTAACGTTTCTTTTTACGAAATTCCCTTTGATTTTTTCGATATATTTTAATGGTTTTTCTCGCGGTGTCTGGAGGCAGAATGGCAGTTTTTTTGAACGCTTTGTTTTTTAGTTTGCAAATCAAAGGTCAAATATCAAAAAGAGAGTTTGTTCAATTAAAATTTAATTCAGAACATTTCATGATCAGTCCCATTCCAAAACAATTACCTTATTAGTTTATAACTAATGAGAACGAAGATCGAGTCGCGTAAGGTTTATCAGTTATTAATTTAAATGTGCTCCAAAAAGGGAAAAAAGTTGAAAAGACACGGTAATCGTAGAAAATTACAGAGAATTCATTCAGATCTTAAGATACTCAGCTTTTTGAAATTAAATATCTTGTAAGGTTCCAATCAACTCCTACCGAAAACTTTAATATACTGCTAATTTACTTCAGGTGGAAACCCCAGGAAAGGAAATTTTGCCCATTTTCTATTGATATTCGAAATGGGATCGGAGATTGGTTGAATTTATTTTTTTTCGGCTCAGCGTAATTCATCGTCTATTGCGAATGATAAACTTCATTTTACTTGGGGAGAACTTTAAGAATAATCTGAAAAATTTTTTTCCGTATATAAATCACCTATTCCTATCTTCTTTGAAACCGGACCAATAAATTAAGTTTGAAATTTCCTGGAGTTTAATTTATATTCTCAGTGAAATCAATTCAACTTTCTACAAACAAAACTTGATATCTAATTGTAATTGCGAAAATTATAATGGCAGTTGTGAAAACTTTCCAGTTTCAGAAAACCCATAGATAGAATCTCCTTCTTCTCTAAAGGGGAATTCGTCAAAAACAGTTGCGCAAAATGAAAAAAAAACGAAGGGGCGGAGCCGAGTGATAGGCAAAAGTGGGAGGAGAGTTCCACGCGGCGGGGTCGAACCCATGTCACAGAGGCGAGCGACGGCAGCGGCGGCGCCTTCCCAGCTCTCATCACCATTCTTCCTCAGTTATCTTTCAGAGAGACACGTGGCCCTTGGAGCTCTTGCTTTTGTGCTCTGACGTCTCGGAACCACTTTCCAGTTCCTTTGCTTGTCTTTAATGTTCGGTCTTTATCTATCAGCCGATTTCGTTGCAAAATAATCCACCTTTGATGATCATTCGACTACGCCGACAGTTTTTGGAAGTCTTAATACATTTTCACGAAGAAAACTCATCCAAAATTCCAGAAATTTAATACTATAGCTTTATGAACTGGAATGCTGTTATTATTCATTATTTGAAAATTTCTCCTTCTTTTTTTGAAAAATAATTTAATGAGCTGTGTAGAATTTTCCTTTTTTCCTTTACCATTATGAAAATATTCTCCCTCTCAGTGAATTTCCCTTTTTGTTTTCATGAACCTCACTATCGTTTTATTCGTATCATCACCTGAAGTTACAAATAGAACCTGACCTTTTTTTCAGAAAACACAAAATGCCAGCTCTCCTCTCGTCCATGGCCTCCAGAGCCGCCTTCGTCACCCCAAGATTCCTCGCAACGGTGGCTCCGACCGAACCGAAATCGAAGCCTGCTCAAGACCCCATGAAGTCGTTCTACGTGAGTTTTATTTGAAATTGTCAGAAAAGTTACAATAAAAGGGTATAACCAAATTTTCTTAGCTGTTATCTTGACTGGTTTCCTGGAAAACAGAAACATACGATTTGGGCTGCAGGGCACTATCACGCCATAACTGAAAATCGTAAGAAAAAAATGCCCAACTTTTAGAGTGCAGATGAAAAATTTTTGAATGGAAAGAGTCATCTTTGAAAAACATGAATGTGATCATCAAGAGCCTTTTTCTTCAATTTAGTACAATCTGAAATATTTTCAGCGCAAAGACCTGAAGATCCAAAAGGCCACAAAGGAACAGATGCACACCAAGCCTGATCACGTGAGATTGAATCTCCCTAATTTGCAAAAAATATCTGAGGAATTTCCAGTTGCAAGTCGAAAAGGTCAAATTCGGTCACACATACGCGGATCACATGATGACCTGTGATTGGGACGAAACCAACGGCTGGGCTGCGCCTAAGATCGAACCTATCACCGACCTAAAGATCCATCCGGGAGCTAAGGTAATTTTGAAAAAGAGGCTGAAAAATAACCGTAAACAATTTTGTATGATTTCCGCTTCAATGATCCAATTTTTTCGATGTCGTTTTAACTAAGCTAACGCTTAAAATTCATATTCAAATGTTATTTGAATGACCTGACAGGATTTGCTTCAAAAACGACAACCTGACGGACTATCAGTTAAAGATGAAGTCTCTATTAAATCACCCAAAAAAAACTAGTTTTAATTCACATCAAAGGGCATTCCTGTCAAATACAAAGCAGAGTTTTAGAAGTCTTTTGACCGGATATCAAATTTGATGGTTTGAACTCGGCCACTTGTTACACTGAGCACATGTTCTGCAGCTCATGAGCGAGCTGAGAAAGAACATTACGTCAGCAAAAATATCTTAAAAACTTGGCCTTTAATCTCAAACATCGACCGATCGACAGCGAACACGTGATCTTTTTCAAGCGTTCTCAGGGCTCAGAAATTGTTTCGGAAGACTGATCTTTGGAAAATACATTGAGAGAAAAAAAAGTTCCAAACATGAATCAGTTAAACGTGGAAAATAATGTAAATTTCAAGAAAAGTCATTCTGGTCGGACTTTTCAGATACTTCATTCAGCGTGTGGATTTGAAATCTGAAAAAGAATCAGAATTTTTTTCAAAAAAATTTCTTGGTTTTTTTGAAGGAATGTTAAGCTTCCAGCAAATTAAAATGTCCAAAAAGCTTGCCTAGGTGTTTAAAGGAGCATAGGCAAAGTTTACAAAAGTCTCGTCATGAAATTGATTTTAAAGCCATGTTTTTTTTGAGTTTTTGAAAAAATTCCGTCCACCAACTGACTTCCAACAAAACCACGACATCACTTAAATAAAAACGTTTTTATTTCAAAAATTCTGTTGAATTTTTTTCTTTAAAAATTCTACTTTTTGACTTTTTCGAATTTTCTCGACTTTGAGAAACAGTAATTTACTGAAGGGTATCAAAGCTATAAATAATTATTAACATCTTAATTTTCAGGTCCTTCACTACGCCTCGGAACTTTTCGAAGGAATGAAGGCCTACCGTGGTCTCGACAACAAAATCCGTCTTTTCCGTCCCGAAATGAACATGGCGCGTATGCGCAGAACCGCCGCCCGAGCTGCTCTTCCTGTAAGTTTTTTCCTTGAATTATCATGTTTGTCTTTTTCCAACCTTACCGTAGCCAGCAAATCACTTTAAAGGCTGGCTATTTCAAGATTGAAAAGAGAGATACGGCGGTTGGCGAAACTAATTAGGTCGCGGGCTTCTTGGCTTCAAGTACCCACGGGGTAATTCTTTCACTTGGACTAATGGGATTGTGGCACGTGAACGCGAAGAAGCTTCCACTGTTTTTCTCGCTTGAAAAGAAAAAATAGCTTCTCGAGTTAATTGTTTTGAAGGTTGTTTGGAAAGGTTGAGGGCAAGGTACAGTAAACTTTGGAAAACATAGTTTCTGATGCTTTCCTAGAAGAGGGAAAAGCTAGCTTTCTGAGCAGCCTGTTGATTTTATATGATTCTAGAGAAAATAAAGCAATCAGGAAAGTTTCTGGTTAAATTTATAAGAAAAAACTCTTTTCGAACTGAGTAGCATTAAGCATTTCGCGAAAAAATCTGATTTTTAAACACTGAAGTTTTCTTGATGAAATTTTTCGAGCGAAAAAAAGAATGTTCCAGGCGTTTATGCAATTTTTAGGCTCAAGAAATCGTTCAAAAAGAAAGAAATTCTCTAATCAAGTCTCAGGATTCAAATTTTTCTTGAGCTTCAGAGAGCATTGATATTTTTTCAGGACTTTGACGCCGAAGAAGCGGTCCAGATTCTCATCGAAATGCTGAAAATCGACCAGGAATGGGTACCGTACTCCAATGTGTGCTCTCTCTACATTCGTCCGACCTTGATCGGAACTGACGTAATTACTGTCATAACCTCACAAAAAAAACCGTGCAAATTTTAGCCAACTCTCGGGGTTGCCTTCTCCAAAAACGCCAAGTTTTTCGTAATCACTGGTCCTGCTGGACAGTATTACGCCACTGGATTCCAGCCGGTAAATCATTCTATTTAAGAGGGTTGATCTAATGGTGATTTCCTGTTTCAGGTAAAACTTCTCGCCGACTCTCGTCACATTCGCGCTTTCCCCGGCGGCGTTGGAGCTTACAAAATGGGTTGCAACTACGCTCCGACCATCTGGGTTGGAAAGGAAGCCGAGAAGAAGAACTGCCAACAGGTTTTTCATACTTACACTGGACGATTCCATGAAAAAATGCTTCAAGGTTCTCTGGTTGAACGGCGAAGACGAAGAGATCACTGAAGTCGGAACCATGAACATCTTCGTTCTCTGGAAGAACGAACAAGGAGGTTGGTTTCTACAAAACTTTCTGCAGAATTTATGACCAAAAAGCCAGTTTCATTTCCGTTATGAATGACAGCGGCTGTCTGGAACTGTTGTTTGCGACACCATATTTCTGTATTTTTATGTCTTTTTTTTTTTTCTTTGATAAGAAGGAAATGTCTGCGCGGGCTGAAGAAGGACACATGTCAATGAGAAGTTCATTCGACGGTCATAAAAAACGGCTGTTTGTCTGGACAAATATATTTTTCGAATGATAAGAGAAACTCAAAAACAGAGAAAGGGGAAAAGAACGTAAACTGAAAAAGTCTAAGGGACAAGGTTTTACTGTAAAAGAAATCTTTTTAGAACTTGAGTTGGTCACTCCTCCACTTCACAAGGGCTTGATCCTGCCTGGAGTCACTCGCGACTCTCTTCTCGAACTGGCTCGTGAAATGAACGAATTCAAGGTCTCCGAGCGCATTTTCTACATGGAAGACGTCAAGAAGGCTCTTGCCGAGAACCGAGTAAGTTTTTTTTAAAGGCATCAGGGATAACCGGAAAAGTATACATTCCGAGAAAACGGTAGGAAAAGTCGCGGTGATACTTTCAACATTTTTCGAGAATGCCTCTGCACACAAAGTTTGCTTTCAGCCAAGATTTTCAAACAGTTTGTGAGTTTTGACAAAAAGTTTGATTTCAAGAACCGTGTTGACAAAAAAAATGATGTCCTGTAGAATAAGTGATATTTTATTTTTTATTCAGTCTGATTTCAAGAATAGAAGCATTTTTCAATTATCAACTGAAACGTGAAAAAAACGAAAACCAATTTCAGCTCTTCGAAATGTTCGGCTGCGGAACCGCCTGCGTCGTCAACCCCGTGGGAAGCATCCACTACCACAACAAGGAGGTTTTCTAATCGAAAACTTCAAAATCAACTTTTTATTGCTTTTCCAGAAGAACGAATACGAAGATTGGAACATCCCCACCATGAAGAGCAAGTACAACGTCATGCAGCGCTTCTACGACACGATTGTCGATATTCAGGTTTCCTGCTTCACTATTCATTCAAATCATCTAACTTTTCACTTTTCCAGTACGGACGACTCGAACGACCCGGATGGACGCGCGAAATTTAAATTTCCTCCTCCTTGAATCGTGCAATTAGCATCTGTATTTGAACACAAATGGGTCTACAATGTTAGTATCGTTCTTTCTCACCTGACTTTCCTGTTTCTTCACCTTTATACTTAATATACTTCATTCATTGTTGGTTTGAAGTCGAAAAAAAAACAGCTTTGAAATTTTACTTTTCACTAAATAATGCCACAAATCAATGATGAATGCATTATATTCCCTATTGCATCATATTGTTCTCTTTTCTCTTTTTCTGTTAGTACTACGGATAACTTTTCAGCGGAATTTTGTGACAAAATTCCCTTCCCCCGGTTTTTTCCTTGTTTTTTTCTATTTTTTTGGTCTTTTCAAGCTATAAGCATTCATGTATTTGGTCGTTTATTTCCAGAGGAACCACAATTTAAATAGAAAGTTGAATTTCGGACATTTCATGCAGCATGACACACACGGGTCATGTCCTTTGCATCTTTTATTCAACTTGATAAAGCCAAGATTAGATGAAAACATGCGAATAAATTTTCGTTGCAAAATGAAGGAGGAGTCTATGAAACTGAGTAAATGGAAAAAACGAAGCAGTCAACCTCGGAAAATTGGATAATTCTCTAACTAGAGAACGTTTTAAGGTCCCGGGTTGAACGATCGATGGAACTTCGCTAATGTAGACATTAACACACTCAAATTTCAAAGCAAGAAGTAAAATTATCGTGATAGATTTTGTGTCCAAGTTGAAACGCTTCAAAAGTTCAAGTGAGCGTTCTTTTTTTTCATAATTAGCGCATTTCGCAAACAGTGCAGCTTCATAAATCGAGAACAACATTTGATGCGAGAAATTTTTTTCTGGAATCAAGGGGTCCCAATATAAAATTCAATAAAGTTACATCAAAAGTTCAACCGAGAGCAAAATAAATTTAAAAAAATCAAGAAAACTCAAAAAATAATTTGTTTGAGAACTATCAGGGAAATGATATTCTGCTGTTTTATCGAAAATTCATAAAAGGTTCCGGTTTCAATTTGTTTTTTATGAGCGATTCAAAGATTGCGCCGGAGTTTTTGAAAACTGATCACCTCAAAATTTTCGAATGAATGAAAAAACAAAAATTAACAGCAAAACCAACTTCTATGCGCATTCCCACGCGATTCTTGCAGTGAAACAGATGCAAATTAGCGTGATTTCGTCAAAAAAAAACAAACATAAATCCTCTTTTCTGCTTTTGTCACCTTTTCTGAGCCGACTCCGCACAAAATCTATTGGTTTTTATCTTTCTTCGTGGATTCAAGGTTTGAATTTTATCAGAAATGGTGTATATCCATGTGCTCTTCAACGAAAAAGTAGCCAAGACTTATTTTATTGAGGAAACTGCAAGGTAAATTCCCATCTTTGTCAAAAAAAAACATTCAAAACTGAACTTGTTGTTTGTTTCTCCCACTTAGAGTAGTGTTCTAAGATCTTGCATGATGAGAAAATTTTTAGAAGTTTTCGTAATCCACATTTTCAACCTTTTTTGGGTATAAAGTCGGCTCAAAACCATTTTTTCTGATTTTATTTGCTTTCACTGTTATAGGCTGCTCTCATAAATTTTTTCCGCGACTTGCTCTTAGAAACTGTAAAGCCTTGTTCAATGTCTTTAAATGAACTTCCGTTTTGGTTTTTTATGTTAGTATTGAACACAGAGACAAGCTTTTTTTCATTTTTTATTTGCAAGGCTAAAATTAACAAAATGAATGAATGAATAGAACAAGTACACAGACATGAAAAACAATTTATCAAATTTTCAGCTTCGTTGGCTTGTTTAACAATGTTTTCTTGCTGTCTTTCTCTTTGTTGCTTCGAAAATATCCTTAGAAAAGGAAAAATTCACAAAAAATTCTAAATCTCAGCAATACTGGCGTTTCATGATGATTTTTCTTCCTTCTCTTCTCTTCCTTTTGTCATCGTCCTCACTCGACATCGAATTGTAATTTTTGATAGTTTTCATTGTTTCCATGGTCTTGGGTAATCTTCTAGTAGAAGTTAAAAAAATTTTTTTAAGAATCATAGCAAAAAAATTGTTTGACGAGGATTTTTTTGAGTGTATGTAAAATGATTTTTTTGGTCTGGGGACAGCAAAGCCGTTCTTTTCCCAGATAGGAATTAAAAAAATGTGGTTATTTATGAACCGCGGTTTGAAAAAAATAAAACTACAAGAAAAAAACATTTTTTTCAATTATAGTTAATCCTATTGAAACTACTAGAAGAACCCTTTCCCATTGTACCCAAGTTGAACGAGCCTGAAAAAAATATCCTCATCATCGAGAAAAAAACGCAAAAAGAACTTACTCATTTTTTTCAAATCATCCAAAAATGTTTCAAACTCTGACTCAGGAAACTTGAGTTTCTGAAAAAAAAAAATTTTTTATCAATTATACTTGATAAAATGTATGAGAAAAAAACCATCCACGATAAAGAGAAAGAAATGAAATTACAAAAAAGTTTCGAAGCAATTGTGAAGAAGATTGCTGTGCATGCTTAAAAGTCGTTTGCAGAGAGCAAAAAAATGTCGAATTGTCGTTTTGAGATGATGGAATTTTCAATAGTTATATCTATCAAAAGAAGGATAAAATGAAATTTTTAAAAATCGATATCTTTTTTTCTGATTAGTGGCATATTTTTATTAAAAAAAACTTCTCAGGGGAAGTAATAAAAGTTGACAAAAAGTTGGACAGTGTTTTATCAAGAAAATTAAAGCTTCATTATTAAACATCTGGTATTATTTTTATATTTGCAGGTAAAAAAAAAAAAAACGAAATATATAGTCAATGTTTCGCGACTCGAAAGGCGAGGGAGGCGGGACAAGGCGCGGGACGCGGAGCGTGTGCGCTCGCGGTTCTTGGCACGAGTTCAATTCAAGCGCACTGACTATTCAAAAAAACACGGTCACCGTTCTTTTTTTAAATGTTTTATTTATTTTTTTAATGCAAACACATTAAAAACCAATAGAGAACTGAAAAAAAGAAATGAAAAGAGCGAAAAGCGAGCTCTCCAAATTCTCGCTGGCGGTTGAATTGAGCTCGTGCCAAGAACGCGTACGTACACGCTACGCGTCACGCCCCCTGCCCCGCCTCTCTCGCCTTTCAAGTCGGGAAAAATTGACTATATTAGAAAATTGATGTATTATTTTTGGAAGCGTTTCAAGAATGAGAGATAATATAGAGAATTTGGCCATTCTTCCCGTCCAGAGAGTCGAGAAGTGTATACTAAGACAAGTGAAGAATGGATCAAAGAAGGAATACAGCTATATATATTTCTGTTGTATAATGTAAACATCTAACTGGAAAACACCATAATCAAAGTGAAAAAGGAAAGGAGCAAAGAGTGAGGAGAACGCGAAGAATCACTCCGATGAATGTGGAAGGCTCGGAATGACTTGGCGTCGAGCAGAACGGACATCTTAAAAGAAGGCGGAGCTCAAAGAGGCGTGTACGAAAAGATCGTGGGTCAAATCGGAGAGGAGGTTTGCTTTACTGGACTGCTGATTGCAGATGGATTTGGCAGATGAGGAAAAAAATGTATAATCATTTGAAAATTACCCGACATCCGAAAGAGAAGTTTCAGACAATTTTAACTGTAATTAGGAACTTTCATTAAACTGAAAATTTCCTTCTACCGTGATGTTTGAGGCCTTCAACCAATTTTAATGAGACAAGAATAAGATTCTTCACAGTCAAAGCCACAAACTTGTAAACTTCTAATTTTGAAAGTTTCGAAAGTTTTCAAAGTTTGCTTTTAACCCTAGATCCGAGTTAACAATCGAAACTGAGCAAATTTAATATCACCTGTTCAAAAAGAGGAGATTTCGCTGACAACGAGAATGAAAGAGCTCAAATTCCCATTTTCAAATACTGTCAATGTATAGAACTATAAGAGTGTCAATATATAGAATATATAAGATAGAACTATAAAAAAATTTCCAGGTTAACTGCAACAAATTATATTTATATGATTTGAGGCTTGGTTTCGTGAGGAGAGGAAAGTTCAAAAAGGTTCAGTTTCAGAAAAATTTTTTTCAGAGCAGCAGTCAATGCCACATAAAAAAATATGTTATCTCATATTTCAAGTCATAACGAAGACCGCTGAAGTCTGAAAGTTTAGTTGAAGTTGATCTTCGTCCTAAAAAAATTGCATTAAATTCCTGTAAAGTATATAAACGGCAAGGTCAGAGGAAATTCGTCCGCAACACAACACCTACTTATAAAAAAGGAACGCCGACAATTTTATCTTGGAGTACCCCTCATCTGGCGACCAGAAGGCGTTTTCCGATAGGCAAATAAATCAGAAAAGTCGATTGCTCTACTTGAATGAACGCTGTTCAAACCAACAAAAGCAATGTATCAAAGAAATTTTTATGAAAATAAGTATTCGTACCTCCGCCGTAGCTTGTTACACCGGAAATATCCGTTTTTAAAGAACAGCAATAACAGCGTTTAGATCCACAAAACAGCAAAACAAGACTGACAAAACCAACGCGAAATGTGTACCGATTGGATGTAATTTGGTTAAAAATAATCACATTTCATGTCGATGTCACATACTTCAATTTAACCCGTTTGGAACCAAACGGGTTAAATTGAAGTATTTTTTAAAGTCAACAACGTTCACCAGATCTACTAAACTTTCAATTTCTTTTGAAGTTTTACTAATTAGGCTAATAAGGGGTTCCCTAATTTCAGAAACTTTTGACAAATTTTTGGGACCTCAAGAAAGAGTTCTAGATTTTTCTTTTTGAGGACATTTGTGACCGTTGTAATTTATCCTTGTTTTTTACTCTTCCTTCGAAAAAAAAAACATGTGGAAACGGCATTTCTAAAATTGACTCTAATGTCGGGACTTATTGTGATTTCTGGGTTTTTAACGATTCGATTGCTTTTGAAGCTTATAAAATAGATCAAAAGGACTCTAGGAGAATGCTCGGAACTTTTTTCAGCAGAAAATTTTCGAGCGACGGAAACATTTATTATGTAATTCATCTGATTCTCATACTCGTAGTCCGAAAAACTGAACCTTTCCACAAGAAATTTCTCAGCATCTTATCGGGCTCAGCAGATGATCTCTCATGACTTTAAGCATCCAAATCTAGGTTTGTAAACCTTTAAAGTTTGAGCTCCACTGGCAATTACGAGTCGCGTAGTTCCTTAGTCATTGTTCGACAAAGTTATGCTTAAAGGTCGACGGTGTCTCCTGAATATTATATTCAGGAGACACCGTCGAACTTTAAAATTGATATTTCTTTCTATTTCCAAGTTCTATAAGCTTTTTTTTTCGAGCTCTACAACCTTTTTCGAATTCCACGCTTGCAAATCATCTTTGACCGTTTTCTTCAAAAAGTGCTCTGGTTGTTCTTGTTCAAACGATTAGGAAGGATTCGAATTATTAAAAAAAATGAGAATCTTCGTGCAAAAAATTTTATTGAAACGAAAAGGGAGGTATAATTAGAAAGCTCAACCGGGAATAAAATTCGAAACTTGTTATTTTTATAGGAACAATGGCTTACTGTTGAAAACTGTATATTCTGCACGAAAACTGTGAAGTTAAAAATTTTTTTGAACATTTCAAGCAAAGGTGAGAGCAAAAAACAAACTTGTGGATAGCCAGGTAATTTGTTGAAGAATTGGTTTAATTTTCAAACTACAAAAAAGAATTTTTTCGAGACGATTGATCCAAGAGAATCTTGTAATAAAAAAAAGATTTGACAGACAGTGATAATAAATAAAAAAATCAAAATATGCAGACAATGGTCGTGGGAAAAGTTCAATTACGAGCCTAAAGGTCGATAATGTTGGAAATGGAAACAAAAAAACACGATTTCTGTAAGATAAATTTTTGAATTTTTTTATTTTTTTATATTTTTTTGATTTTTTTGATTTTTTTCATAATTTTTTTGGTTTTTATTTTTTTGATTCTGAAAAAAATATAAATTAAATAAATATATGTAAATTTTTGTATTGAAAATTGCATCAATTCATCTCGTTTTCGAAATGAGAGAATAAAGTCACGTCCTTGTCTCGGCTCGTTCCGCTTTTTGAACGACGTGTTCTGAAATTTATTTAAACTGAAAACCGAAAAAAATTCTAAAATTACCAAGGATTCTTCTTCGACGGATGAGAAACGGCCCTTGTTGAGATTCCCTGTCGTTGAATTGAAAAATTTTTCGCTGCTTTGCGTCAAAAATAAAGCTGATGGTCGGAATCTGACGATCGAATATGTTATTTTTAAAGGTCATGGATTATTATTTTTTTCATACTTATTTTTTTCGCAATTTGAAAAAGTAAAGCGTTGCGTACGCGGCCCAACTTTGGCGGAAACCTCGAGGCCGAACACGAAAAATTGCAGAAAAAAACTAAGCCTTTGATCATTTTTTTATACTTTGACTCGTTAAACCTGTTTTTTTCAAAAACGTTTAAAAAAATTAAAAAAATTATTAAAAAAACTATCGAAAAAAAGGAGAAAACATGAGAGCTTGTGTTTCAACTGGAATTTCTCGCCAAAAAAACGCATCACTTTTTGGCAATCTCTCACCTTTCAGGTCGCAAAAAAAATATAAATAAGAAGTTTTTCTCATTTTTTTAAGGTATGACACTTTCAAAGGCTTTTTAAGTCGAAAAGAGTGCCTCAAAACGTCGCAGTTACAAATTTATTACTGCGGTTATCAAACGATTTTACAATTAAATTTGTCCGACGACGGATATCATCACCAGCATACAGGAAAAGCCGCTTCAAGTCTGGCGCAGTTTTTAAAATGAGTTAAAAAAAACGTAAACCTGATTTCATCTCTTTTTCACTCGAAATCAGGCGCAACAACGACTTTTTTGAAACATTATTCAGTATGCGATTGAGCCACTCTCGAAATAAAAAATCGTACCCTGTGCTGAGAGCTCATCAGATTTGGAATCTCGTTGCGACAATTATCTTTGGCAGGCCCTCGATGACTTTCAGAATTCGGACTTTCCGGGCGCTTGTAGCGTAGTTCGGCCGGATAGCCGTGAAAGAGATTCGAAAACCCGCGTGGACGAGGCTGACCAGCATCCAGTTGCTCCGTCCGGTTCTGCGACAACATAATTCGTTCAAGGTTCTCTTGTTTTTTGTGAGCACGCTCGATAAACTGAAGAGTTGAAATAACTCGTTGATTTACGACCTCCAGATTTTCGAAAGGAGTCTCCACAAGGTTCTTGTCAGCGTCGACTGGAAGATTGGGCGACAAATCGTTCTTGCCGTTAGAAGCGCGCGAAAAATCCATTTTGAAGAGCGGCTCATTGTTTCGAGCTTCGGAGAAACGTCGGGGTGAAAGAGGCTCATGCCTTTCCTTTTCAAAGTCAGGACAGGTAGATAAGTTCTGGGCGTCAGCAGAAGACGAAATCTCGAAAAAAGCATCCAACTTGTTGGAGTTGCCGCGTGAAGTGAGAGTGGACGTCGGTGGATTCAGAAGAGTTTTCTTTTGATCTGATAGAAAAGAAGGTGTGTCCAAGTGAAGGCGATCAAGTTTTCCCTTGATTTCGTTGCTTTTTTTGGAAAGTTCTTCATAAGCGGCGTTGAATTTCTCCTTGTGAGGATCCGAGTAGCTCTCGTTCAAAGGAGGGAAGCTGACATTTTCGCTTAAAAACTGAGCGTGGTCCTGAACGTGGGAAGAATCTGCATCAAGCTTTTTAGCCACGTGCGTGTTCGGATTGAAGCTGTCCTGGTTCTCCTCCTCGGAAGGGATCGTTATTTGAATTTTTGGGGTTTCCGGAAGCAGGCGGTAGTCAAAGTAGCCAATGTTGTCGAAGACACCTGAAAAATCCATTTTTTTTATCTTGAATTTTTCACTATGGTTTTTCAGCTACTTTTGCTCAAAAAAATTTAAAGTTCAGTTTTTGTAATCGCCTAAGGAAAAAATCAAAAAAACTGCAAAGCTCAAAAGTCGGATATTTTTGCTAAAAAAACCTTTTCAAAGCAGTCAAACCGAAAGTCTCTTTTTTCTATCGCGTCAGATCGAAAGACATTTCAAAAAATAATTTATCGGAGAATAAGACAGATGCGTTTAGGTTCCCGTTGCTTGAAAAATCAAAAGTCTCATATTGATACTTGAGTTTTTAATTTTTCTTTAAAATTTTTTCCTCTGTTTTTGCCCCCAAATAATCATTTTTGTTTGATTTTCACATTGTAATTCCCGTCATGAGTCATTGATCTCTAAATAATCTAATAGGATCCGCCAGCTCTCTGACTTGATTGATAAACTTATAAATTCGAAACTTACTGGGCTCATAGAAGTCGTCTCTTTCGACGCTTTTTCTCCCGTTTCGGGAATTTCTCCTATGTTCATCTGAAATGAAAGTCACTTTGAAAACTGTTGTTCCAAGGTACGATACTACAAGTTTTTAAATGCAACTCACTGGTTTCAAAGTGCGAGACCCTCGACCCTCTTTCCGTTCTCATGCTCTTGCCCGTCCTGACGTCTGAAAGTTTTTTGGTTTTTCCATGAACTAAGGCAAATATAGAGACAGTAAAAAAAAATGAGCATAAAACTTATAACTTAAGAGAGAACTCTTCTAACAAGGATATGATCTAACTTTTATTCCCAAACTTGTTTGCATAATGCTTCTTGAAGTTCATCTCAGTGTGATCAAAAATCTAAGGCTCATGAAATTTCTTGATGAACTTGAAGTTTTTTTTCTTTCTGCAGGAAAATTAAAATTACTCATAACTGTTGTTGATCGATTGACTCATGAAATGAAAGCTCACTTGGATAGTCATTGTTGTATCTCCACTCGTTTGCTGGCATATTCCAAAGCGGATGGAGCAAATCTAAAAAAAAAGATAGTATTGGAAACAAATTATGAGAATTCAACTTTTGAACTTTGAAAAAGATTCTGCCTCTCTTCTCATTCTGCCTCTCTTCTCATTCTGCCTCTCTTCATTCTGCCTCTCTTCTCATTCTGCCTCTCTTCCTTGGCAGCGAGTGGTGACCAAATCAACCCTCTCCCCCCCTTTTTTTGTCGACTGTTGCTGCTCTCCCTCGTATTTTCATGGATCCTTCACCTGATCAACCGGCCTCGTCGACAACATCTGGTCAGAAACGTAAGACCGAAAACGCTGCCGACAACATCGCCAAAAACAAAGACTGACCTGGTGGAAGAAGTTATCGAGCTGAAACGTTCACTGGAAGCTGTGATCGCCGACAACTGTCAACTCCGTCAAGAATTCGAGTCGCTCAAGACTCTTACGATCGCCATCCAACAACAAAATGAGCTCCTTCAACTCCAATTCAATCAAATCAAAGACATCAAATCTTCTCAAATCCAAATCGTCGCCGAACTGAAAAAAATGTCAGCGCAAATCAATAATCGCGAGGACTCCTCTACGTCTCTGCCCTCTCAGCTCCGCGCTCACGCTTCGCCCTCTGCCTCTCTGGCCCTCTCCGCTGAAACGTTATCTCTCGCCGAACGTGTAAAAATCGCCAAAGAAGCCGCTCAATTCGACGAAAAAAGCCGCCGTGCCGTCATAGAAAGACTCCCAGATGCAAAAAATGAAAATCAAAATGCTCTCGACCTTGACTTCATCAAAGACATCTGTAAAGTGATACACATCGATGATCCCGTCGAAGTCTATCGCCATGAATGTTCCGCCAAAATCCGACCGCTCAAAGTCGCTTTTTCTTCTACTCGTATCCGCGACTCCTTCATCCAACAATTCGCCAAAGGATTGGAAGAAGTTCGACTTTCAGCTCCTCTGAAGCCTAGATGTAGACGCGACATGACACTGTCCGAGCTCAGACTTCTACGTTCATTGCGCAAACAAGTATACGACGCCAACATTGCTGCTGGCCGCGTGGTCTGCTATTTGAACGATCTCTCCGTCATCAAAGTTCGAAATGGTCGTTCGTTCGTGGTCTCCTCCTCAGCTGAACCTGGTGCGCCGTCCCCGACTCCTGTTACGGCTTCAGCTCAAGCTGCCGACGACGCTGTACCAATGTCTCCTTGAGACAGAAATGACTTAAGTCAGCCTAATTTATATAACTCTTTTGCTCAATCTCATATATATTCTAATGTTAAATGTTTACTCATCAATTGTCGCTCTATCGCATCGAGTGCGAAGTTTTCAGTTTTAGTCGATTTTCTAGAACACAACTCATATGACATCTGTTTTATTACCGAAACCTTTTTAAATGATTCTTTCCTTGATTCAATGCTTACTAACAATTCTTTTTTTCATATTCGATGTGATCGTCGTCCAGACCATTTCAAAAGCTGCGGCGGTGGCGTTGCAGTTTTGTTCAGAAAGAATTTACAAATTGCTGAGGAGGATGTTGACCTGAATGAGCACTATCCCCAACACTTCTGTGAGTTGCTTTGCTTTGATCTTATCTTTGAGGACAAATCAAAAATCCGTTTCTGCCTAGTGTATAGAGCCCCTGGTCAGACTCTCCTTTTTGACAAAGCCCTAATTGAGAATTTAAAAAGCATTCAGTTTCGATGGTGAGGCTAACATATTGCTAGGTGACCTAAATCTACCTCGTATAAAATGGGGTTTTGACACCATTGACAGACATAGCTCTAACAACTGTTTTTTCCAATTTGCATTAGAAAACAATCTTGAACAGATGGTTCCCTTCAACACTAGACTTGATAACAGCGGTACTGAAACTCTTCTAGATTTAGTTCTAACTAATTCCTCCGACCGTCTTAGCGCATTCAATAAAATTATACCTCCTATTACAACAGACCACCTAGCGGTTGAATTTTCAGTTTCCTCCAACATTCATAGTGAAAATGTTGCTCCTCAGCGTAAAAAACTCAACTACAAAAAATGCGACGTTCCTAGATTGATTTTTCTCATAAGTGCTTTTAATTGGCCACGACAGTTCTTCTATTTTTCCTCACTAGAAGAAAAAGTACAAACACTTCACTAAGGTTCTCAATGAATTCATTGAATTATGTTGCCCCCATTCTTGTTCAAAAAAACCTCTAATAAACTCATGCCGTGGGTTAAGGCGGCTGATTCGACAAAAAGCTTATCTCAAGCGTGCGAACGATCCTGCCAACAATCAAGCTTTTAGTTCAAAAATTCTTTAATTATTCGTATTATGAGGAGAAAAAGCTTTAAAGTTTCTCAAAAAAAGAACGAGAAGAAAGTAGTAAGTTCTAAAAAAATTATAACGGTATTCTGAGGTTTATTTCTGGGAAAATTCAAGCCAAAAACCAACATCCCCTCCTTAGTTACTAACGGTTCCATTCTCACCTCTACAGATGAAAAAAACTAGAGCCTTTCTTAATACTTTTTAAATCAAATAGGAATCATCAGACCTACGCTACACCTTGTATTTTCCCTTCACGCGAGAACTCTTTAACCCACCCCGATTTCTCTCCTAGCACGGTATGCAATGTTTTGTCCAAACTCAGCCCAAAAAAATTGGTTTTTTTCGCCTGATTTAATAAACTTTTTTTATACTTAAAAAAATGTAAAGATGCCTTGGCAGTTCCTCTTTCGTTGCTTTTTTTATGAGTCTTACTTTTTCTAAGTCCATTCCTAGTATGTGGAAAAAAAGTCCTACATTATACCTGTTTTTCAAGAAAGGGAAAAAAAGTCTGACCCAGCCAACTATAGACCTATTTCGCTAACCCATCCTTTAGCAAGAGTTATGGAAAAAATACTATCGAACCACATTAAAATGACCTTTCGCCATTCCTTTTCTGATAAACAATTCGGATTTCTCAACAATCGATCCTGCAAACTTGCCCTACTCGACTGTGTTTCCAATTGGAAAGCACTGCTCAAGGAGCGTAGATCTATTGACGTTATTTACTTTGATTTCCAAAAAGCGTTCGATAATGTCCCTCATAACCTTTTGTTTGACAAGCTTAGAGCTTTTGGTCTCAACTCTCAACTAGTTGGTTGGTTCGAAAATTTTCTTTCCGAACGTCAATCTTGGGTTTTATTGGATGGACAGGTTTCTTTCGACAGTTTTAGTATCAAATCTGGTGTACTCCAGGGGACAGTTACAGGGGCCTCTCTTGTTTTTTTAATCTTCATAAATGATCTAGCTGCAAATTTCAGTGATGACGTCTCCAGTTATCTATTCGCTGATGATCTTAAAATTTTTCTCCTCTGACCCAATTGCTCTACAAAAATGCAATCAACCAACTTGCTATGTGGTCCAAAAACATGGGGACTCCCATTAGCTGAAAAACAAAACTGTAGCTCTCCATCTAGGCAGATCAAATCCTAGGACAGTTTATACAATTAAAGGCACTTTTTATTAGTTCTTCCGAAGTTGTCAGAGATCTTGGAGTCATGGTGGACAGTTCCCTACTTTTTCAAATCTCACATTTCAAAAGCAGTTAACACCTCTTTGCTCAAAAGTAAACAAATTCTGAAAAGCTTTCGTTGTCTCACAATTCAACAGTATAATATGGTTTTCAACCTATTCGTGAAACCTCACCTCGACTACTGCAGTGACGTTTTTCTATCCCGCAATAAATTCCGAACAGGCATATCTACTCGAAAAAAACCTTATAGGTATTTCACTAGAGAAATTTTTCATGCGCAGAAACTTAAGATTCAATTCATATTCTGAAAGATTGCTCAAGCTCGAAACTAATGCTTTGTACAGAAGGAGACTCAATCTTGCACTCTGCACACTTCACAAAAATTGTCCTCAAGATAGATCATTTTCCAAGCGCTCACAGGTTTTTTTCAGAATCTCTCATTCGGGTCGACATCCTCTGCGGTTAATTCAGGCTGGTCCTTTATGTGATTCTTTCTTTTTCAAAAACTGATCCCAATCTGGAACAAAATCTGCTCTAGATTCAACGTCTCTGTTCCTCCTAAAATTTTTCAAATCTCATCTGGACAACATCCCCGACAATGAATTATTCATCAGCATCCCTAGACGGCTACTATGATCTCAAAAAAATCTCAATATGCATATACGTGTATTTTTATCAACTGTGATATCTAATTTATTCCCTATCCGGTGAAGTCACTCGTGAGGGTGACCTAAAACCGGTTCTTAACCTTATTTATTCTTTTCACTTTGTGGATGAGTAAATTATTATTATTAAAAGACTTTTGAGAAGAGTGATTTTTTTTTTAACTTGAGAATGGATACTTTTTTGTTGAGCTTTCTGAAACTCACTGGGCTGACGAGGCTCATTAAATGCGAATTGAGAATTGTTGTCTGCTCGACGCGGTGAACTGTTCGCCATAGAGTCTGGAAGGTTCTATGGTATTTCTTATGAAAAATGAAACTTTAGCAAACAAAAAATGAAAATAAAATTGTTAAAGAAAACTATTCTATCGACTTTTTTTCAAATTTTAAATCTTTTCTGGATTTGTCCCGATCACTTTCTCGAAAAGTTTCTACTTACGATGCATGGAGCTTCCATTGTTGTGCTCAGTACTCCAATAAAGTCGATCGTTGAAACGTCCTGAAAATCTGAGTTACAGATTGAGAAAAGATTTCGAAATTTCCTATAATCTCACGACCTGAATTCTGAGCATACATACGCAGACCTATTTTGAAGCCCTCGGACCCCGCCCCTTCCCCCCGCTTTCGAGATTTGAAGTGTTTTGGTAAACCTTTTCTGATTTTCAAGCCTTCCAATTTTTTCATGAGCCAAGATAATTTACTTTTCAAAGTTATCAATGCATTTTTGGAGCGGAAAAATCAAATCGTTTCATGGTGCAACGTTTAATAATCACACAGAAAGTTACAGTTACTTTGTTGTTTGTATTTGATTAATATTTGAGCCGTTTGCATGGTGAGTTGATGACTTTGGAACTTCAAAGCTCAAACTCACTTTGATCGTATCCGCCATTTCCTGACATATATTCCGGATGACGACCAGCTCCGGGTGACGTCCCCACCAGCTCATCTGTAATAATAAAGTTTTTTAAGCTTTCGATTTTTATAAGAAATATTGGGACTCAATATTTGATTTTTCACTGACCTCAAGGCAAATTTTTTCATGATTACTGACAGATTCCAGGTTGAATATGAAGTAAAAAGTTGGTCGAATTTTTCACGTTTCAGGGTCATTTTTTTAGGATTATCAAAAGTTGAAGCCAAATTGCAACTTTCTTTTTTATTTCCTATTCAGAAATTTCATATAAACTACCTCTTCCCAGATCCCTTCGAGAACGTCTGGCGCCGTCGTTGATGCCGGTTCGCGAAAAATCCATCGTAAACTGAAAATTTGGTTTACGGACAGACTGAGACAATTCCATAGATATAAAATCGGTTTCCAACCAAACTGAAAACAGAAAAAAAGTTTGCTTCCCATTACAAAAGTTTATGACAATGAAAATCGGGGATCCAGAATATAACAAAAAAACGATGAGAGGAATTGTGGTTGCAGAAAATCCTAACATAAAAAAAATCATGAAAAAAGTAGGGAAATACGTCGAAAATGCGGGTAAATGTTTAATGAGTTAGAAGAAGTTACTATTACTGTTTTTCTTCTTTTTTTCTATAAAGAAGATCTTTTTCGGAAGTCAGTCGTCGTCTTCGAGAAGGCGTGAGTAGAAGCCATCCGGATCTTCATCGAATTCGAGATCTTCCTGTTAATAATCCAGTTTATGAGAATAGTTGGGTAGTTTATTTTTAATATTACTCCATAAAGTTGAAATTTACTCATTTGATTTTTAGCTCCAAGTGACTTTGGGGTTCACATCAATCTGTTCATAAGTTAACAACATTACACCTATTTTTGTTACGGGCAAAAAAAACTATTTAGTTAGGAAGGGGATTGAATAATTTACGCTCAAATTTGGGACTATGATTCGGATTTATTGATTTTATTTCTCATGATCAATTCAAGAGAACTTTCAAAAATGGTCAAAAGCCCTCAAAATCGCGCTTAAAGTTTGACTTCATTGGAATTTAATTCTTTTTTGTTTCTTTTGAGCATGATAACGCAAAGGAAACTAACTTCCTGCTCTTCAGGCTCAGCAGCTTCTTCCGACTGCTCGTCCAAGTTTGGTGACTCCAAACGCAAGTTCTCAAGTTGCTCCACAAGATTGCTCATCGAATCGGCCCTCTCTTGCGCATGGCGACCTTTAAGATTTATTATCAGTGAGTGATTTTTCATATTTCTTCAAAAAAATCTAGTTTTTTTGAGAAAAATATCATCAAAAAGTAAATTTTTTTGAAAGCCCTCAAACTTTATAGATCAAATGATCCGAGTATGGAAAAATCAAGAGCCATGCCTCTGCCAAAAGCCCAATAAGTGAAGTGAAAAAAGGTCATAATTCATTTCAAGATTTTTTAAAAGGAAGTAGTTTTTTGGATTGGTAATACTATTGATCCTCATCATTTGACACGGTCGAAAAATCTGGATTCTCTATCATCGGAAAATTCAAGTTTCAAATATTTCTCGGAACTCGTCCTTGAGGGGAAAGAGTCTGTAGACAGGTGGGAGTTTTTAAATTATCAGAGAGTGATGCTAATTACGTGGTATGTTATGACGCGGAATTTCAGAACTAGCCCAAGCAGCCAAAGCTTCCTGTCGCCAGCATTCTTCGCAATAGTTGCCTGAAATGGGAAAGCATATGTCTTTTTTCCTGTAGTTTTAACATTAACTTACAGTACTGTCGAGCTCTCTCGTAGGTCCAGAACGGATCCATCCCATCTTGGAAGTCGCCTCGGTTCAGGGCCATGTTGATGTCTGAAGATGCATGCAAATGAACTAAGGTACACGTTTTCTATGGACAATATTGGAGCTACCAAAAAAACGACGCGGGACGACCCGACCCGCGGTTGAAAATGAGGGTAAATCTAAAAAGCGAGAAAAAAGTGAAAAATCAAGAAACAATGAATTTTTTAATAATGTGACCGCAGGACAGTCGCCTAGTCTCATCACCAGCTCGGAAAAATAGCATCTTGCCATTTGAAGTTTGATTTTTTCAGTGAGAAAAGAGGTCGGAAATAAATCGCAACTTTTTAAAGTTAACTTACGGGACTCGAAATGGTCTCCAGAAACGAAATATTCTTCTACTTCGACGCTTTGACGATCCTCTACGAAATACTCAGGATATTCTTGAACTAGACCCTCTCCGAATCCTTCACGATTCATGTTGGTAACTAAAAAAATGAAGGTAGAGAAGTTAGGCCAAGCATCTTGTTCTCTTTTTTCACGGAAATTGTTCAAAAAAAGATAATTATAATATTTTAGAGTCAATGCTCATGATGAAAAAAAAACGTTTTCTATTTCTCAGGAAGCTCACTTAATTTAGTGATTAATTGAATGATCGATTTTTTTCAAGAGATTGAAGCTCACTGGAATCTCCACTTGCGAATGTTGGGGAGTTTTCTGCCGTACTCCAGACTGGATAGTGCCTCAGCACATCTGACAAATCATGATTAGATTTGTTTAGGGGCCCAAATTTTCGAATTTTGAAACAAAAATAAGACAAATAATTATAAAAAAACCCCAAAAATTATGATTCTTTCCTTGTATTCTAAATTAATTACTTATCATTAGAACTCGCTATAAACTTACTAGGCTCTTCGTAGTCATTAAACTGGACCGCCAGATCGTTAGCCATTCGATACAGAGCATTGTTCATCCTCGTATCTGAAACGTTTTTTTCTTTTTAATAATGAAAAAAAATGAAACTGTTTCATTTTTCTTTTAAAATTTTTTTCATTTCTGTCTATTTTTTTCGCCTCTTTTTCTAATGAACTACAATTTTCGTCGACTAATGTCCGAAAAGATATGGAACATCTTCACGAAATATTCTAATTATCGCAAAAAAATCTCAAATCACCCGGCTCATCGTATCCGTCGACCTGAACTTGTTCTACGCCCCAGTAGTTCGGATCGTTGAAGGCTCCTGAAATTTGAAATCAGAATCATCAAAAAAAAAAAAAACTGACTACAAAATTATCAAAATATTCGTTTTGCAAACAGCCTTTGCCCTTTCAAAAAAAGTTTTTAAACGGCTACAATCGAAAGTTACAACGAAGATCACAGAACTTTAAATAAATATAAAGTTAACTCAATTTCTAGGTGTTTGAATTATTTATTATGAATTTTGAAAATAAAACTTACTTTCATCATAACCGCCATTTTCTACCAAGTACTGCAGGTGGAGTCCATTCCCCATCGGTCCATCTGAAACTGGAATTTTGAAAGGTAACAAAGCTTAAAAACTATTGTACGATGAGTTCGTAAAAAAACCCTTGAGAAGTTTTAAAAAAGACACTTTTTGCGAAAAACGTCATCTTACTCGGCTCATCGTATCCATCGACCTGGACTTGTCCTACACTCCAAAACTGTTGATCATTGAAAGTCCCTAAAATTCGAAATTGAAATGAGCGTACAAACCAAATTACACAGTAGAACTTAGAAGTTAGTCTCAGCCTTTTTAGAAAACTTCCATACGAACTTCTTGAAACCAAGAAAATCTCTAACAACTGCAACCAAAAAAATTAATAAAAAGAAATGACAGGTTTTTTGAAGCTACTATCTGACTGGTAGACAATTTTATTTGAATATGAAACATACTTCTATCGTAATCGCAAATCCCTGGCAAGTACTCCAGGTGCTGTCCGTTTTCAACCAGTCCACCTAAAACCAATATGAACTGTTCCCAAACTCAGAATCCATTTTCGGGCGGCTTAAATAAAGATACCTTTCAAAAAGTACCAATTTGTTGATGAGACTTCTAAAATCGGTGAAAATTCATTTTTAGGTAAATTTTCGAGAAAAAAAGCCGTCTTTTTTTAACAAAAAGAATATGACATTTTCATGAAATATACCCCTTTCCGGAACCATTTGAAAACGTTGGGCCGCTTTTTTTCAAAGTTGTTTCGGAATTGTTCCATGAAAACCGCTGAAAATTTGGGTTGCAAACAAGAAATTTTTCTACAAGAAAAAAATACAATGAGATAAGAAGATTGGTTAAAAAAACCAATATGGGGAAAAGAAAAAACGCGTTTAATTATCTTAAAATTTTATCGAAATAGTTAAAATGAGAAACAGGAAACCGGGAGTACAGAAAAATGATTAATAACAGAAGCAAAAAAATATATGAAAGCATGATGTGATAAAAAAATAAGAACGAGAAATTATAAATAAAAAAGGACAAAATTTATCGAAGGTGCGATTAAACTAGATTTCTAAAGCTTTAGGAAGTTAAGTGAAGGCTCCTTGGAGAAGAGAAGGAGTTTTCAGCGATCCTTTGCGCCAAATCTTGCGTTTACGATTGGTTTTTGTTCAACTGCTTGAGCTTTTTCTGCATGTTCGGCGTTCATTTCTTCCTGTTAGAGATCCAATTAAGTATAAAAAAATGCATAAAATTTCTATTATTAGTATTATTGAAAAATTGTTCAGGTTCAAAAAAACGGTAGCCTCAGCTGTGAAACAGAAACAAGACTTAATGTTTTTTTTTTTAAGTCCTAATAACTCAGAAAACTGACCATTTGCCGCGCAACATCCGCATATTCTTTTTGAACTATCGCGTATGCTTTGTTGGAGGCGCGTGGAAGGGTGTCAACTACATAATAATCAACCTTCAAAAAGTAAGTTACTGGCACAAAAAAGAAAAGACAAACTGACCGTGTACTTAGGCTCAGCAACCCTGAATTGTCGGGATGGAGGAACGAATTTTCTGATTTTTGGATTATTGTGCAACGTCGGAAGAAACTGATCCCACGTCACATACTGCACTCGCACGGGCGGAAGATCAGGAAAAACTCTATCGATAAACTCATCCCAAGTTTCTTCAGTTTTCTTCGGAACGACACTTTCGTTGTTGGCGTTGTCTAAAAATCAGATACTTTCTCCGTCAGCGTTTATTTGGTTCTTTTCGATTTTCTCATCCCGATCCGGCCTCGTCTCAGCGAGGCCTTCAGCAAAAAAACGGCGTGTCTGCCCCAAGAAAAAAAGCAAATTTTATCAAGTCAAAAAAAGTTTTTTGTTTTTTTCTCACTCGCTTTGACTGAAACTATGATTTTTAAAGGAAAGTTTTTTTGAGAAGGAAATTTTTTTAGACGGCTTCAAAAGTTTCACCCCCGTCTGAACGCACAAGCTGCAATCGAGTTAAAAAGCTCCCACAAACTCGATTTTTCCAACTTTTCGAAAACAAAACATCAAACGAAGGCTTAGTTCGATAAATAAATTTCATTTGACACGGCTTGAAAAACTCTGATCCGTCTCTCAGTCAGGCTCTTGTGTTTCAAATATTTCTCCAATCCCTCCAGTAATGAAAAAAAATCTTTTAGACTTTTTCACTTCGTAGAGGAAGATCAACACGAAGTAACAACTTACGTTGCTTGACTCCTTCTTCAGGAGTTCCAGGTACTTCACGAAGACGTTCATCGTTGACAGCGCAGTTTTCGTCCCCTTGATATCCATTCTGTTTGAGATCTTCTTCATGAAGATTCATTTTTTCCTAAAATTATGTGGGTAGTTTATTTATTTAGTTATGCATATGAGCATCAGTAAAAACGGAAACATCATTTGAAGCTCTTTCTAAAGAATTTGGCGGTTTCTGACTTCCTTCCTCTGGCAAAAAAAGGGAGAAAACATTTAGGAATCGGTGATAAACTTAAAATGAGCTCAAAAAAGTGTAGTCAGGATTACGGTACAAAAAGAGTCATCTAAACGGACAGGTTATGAAAAAAAAAAATTTCTTTCAGTGAGCACACTGTAAATTGTGTTCTCTACATTTTGAAATTATAAAGTAGTAATTTCTTTTCAAGACATTTTGAGGAACAAGGAAATGTCGAATTTGCTTTCAGAGCTGCAAAGTCTGATTATTGGAAGGGAACGAAGAAATATGACATTTAGATTTTGCAACTTGTTTTTTTGATTCGGCATTTGAAAATGAAAGAGCTGTCTCATTCCCCGGAACTTTTTTTTGTGTAGGAAGTCTTGAAAAGAGATAGAAGAGAAAGTTCAGACTAACAAATGTGTGTGAGGTAAACATCGCAGATACGGTCCATACTTCTGTGGAAGATATCCCTAGATATGAGTTAACGAAAACAAAAAGACATTTCTGCTAAGCGCCATAGGATACTGAGTTGAAGATTTACGGGAAAGCTTAAACCTGATTTCTTTCGTTTTTTCGAAACGTTTAAAACGTTTACTGTCACTATACTATGTGAAACGAGAAAAAAACTTTGTCCATGAAATTCGTTTTGAAGCTTTCCATGTACATTTTCTAAAAGCTATCTCTCAGTACCCATGGCACTTAGCAGATAGTTCTTTTTTATTTGTATACTCATACCTAGGACTACGTAAGAACAATTTGAAAGAGTTGAAACGTCCAGACACAGGTGGCGGAGAGAGAAGGACAAGAAGAAAGTTTGTAGCGTGAACTCTACAGCTCCTTTGAAGTTCCGCTCCTTCCGAAAAGAGAGCTGCCATGTTTTTCAAATAAAATGTTTTTCAGCCGCGGGTAAGAAAGACTGTGGAGCTGTGGGCGGAGTTTCGTCGCAACGTCAAAAGCCAGACGGATGACTAACGTTTTGCGGCTTTCTAATAACGCTTGCCTCGCGCTTGACATTTCGGGCGAGATCTTTTCGAGCCTTCATTAAAGCAATGTTTTCTTGATCATTTCAAGAGTCAAACATCGTTTAAAACTTCCTCGAATCATTAAATTCAATGAGGTTTTTTTGGTGAAATCCAAGAAGGAGACAGTCTCGAGAAATCCTACAAGCATCATTCCTCACAAGGAGCAAATCAAAGTTAAGCAACTATCCTAAATGTCTGAATAACTTTTTTGAAATGATAAAAAGAGGGTTGGAAAAATCGATGAAAGTACGTAGATCACCGTCCACGAAAGAGGGAGGGATCAAGCCGTTAGAATGAAAAGATGTTCCTCAAAGCTCATTTTCATCAAACGTTGTGACCAATAGATGAACTGTTTAGAAAACTAATTTTGAAAAATGAAGATATTGTGATATTTAGAAAGTGATGGAAAATAATGAAAAGAAAAAAAAAACAAATAGTATACATTCAAGTTTGATTGAATAGTATCTTTGAACAAAATAAGGGAGAAGGTGGAAAGAAGATACTGCGCGGATAAGTTGAAAGAGGTGGTTTGGGAAAGCTCAATCGGCGCAAAAAATGGGAAAAGAACCGAAAAACTTTCAAGAAAAAAACCTGGAGGGGCGCCGCAAAAAACTTTTTTGAGTTGCGCAAAGAGTTCCAAAAAGAGAACCACGAAGTTTTTGGAATGAAATCTGTCTTTTCCTACGATATAAGGGACTGTAGAGCCATGGGGAAAAATGGCTGTTTGTTGAAAAGGTTGGGGAGATAGTCGGAATTTTATTTTTTTTTTAGAAAGTACAAAAGGAAGATATCGTCAAGATTTTCGAATTTTCTGAACTGCATAGTACATTTTCTTAAAAATTTATATCTTCAAAAAAAAACCAGTTTCCAAAAACCAAAAACGAATAATATAATTTTCAAGGCAACATTTTTGCCTAAATCTGAGGGAGCATTCAAATCTGAGTAAAGCAAACATGTAGGTGATTTAAAAAGTTTCTGAAGCTGCGCTTTTTCCCATCTGTTTTTTTTATGACAGGCCTTTTTTGCTAGGTCCGGAGAAACTTATAAAAACTAGGAAAAAAGGCAATTTACGAAGAAAAGAGCTCTTGATTATGCGATGTCTGTGGGAGGGATCGCTACTTGCCCCTGGTTTTTCGTTTTTGATAATGATTTTTTTATTTCAAGCGGAATAGAGTTTGAAGTCTAATACCAAAACAACCAAAGCCAAAAAGCAGTGATGAAACGAAACTTTCGAAGCCTCACCACTTGCAGAAGTAGGTTTTTCAAATGAGATATTTTTTGGTTCTCGGTAAAAGAATGATTTCAGATTTAATAGCTTTTTCAGCACAGTCATTTTCTTTGAAATAGACTCTGCTCGAGATTCAACCCCAAAACGTCTACCACCGGTTTCAGAAAGCTTTTCGTCTCAGCAACGAAGAAAACTTTTCCAACATTCCCTTACGTTTACTGTGATCAAAAATCCTTTTACGTATTTTCATCCCTATGCCGGTAAACTCGCTTGTGAGGGCTTGTTAAACCCGGTACCCATTTCACTCTCTTATAATTCTTGCTCAAGCTACAGTCCCGTCAAAAAAGAAACGAAAAACGGGGTTTCGGTCACAACTTTCTTGTAAGAAAGTCAATCTTCCTGAAACTTCTGGAGCTGTGATAACTGCTATTTTCAACACTCTGATAAAGACTTTCCGGAAGATTAATCTCCTTACAAAAAAAATGTGAACTTGCGTTTTTTCGTATCTTTTCTGACGGTACTGTATGTCTCTTTATCTGAAGCTCATGTTGTCCTATGTATTCGAGTGATAAAAATATTCTCTATTCGAGAGACGGTGGAGCCATGGGCGGGGTTTTGACGCAACGGCAAAATCGCAGACAGGTGACTAACGTTTGCCACCATCTAATAACAAATCCGATGCGCTTGGCATTTTTCAAAATGCCGTTCGAACTGATAATAAAAACAATCTTCTCGTGATCACTTAACGCTTCAATGATTTCGGAAATTTTGATTCTCCAGCTTTCATTTTTCTTATTGAATACAAAATTCTTCTCTGTCAAAATGCTTCTGAAATACGAAAGCAGCGCATGTAACTGTCTAGGTATAGAGATTAATTCTAAAATTAATAATCACACTAAAATCGAAAAAAGGGGGAAAAACCGAAGGAAGAGTCATTGTCAAGTTCACGAGCCCATTGCTGGGTTCTGTAAGGCACACATATAAGCTCTCTGCGTCTTTTGCTTCTCCGAAAAAGAGAAAGAGAGAGAAAAAAAGAGAACGCAGGAGTTTAGGCGGTACATTGCGACTCTCGAAAAAGCAACTGCCGAAAGGGAATGTGCACTTTTTCGCTCGAAATCACAATAAGAAGACGGTGTCTCTGCGTCTCTCAATCTCGCATGAACTTCACTTGAATATGAGGAAGTTGTTTTCCAGCTAGAATACTAAATCGCAATCCCTATGAAGTCTTTCCCCACTCCTTACCCTAGAGGAATTTTTGATCATCCGAATATAAATAATTAGGAATTTTTTCAGCGACTGGTATAGTTTTGAAACGAAATTTGCGAACATTACCGCTTTTTTTGATAGAAAGATTCTTTTTCCATAACTCCAAGAAATGACAATAACCAAGCAATAGTTTTACACTAAAACGAAGAAACTAAAGTTCGAGCTTCCAATTTTGACGGAACAGTATGAAAAAAGGAAAATATTGAGCCTTTACTGTCCAGTAACTGATCTCCGCTTTAAATAAAATATCGCGATGGAAGCTGCCTAAATAGGTTTCATTTTCAAGCTAATCTTGAATCTCAGCTCGGAAATGGTCGATGAGATTTCTGTATGGAATTTGGAAATATTCAAAAAATGCACAAGATATTACTTATTATAAAAAAAGTCAGTTTTTAAAAAAAGCAATTAGAGTTGACTTTTGTTGCCTTAGAAACAAAAAAATATTTTTAGAAGTGTTTTTCGAACCGAGGTGTGATTCAAGGAAGCGCTCTATTTGCCAACCAAAAAAATAAGCGCAAATCGAAAGTTCTACTTTACGCTTTTATATCTTCTTAGCATGTTTTGAGCAAAAATTCTAGATTGACGTCAATTTTTAAAATCATCAAGCTAGTTTTATTGCAAAGTCATTTGTTGTGAGCTTTTGAGAGAACTGTGTGATGTGAACATTACAGGTCTGGTCCAAACTTCTGTTTTAGGTAGTCTTAGGGATGAGCACCAGACAACAGAAAAAAAGTGATCTGCATAGCTCTATAAGGTGTTGAGAAACAGCCCGTCGGATATGTACAGAAAAATTCAAAAACTGATTTTCTTTCAATTCTTTGAGAGAAAAGATTTTTCCTTGTGATTCCTATGATGTAGTAAATTGTATCAGTTGTTTAAAAAATCGAAAACCGAAGGAAATCAGTTTTTAAGCCTTCTCCGTTCATTCTCGGCGGGCTTTTTTCCTCACCTTAGGGCGCTTAGCAGATATCTATTTCTCGAGTACTCATACCTAATACTATCTTCCACAGAAGTTTGGACCGTGCCTGTGATGCTCATCTTCCACACTTTCTTGTTAGGCAAAAAGTTATCAGCCGTCAGGATTCTTAAAATAAAAAAGCTACAGCTGGCCACGAATTAGTTCTATCGATTCTTAATAATTCCAGATGTCCAATCCCAACGGTTTGCCTGAAATAAAACATTATGCACTTTTCAAAGAACTTTCTCGAAAGCACAAAAACTGAAGATTAGCTTTTTTTTATTCACAGTCCAAATATTTCTCGAAAAATTTTTGCTAAGAGCATAGAAATTGGTGAAAAATTCTTCAAAAGATTTTTTTGCTGAGTGATCTCATTAACTTGAAGCCAAGCTACAGATTTTTGCTCTATATAATGAAATTTCTTGAGAAATACCTTTTTTTGAAACAATCCGAGGTCCTGTTGAACGCGTCGTTGTAGTTGTTTCAAAAAGGGTACTTGAGCGCTTCTGAAAGTTGGGTAAAGAGCAAACAATATTTTTAAAGTCATTTTAATAGATAAAAAAATATTGGTAAAAACCAACAAAAGGCATGAAAAGATTAACTTCCGTTACAAAACTTTATTAAAAAGGATAGATAAAACAAACAAAAAAATAAAACTGAAGATTATACTGAACGAAGAAGACAGGAAAATTAACGAAAATAAAAAGAAAAAAATTCGTTTTTTTGTGTTTTTTTGCTTTTTGGAATTTGACAATTAACAGGATGAATGGAGGAGCACTTGTAATGTTGACCGATTCAGTCGTCCTCGTCGGAATCGTCCTGTTAAAATGAAAGGAATACTAGGAAAACCCGATATAATTTCGAATTTTAGCTTCTTTAAGTCCCATACAAGAAAGTTATATTCGAATTTTTGTTCAAATTTACGGAGACGTCGCTCATCCTCCGTAAAAAGCTATTGAGTTAAAAAAAGAAAAATTACAGTTAGAAATTTCGTGGAGTTTTTCACTCGAAGTGGTCATTTTTCATTTCAAGGCTTCTACCTTGAGCACGGTCTCCAGGCACCAGCTACAACATCAGCTACGTTTGAGCTCGTCAAGTCACAACTGATTAGACCAAAAAGAGCGAAGCAGAAGGCCTTTGGATCATGCTTTCAACTTGATCAACTACATGCTTAGACTTTTAGTTTTCCGAAAACGTTAGTTCGTTAAAGCTTTGAAAATCCTTTTTATCCCCACTCGATTACGTCTCTGATTAAATAACGAAATAATCGATTAATTGATGATGAAAATAAAAAATTGACTCACGAAGCCGTCCTCCGGTCCCCCTCTTCCACGAACCATTGCGTCCATCAGAAAGCCATCGATATCATCGTCCGAATCGGCAAGAACCGCATCGTCCTCTGGCCCCACTGCGAGCGCAAGAAAGAACCGATTCACAACGGCCAATCGCTCTCTCAACTCATCATACTCGCGGCCTGAATTTTTTTCAATTTTTTTTTTACTTTTTCAGGAAGATTTTTGATTATTTCTTGCTTATTTCGAACTTTTTCAAAAATGGATCAGTCTGACTTCGAAAATTTGGGTTTCAAAACGTTTTCCTTATCTCACCAATGAGAGAAAAGAGGTCGGAGACAAGTCAGACTGTGTGACTGTTTGACAGACAAAGTCCCAACTTACGCGTGGCCTCTTGCTCGTGCTCGGGCATCTCCAGAATCATCGGAACCGCCGCGGCTTCGGCTTCGTTTCCCACGCCGTCTGTAGTTTTCGAAATTTACCTTCATTTTTTTTTGTAGACGTATTCAATTTTGTGCTGTTATTTTTGAACGAGATACTCTTGCAATAAAAAAAAATCATCAAAACGCGTTCAGTTATGGCTCCGATCAGGAAAGAGGGGAATCGGAGACAAGCCAGAATTTGTAGAGCATGATCTTAATCAAAGCGTAACTCACTGCGGACCACAGCATCTTCAGCAACTGCAGCTTCATCATTGCCTGCGAGTTCTTCTTCAATTTTCGGAGTCTCATCTCGACTTTCCACATGATGTTTGGGCACTTCGGCAACGCCTTCGTTTTCCACTCCTTGGTTTTCGACTTCTTCACGAATTGGTTCGTTCGGATCCATGGTCTTACTGAAATCATGTTTTGCTTGGATAGTTTGATAATTTCTCATACAAACAAAAACATCAGTTGAAGTACTTGCAGAAAAATGAGAAATTTTTCAATTGGAACAGATATAATCACGTTAACAAAAAACAGTTTGAAAAATCGACTTCACGACTTATTGAACAAACTTTGAATTCGATGTGAAAACTAAACTTCAAGCCTGATGAAAATAAAACTTACCTAACTTACCGTACGTGATACACAATCAATTTTCAAAAAAAATGAATGAAAAATAATCTCGATGAACTTTGAATATTTGTGAAACAGGAAAATAAAATATACTAAATAATCCATGAAAAAAAGCATCATTAAAAAGGACCTTAAAAAAATTCGATAGAGGAAAAAAAAGTTATGAAAAAAAGCGAAATAGTGCAAAAAAATTCCAGAATTAACTACAAATAGAAAAATTTTTTTAATTCAGTAGATAAAAAAATTGGTTTTCGAACCAACATGAAAAAAATTTTTAAAAATCAATTCCCAACCCAAAAATTTTTATTTAACAGAGAGACATAACGGAGAAGTTCAAAAATAGGACAGAGCAAAAAGAAAAAGTATAATGAATAAACCAAAAAAATAAGAAAAACCAAAGGCACGGTAAAATGCAAAAATAAACGTTTTTTTTGGCATTAGGTTGGTAAGGCTTGTTTTTTGGGAAAATTCTTTGAGACCTATCAATTTTCATCTCCCTTTTTTGTTGAAAACCCGTCCAACCCAATATTAAATAAGTTTTTATTTTTTTTTTAGGTTTTTGTGTTTTTTTTAATGTTCCTTTCGGAGTTTAACAGAAAAATGCAGAAAGAGTACTCCTATGAATTACATAGAGCCCTTGGGATGCTCCCCGTTGAAATCTTCTTCGAACTGAAGCGCTTCCTGTAAAAAAATAAATTTTTTTGAATAAGTTTAAAAAGCTGTTCACATTCACAGTCCATCAAGGCAGGTTACACAAGAGGAACATTCTAAATAAAATAGGGAAACCAAAAAGCAGTTCCGAAGTATCTTAGTTGACCCTTGGGCATCTGAGAAAAATTAAAAAAAATTAAATGCACGGAATGCAACTGGATTTCTGACTTCGATTTCAAATTTTCGAAGATCTTCAAAATTATTCATGGTTTTTCTGTTTCCTGATGACTCAATATCGTATTACGATGAAAGCAAAAACAACTTTCTTAGTATCGAATTTGCTGTCTTGAAGCAAAAACAATTTACAAAAAGTGTGAAAACTCAAAATCTCACAACGTGAATGATCTTCTGAGTTCTTTTCAACAATTTTAGCGTACTTTATTCATTCTTTGAATTGTATGATTCATTTTGCTTATTTTCCAAAAGTGGATTACTCAGGAAAACTAACCAAGTCCACTTGGAAATCAGGGTCAAACTCGCTCATTTGTTCGAGGTATTCGGAAATGTCGAAACTTCCGTGAGAGCTTGGAGGAGCCGACTCAACCTTAGTATAACTATTGTAAGTAGGGAAAAATGAAACGGCGAAAATCAGGATTAAAACTCACGAGGTGCAGATCCTGATTTTCAGGTCGATAAACGACTTGCTCGACAGCTCCCGCGAATCGCGCGAGAACTCTCTCGTCGTCTTGCCGGTTTTCCGGCAGCACCGGGAACAGCCAGATCAAAGTATCGATGATGTTCATTGGTTTCAAAGAGAGAGGAGCTTCATAGTCCGCGCGGCCTATAAATTTTTTAAAATTTCTTTCAACTTCTTATAATCTGTGTGCCACGACTTGAAATTTCACCGAACGACATTCCGCTGTTTTGCTTCGTTGCGAAGCGTCTTTGAGAGCCTCGGTCTCGCTTTGAACTGGTTCTCATTTCTAATAGATGAACTGTCCCACTAGGAACACGTGTTGGTCGAGTTCTCAAGTAAAATGAAAAATTAAAGGCGCGCAGCGGAACAGCGGAATGTCTTTCGGTGAAATTCCAAGTCGTGGTACACAGATTATACACTCTGTAAAGCTTTCTTGCGAAATTGGGAGAAATACTTTTCAAGTAGAACGCCTTTAAATGTGGGACACAACCAACTTTGAAGATTTAGTCAATTTTTCCCGACTCAAAAGGCAAGGAAGAAGTGTTTGGGACGCGTAGCGTGTTCGTTAGCGGTTCTTGGCACGAGTTTAATTCACCCACCAGCAATTATTTTGAGAACTCGTTTATAGCTCTTTTCATTTCTTTCCCAATTATTAATTGATTTGTTTCATTTTTGCACTAGAAAATAGTAAAATAGGTACAAAAAGAGCCGTGACCGGTTTTTTTTAAACAGTCTGTGTCGTTCAAATTGAACTCGGGCCAAGAACCGCGAGCGCACACGTTACGTGTCCCGCCTACTTTTTTGCCTTTTTTGCTTTTAAAGTAGGGAAGGATTGACTAGAACCGTTTAAAAAAATTCTAACTGTCTTTCCGCAAAATTATTCTTTCAAATGGAAAAAAAAAGAGTTCAAAGTGTGTACGGCTGAAAAAAATGGTGTAAATTAAGTCACAACTTACTGTGGACAACATCATCTTCATTGCGTTCGGCGTCGTCATTTTGTTCTTCGTCTGCGAGTTCTTCCCCGACTCCTCGATCTTCCTCGACAGTCTCATTCTGATTTTCCTCTCCACGCTTTTCGATTTCTTTTGGATCGCTTTGATCAGAACTCATCGTGCTGCTGAAATCATAAGTTGCCTTGAAAATTTAATAGTTTTGGAGTTGGACAAAAACATTGATTGGAGGAGTTTTGGATATATGTGACGGCTTCCAAAACTCAACAAGCTATAAAAAAGCTAACTCACCAAACTTACCGTGCAACCGATGCTTACAAAGAGAGTTTGAATGAATTTCGAATTGGTTGTGAAACGAGAAAACGTAGAACATGGAAATGACTAAGCACAAAATCGATCAAAAACGCATTAGAAACATTATGGTTTTAAAAGGAATGATCTGGCGTTTTCAAGAGAATCAAGAAGCATGAAATGTTTTCGAGTCCATTCAAAAGATAACAGAATTGGCTTTCAACCAATATAAAGAAATCAAAAAACTACTTCTCAACACAAAACTTTATCACGCGGATAGGTATTACAAAATCGGGACAAAGGCAGTAATGGAGAACAAAATATGGTGAATGAAATAATAATATAAAAGGCAAGAATAATGAAAGGCAGAGTAAATGAAATTTCAAAGTTAACAAGGGGCAGGAAAAATGTTCCTGGAATTACATCGAGCCATCGGAAAACGGGCCGCGGAGGTTGTCAGAGATGAACAGATTTTCGGAGATCAGCCCAGCCTATTGAAAAATTCAATTTGTAAAAATATTTCACAATATTATAACATATAGTATGACTTTCCCTTAAATTGATAGGCCATACAAAAAAATTCTCATGTGGTGTCTAAATTGAAACTTTTAGAGTCAATAATAGTTCATAAGTTTCACTTAAGGTCTGACTAAGCCAAATCAAGATAAATTAAGAACAATTTTTCGGAGCTTTCAAAAGCGGGAAATGAAGTTGGAAGACGGATGCTACTTTATTATCGCGCAAAATAAAGTTTTCAGAAAAAAACTTACCAACGTGCGGTCCCGGAGTCGCATTTCGAACATTTCGGTTTCTTCTTCATACTGACGATAATCGAAGTTTTCCAGAAAGGATTCCTCAGAAGGAGTCCGTTGAAACTAGAAAAATATTTAATGGCGCGTTCAGGAGCAAAACGCGAAATTTTTCGAAATTCAAAAGAGCGTTCACGGCGATACTTCGAAATTAGCGAATTTCGATTTTTTTGAGATAATTTTTGAGAAATTTCAAAAAAAATAGCGAGAAAATTGGTTTCGCGCGAAATGGGTTACGGTATATTGACATTTTGTGTGCCAAACGCAGTTTTTTTCTCTTTTTTTCTTTTTTTCAGATAATTTTTTTCTTTTTATTTTTTTCAATTTTCAACCCGTTCAAAGTTATTGATTTTTAGAAATAGTACGAATGAAAGCCTTAAGTTAATTTTTTTCGACTGTCTGAACTTAAAAAAAGTTCAATTTTTACTCAAATTTCTTTATTTATCGTTTTTTTATCCAACGGATGTATCAGAGTGTTTGAAGTTGCAGGTCTCTAAACTATGGCGGGTATTGGATTACCGAAAGTGCTAAAGTTGAAAAAAAGGTTAATTTTTCATTCAAAAAAAACTTTTTTTCGCAATTATTTTTTTACAATTTTTTTGATTCTTTTTCACAAAAAAATTTAGACTCGTTAGGGAGGCACGAGCGGCTCGTGTGAAGGTAACGCAAAAATTTTTCGTCTCTACAGTCAAGCATAAATTCGTGAGTTCTCTTATTCTTCGATATTATTTTTCTTTTTATTTTTCAATATGTCTTGTCTGTTCAGTTGTACACGAAAAATGAATACCACGGTTCAACCGGTGGTATGAAAAAAAGAACAGCAAAAACTCGAACGACTACTTTTCCGATTATTTCATATCGCTAGGGAACTTTCCGACTAATCTTTTATCGAATTTTCTTCTCAATAAACTTTTCGTTTTAAATATCCCTGTATAAAGTAAACAAGTTATTCATATTTTTAAACACAAAAAAATAGGAAAAAAATATGTTGATAGATGTTTTATAAACCGAAAAATATAAGGGAAAAAAAGTCGGAAAGGGATTCGGCAGAAAAAGTGGCCGTCGGAAAGTCCCCCTAGCGATATGAAAAAAAATCGGAAAAAGTCGCCGTTTGAATTTCTGCTTGTGTTTTTTTCATACCACCGTTCAATCAGCCTTTCCTTTCTGGAAAAATTTCTGCTGCTTACAGGCCTAGACGAACGGTTTACGAAGGACACGCCGAAAGACTACACGTGGAACTTGGATCTTTCCTTATGAAACTTTTTCTAATAAAAAAAATTCATTGTTTTCTTCTGCCTTTCAGAAACATCTCATAACAAAACAGTTTCTGTTGTTAAGTTTTTAATTTGATTAACTAAGCAGCTTGTTTTTTCACATTTATTTTTCAAGAAGGTAATGCTCATCATCTTTATTCAAACAAATGATAGAGAAAATAAAGCGTAATAAAACAAATCAAAAATCATTGAAACGAAGAAGAAGTTAAAAAGCTGTGGATTTGACAAAAATCGAGACATGGTAAATTCCAAATTTATCCGGCTGGCCACAACAATGTCTTGTTCGAATGAGCTGAAAAAAATTCAATACTTTTTCTTTTTAATGAAATGAACCAGTTATTGAAAAATTGTATAAATAAAAAAACCTTCTATTTCCTTCTTGACCGTTGCGTCGAAAAATCACGGATTTATGCTTGACTGTAGAGACGAAAATTTTGCGTTACCTTCACACGAGCCGCTCGTGCCTCCCTAACGAGTCTAAATTTTTTTTTGTGAAAAGAATCAAAAATTGTAAAAAATAATTGCGAAAAAGTTTTTTGAATGAAAATTAACCTTTTTTTCAACTTTAGCACTTTCGGTAATCCAATACCCGCCATAGTTTAGAGACCTGCAACTTCAAACACTCTGATACATCCGTTGGAAAAAAATAAAAAAACGATAAATAAAAGAAATTTGAGTAAAATTGAACTTTTTTTAAGTTCAGACAGTCGAAAAAAATTAACTTAAGGCTTTCATTCGTACTATTTCTAAAAATCAATAACTTTGAACGGGTTGAAAATTGAAAAATAAAAGAAAAAAATTATCTGAAAAAGAAAAAAAGAGAAAAAAAACTGCGTTTGGCACACAAAATGTCAATATACCGTAACCCATTTCGCGCGAAACCAATTTTCTCGCTATTTTTTGAAATTTCTCAAAATTATCTCAAAAATCGAAATTCGCTAATTTCGAAGTATCGCCGTGAACGCTCTTTTGAATTTCGAAAAATTTCGCGTTTTGCTCCTGAACGCGCCATAAATATCATTGGGAGAATGTGACGGTTTCTAATATTTCTAATTGGCCGGTCTCAACAAAATAAAAGTCAAATGAGTCGTGAAAAGCTTTGGATAAGTGATTCAAGCCAAACAAAAAAAAGAATGAGAAGACTCACGCGCTGATGTTCAGGAAATTCGGCGGCTCTGGCGAACTGCGCGGGAATCGCCTCCTCCTGCTGCCCGATCCCGGGCGCCGTCGGGATCAACGGGTATAAGGCGAGGTAGCGGCTGGGTTCGTTTCCAACGCGGTCTAAAACTTGTAAACCCAATCTTCATCATTTTTACAGCGGATTTGATTTTATCTTGCTATTTTTGATCAAATACTACAGGAACCTGAAGCTAAGTGGCGAAACTTTGTAGAGCCCGAAAATCTTTGTTTTTGTTTTTTGGAAGGATAAAAGAGATGACTGTTTTTTTTTCTTCTTTATTCAATTATTTCCAACTAAATCAGAAGATCTGAAACTTTATGAGAATGCCTCGACTGTCGTTCAGCAAGGATCTGATGCTCCGAAAGATTTTTTGTTACCTCGCCTGGTAGAAAAAAAATCGGAAAAAGTCAGACTGTTCGATTTCGTAGAGAACGACTGTATAAAAACTCGAAACTTACTGCGCTCGCCTTCGAGCTCAGCAATTTCGGCGAACTGTGCAAGAGGGCCGGCCTCTTGGCGCCCGTTCACGGGCATCACCGGGTCATTCGGGAATCCGCGGGTTTCGATGTAGTTTGCAACGAGGCCTGTAACTTTTGGAATCAGTTTTCATTCTTTTACAAACAGTTTCAATATCTTATCACTACTTTTTTTACCAAGATTCTCTTGCGAGAAAAAATCATCAAAGAGTGTTTCAAAAATCTTTTGACCTTGCCAGGTAAAAAAAGGGCAAAGACAAGTCAGAAGTTTGATTTTGAAAAGAATGATGTATTTCAATACAAAACTCACCGCTCTCGCCTTCGAGTTCAGCAATTACAAAGAACTCTGCGGGAGGGCCCGCTTCTTGGCGCCCATGAACGGGCATTACCGGGTCGCTCGGGAGCTCCCGCGTTTCGATGTTGTTTGCAACGAGGCCTGTAACTTTCATAATCAGTCTTCGTCCTTCTATTTTTTCAACTAAATACCCTTTCGGAAAAAATCATCAAAAAGCATTAGAAATTTTTTTCTAATTTTACCAGATAAAGAAAAGAACTCACAAGCAAGTCAGACTCTTTTATTCCCTAAATAATGATATAGATAGAGTCAAAACTAACTGCGCTCTCTAGCTTCCAGCTCATCGGCCGCAGCTTGGGCTTTCTGGAGGTCATCATCGACAGGATTGTCCAGCTCCATTTCAAGCAGTTGCTTTTGATCTTTATTCATTGTTATTCTGAAACTACATTAATCATCCTAACATCATGAAAATTTGGACAAAAACTAGTTTGAGTAACTTTCAAAAAAAGTTTCCGAGAGGCACCTTTCGGAAAAAAACAATAAGGTAGCCAGCAAGTATGAATAAAATTTTCAGAAGTTGAAAATTACAAAGAAAAAAACAAGTTCAAAGGATGAGAAACAGATAAGTTTGCGAAATAGATTGAGTCATCAGAATGAACAGATTTATGAATAGAAAGGCTCGTGATTATCTCGAGATGCATTAACTGAATTTTTTTTTTCAAATCTCGAAAGAAATCAAATGAAGCAATCTCATTCATAAACGAAAAAAGTTAACTTTTTCTCATTTCTGAGCTGTAAGATTCCGGTTATGTCAGCAGAAAAAGAAAAATCAATATTCAAAATATCGTTACCTCGAACTACCCATTGAAAAAAGCGCCTTTTTCTTTAATGCAAATTTTTGAGAAGTTTAGTAAGACCGGAGAATTTCAAATGTTGAAGGTGTCTTATACATTCTTCAAGTCCACTTCCTAGTATGGACTTTTGAATAAAAGGATCAGAGCCAAAGAGAAGGTTCTGATAAGAGGGAAGGGAATGATTTGAATAAGTTGAGAGGTTCAAACAAAGGGGGCGGAGAGGAGAGGACCGGAAAAAAGTTGGTGCCATGGACGCCACAGGTCCATGAACCTCCGCTGCGTTTGAAAAGGAAGCAACCAAGTTTTCAAATGAAGTTTCTCTGCCTTCGGTAGGAAGATATGTGAAGCTGTGGGCGGAGTTTTGTCGTAACGTCAAAATCGCAGACAGATGACTAATATCGCGAAGTTCTAATAATAAATCTGTCGCGCTTCATTTTGCTTTAAATCTTGCCGAGATTGTTTTCTTGACCATTCAAAAAGCCAAAGATCAATTATTGGGAACTTCTCTGAATCATCAATCTTCGAGAAAGTGTTTTTTGGAAAAATCCGTGAGACAGGAAATCTCAAAAGATCATAGAGAGAGATTTGAAATGAGGAAACTATCCAAACTGTCCACATAACTTTTTAGAAAGTGAGAGAAGAGTCGTTGGTATCCATGAAAGTATAAAGATCAATATCCACAAAACAGGGATCAAGCTGTTGGAATAAGCAACATCTATTTAGAGTCCTCGTCACGGGACAATGTTTTGATGACTAATAGACGGCTTGTTCCGAAAATCTCTGGAAAAAAAAATTTTGAGCTTTTGAGAATAAGCTGGAGAAGAGCTAGATTTTTTGGAAAATCTCTCAATTTTACCGCAACATTTTGAGACAAGTTTCAAAAGTTTGCTAGAAGTTATCTGAGGCTGGGTTTTGTTCAGGTAAGGATGTTTGAATAAGATGAGGAAACAAAGAGAAGGTTCAGCTGCGATTTGGATAAGTTGAGAAGTTCAAACAAAGGAGGTGGAGAGGAAAGGACTGGAAAAAAGTTGGTGCCATGGACGCCACAGGTCCATGAACCTCCGCTGCGTTTGAAAAGGAAGCCACCAAGTTTTTCAAATAAAATGTTTCTCCTTCAGTAGGAAGAACTGTGCAGCTGTGGGCGGAGTTTGATCGTCACGTCGAAGTCGCAGACGGATGACTAATATCGCAATGATTAAAATATTTTACTACCTTGTCGTTTTTCTTAATCTGATATTATGAACTACAGTTCTCCAAAATGTTTGATGAGAATCTCGAGTGGAATCGAAAGAATGGAAAAAGAATGAAATTCAACTTCTTTGGGATGTGGTAGACAGGAGCCTTTTTGCTTGGATTTTTTGAAAACCACATGAATCAACTGCCTCTATAAACTTGAATAAGAACGCAGGAAAATCTGACATGCACTAATGTCAGAAATGATACAAACATTTTTTGACTCATAATTTCTTTCGTATGGTGCTCAATTTGTTCTGACCAAGCTGTGGGGAGTGCTGAAGGTAAGGTTCCGGAACTTTTTTGGAAATGAAGAAGGGTCTCTTTTTGGCAAGGATATTTGAATAAGAAGATGAGGGGACAAAGAGAAGGTTCAGCTACGATTTGACTAAGTTGAGAAGTTCAAACAAAGAAGGCGTAGAGGGAAGGACTGAAAAAGAATTTGGTGGCGCGAGCGCTACAGACCCTTTGAACTTCCGTTGCGTTTGGAAAATAATCCGCCAAGTTTTCAAAAGAGTTTTGATGTGCTGCAAGAATCATGAGAAGATGTTAAGATCGAGACAAGATCGATACAAAGAAATGTTCCCAAAAAATTTCAAGACGAGATCGAGTCTCGTGCAACCGTGTGCTGGAACTAAACCTTTTCGTTTGTTTTTTCGAAAGTAAGAAAGAAAAGATGTTCAACTGCCTTTATGAACTAGAACCGACTTAGCGAGATCTATTGTGCAAGTTTCAAAAAAATGCTGAAAATTTTCCAAAAATTCTAGCGAAGATATTTGAACAAAAAATGATGGAAGGAAGTGAAGGGGCGGTCACGATTTGAATGAGTTAATAAGTTCAAAGAATTGAAGCGCACAGGGAAGGACTAAAATAAATAGGTTGGTGACGTGGACGTTACAGGTCCTTTGAAGTTCCGCTCTTTTCAAAAAGAGAGCTACCGCGTTTTTCAAATGATTTTTTATTGGCCTCCCGTAGAGTTGTAGAGCAGTGGGCGGAGTTTTGTCGTGTCGAGAAGTGTTTTGGGACCGAGACAGGAAATTTTTTCACACAATTTTCCGAGGTGACATCGAGTCTCGTGCAGCCCTGCCTGGTGTGGTGAAGAAAATAAATCTAAATTTAATATCGAAACGATAACGAGACCAGATTTAGTCTCGTCCGACCATGTTCTAGCGATCAGCCTTTCCTCTTGACATTTTAAAAAACTCAGGAGAAAAGGTGTTCTGAATATCAACAGCATCAAATGCCTCTATGAATTCGAATCAGTCCGCCCAAAAAGTTATCCGGTCTAGATATTACTATTATTCAAGTTTCATAACTTTGCTGAAAATTGGCTGATGCAGGGTTTTATCTCGTAAAGATACTTGACCAAGAAAATGAGGTAAGAAAGAGAAGGTTTAGCTAGGGGAGTTGAAAACGATTTGAATGAGTTGAAAAGTTCAAACGAATGTGGCGAAAAGGGAAGGACTAGAATAAAAATGTTGGCGGCGTGGACGCTACAACTCCTTTGATGTTCCGCTCCTTCCGAAAAGAGAGCTACCGCGTTTTTCAAATAAAATGTTTTTCAGCCGCGGGTAGGAGAGACTGTGGAACTGTGGGCGGGGTTTCGTCGCAACGACAAAAGCCGACGGATGACTAACATTTTGCGACGACCTAATAATACATTTATCGCGCTCGACATTTTGCTTAAGATCTCGCCGAGACTTCATTCAAAAAATGTTTTTTGACCTTTTTAAAAGCCGAAAATCAATTATTTGAAACTTCTCTGAATCATTAAAGTTCGAAAATGATTTTTGGGGAAATTAATAAAAGACATTTTTGAGGGATCAAAAAGAAATTTTGAAAGTGAAGAAACTTTCCAAACTGTCCACATAACTTATTAGAAGGTGAGAGAAGAGTCGTTGGTATCCATGAAAGTATAAAGATCAATATCCACAAAACAGGGATCAAGCTGTTGGAATAAGCAACATCTATTTAGAGTCCTCGTCACGGGACAATGTTTTGATGACTAATAGACGGCTTGTTCCGAAAATCTCTAGAAAAAAAAATTTTGAGCTTTTGAGAATAAGCTGGAGAAGAGCTAGATTTTTTGGAAAATCTCTCAATTTTACCGCAACAATTTGAGACAAGTTTCAAAAGTTTGCTAGAAGTTATCTGGGGCAGGGTTTCGTTCAGGTAAGGATGTTTGAATAAGATGAGGAAACAAAGAGAAGGTTCAACTGCGATTTGGATAAGTTGAGAAGTTCAAACAAAGGGGCGGAGAGGAGAGGACTTGAAAAAAGTTGGTGCCATGGACGCCACAGGTCCATGAACCTCCGCTGCGTTTGAAAAATAAGCCACCAAGTTTTTCAAATAATTTTTTTCTGCTTTCGGTAGGAAGATATGTGGAGCTGTGGGCGGAGTTTTGTTGTAACGTCAAAATCGCAGACAGATGACTAATATCGCGAAGTTCTAATAATAAATTTATCACGCTTCAGTTTCGCAAGAAATCTCTTGAACAGATTTTCCAAAACACGTTTTTTTTCGATCAGCGAGGAGGTCAATGTCTAATTCTTGAAAGTTTCTTCGAATCATAGATCCTCGAAAACTTTTTGGTAAAAATTCTAAAAGGGATGAACTTGAGAATCTAATTACATTGAACTGAATAAGTTATTATAGGCTAAATATGACTAAATAAAAAAACTTTTTCAAACATATTTTTTTATAGATCATTGTTTTAACGACTAATAGATGAAACAACTGTTTCAAAAAAATCTTTGACAAAAAAATATTTAATTCAGTGACAGATCGGTAGCGATAATAAATAGTTTCTGTCTAATGCATTTTCTTTTTGATTAATTTCCATCTTAGAACAAGCTAAGAGGAGGGAGAAAGATAAGTAAACGGGTATTGGGGTGGATTAAAATAAACTGTTTCGAGAGCTCTACCGGCGCAAAAAGAGGCGGAGAAGGAGAACAACCAAAAGGAATCCTGGGAGTTGCCGCATGAATGTGTTTGAGGCTCCGATGCCTGTAGAGAGATGCAACCCGGCTTTTTAAACACCGTTATTATTTCTGAACAAGAAGTGCTTCAAAGTACAGATTCCAAAAAAAAACACGTTTGCAAAATAGAGCCTTTGAACAGAAATAACAAAGTTTTTATAAAAATCGACTTGCACAATTGAGAAGCCGTAAAGCCGAAATTTCAGACAAATGACTAATATTTTGCGACGATCCAATTAACTATTTATCGCGCTCGAACTTTTGCAAAAATTTTGTCGCATTTTGATGAAAACAACCTTTTTTGATGAGCAGTCTTTGAAAGACTATTTCTTCATAAATTTCACGTTTTTGGAAGTTTTTTAAACCGCCACCTTTTCTTGGCGGTTTCAAAAATATTGCAACAAAAGGCATTCTTGTAAAAAATGAAAATGAAATTATCTTCCATGAAATTATAACTTCACTACTAATTTCAGTGTACTTAGTCCGATATGAACACAAAAAAGCCTATTTTGGAAAAGACCTATTGACTTATCACGGCAAAAATTTTTTCTTGGTTTTTTTTTCGTTGTATTCGAATTTATTTGAAAGAAGTTTGTTAGATACTCAGTGCAAAGATTTGGAGAAAAGTTTGGAAAATCGATAAGACAGTGAACAAAAAGGGCAGACGCCGTCGGCCAAGGGAGCCTCTCAAACTCCGCTTCCAGCAAAAGTCGGCGAGGGCACGTGGTCTTTTCGGACAAAAGTTCTGCCACAAATCGCACGGTCCGTGTTTGCGCTTTGTTTTACGGAGATCGCAGATGGGAAACCAATCCCATTACTATTCAAATGTACAATGTGCACGGCATTTTGGGAAAGAAATCGTCGAGCTGCCATATAAACAAATGTGTTTCACCTCCATTGTTTGACGATACGACGCTAAACAACTCTGAGAAAATTCTTTTTTTTCGCAGGCTCTTCCGAAAACCTTTCCGTTTGATTCCCCAACCCTCAGTTGGGGTTGGAATAAAAAGAGGAAAAAACTGTTTTATGAGGAAGAAATATAGGAAATAAGTTTTCAAACCTCATTTTCTTAATGAGAAGTGTAAAAAAAGATAGTATATATATGTGAGCCTCTTGAATCAAGTTTTTTTCTCGTTTTTTTGTTTTTCGGACTGTCTGATACTCATTGTATCTTTGAGTCATTTTTTTAAAAATTTAGGCTTGGAATTTGAAATCAAAAATGCCGCCAAAATAGAAATCTGAAATCGCTTTTTTTCCATTTTTCAGGTTTCAAAAATTTTTTTATATTCTCATTTATTCTCGATTACTGTTGCATTGGTTTATAGTTGAAAAAAAATTGCAGAAAATTATAGCGTTTCTTCATTCTCTTGTATCCTAACCTAAAAAATAGAAGAATAAGAGGCTAAATGAAAGCTTTGTTTTTTTTTCAGAGGTTTATGAAGCAAAAAAATGAGTCTTCAATTTCAAAAAGGTAAGAAAATTTGAAACAGCGCGCACGCGCACGCAAAAAGCGTCAATGCGCAGTGTCTTCTGTAGCGACGTCTCAAAGAAAAAAAGCCAATTCCTCTTCCCGAAAAAAATGTTCAAAACTTTTTATGAAGCGATGTAAGACATTCAAAATTTTTTTGAAAACTTTAGTATCTTTGAAATTATGAAAAAAAGCTGAAAACTTTTTTTCTGTCATCATTTTCTCCAAACTGACAAATCTGGTTGAGCCTTTCTATTCATGATTTTGATCCCGTCCACCACCGAAAAACCCTAAGTTAGGAAAACTTTTCTGAGTATGCGTCTTTGAAAGCTGGGCTAATATCCAAAAGTGGCCAGAAAAAAGTTAACATCCCTCTCTTTTATCCATAAATGATCATCCCAAACACTCCTCAAAACTCATCTTTTTCTCGAATTTCAGACAAAATTTTGAAGTGTGACAAAATTTTTCCAGTGAGTGCTGGATTCTGTAATGCGCACATATAAGCTCTCTGCGTCTTTTCATTCTCTGAAAAAGAGAAAGCAGGCAGAAGAAGAGAACGCAAGAATTTAGGCGGTACATTGCGATTCTCGAAAAAGCCGCCGATGGAGCGAATTTTGCACTTTATGCTCGAAATCCCAATAAAAGGGGATGAAGATCGTCTACGCGGCGTTTCTCAGTCTCACGTGATTTTTACCCAAGTATAAACAAGTCGTTTTCTCGACTAGTTTAAGTTCCAGCTATTTCGAAAGCTTCAGTTATAATTTTGATAATAAATAGTATAAAGTGATTCCTGGAGCTTATGCTGGTTCAGATGAAACTTCCAACTTTTTCCAAGTTTTGAACTTTGAAGTTTTTGAAGTTTTCAGTTATTTGAACATTAAAAGATAAAAATAAAAAACAGCATGAGATTGCTGAAGCCAAAGTCTGAATTTATCAAGTTGTCAAGAAACGGATTTCGTTTTTTGATGCTTACACTTTGACAAAGGAATTTAGGATAAAAATATTTTTTTGATACTGGATTGTTATATATCATTTTGAAGCTCGATTTCTGTTTTTTTCAAATTGCACGTGAAAGATTTTTAACGAAAAAAATTGAATGAATTTTTTTCTCCGTCTAAAAAGTCGAATGCAAATTTGCGATTTCGCTTTTTTTCCACCAACCAAAAAAACTTACCGAACTCACCTAACTTACCGTAATTAAGCCGCAGTCGATTCCAACAAAAATAATAAAAAAAGGTATTTCAATCGATTTCAAATCGATAGTGAAACAATGAAACTGAAAGAAAAAAATTTTTGAAATCAATCTTCATTAGAAAAACATTACGGAAAATTCCGAAATCAGGAAAAGTTATATGTATGTAAGAAAACGGATGAATGGAACAAAACAAAAAGTTGAAAACATGTAAAAAACTTCAGTAAAGAAAAGACACCGATGAGAACTTTTGGTATCAAGAAAAAGTCTCCAAAAATTAGGACCTACATAAGTGAAATGGGACAAAGGGAAAACTCAAACTTAACATTATAGAAATTCAATAAAGAGTATATCATTGAGTACTTTTTGGTTCCTTAAGAAAAAAAGTTTTTTTCAAAAAAAGCAAATTAAAGCTTCAAAACTTCGAGAAGTACATTACTCGGGCAATAAATTACGATCGATAAAAGTTACTGAAAAAATGAAATGAAAGAGATTTTTTAGATTGAGAGTTTTTTATTCCATACTGGTTGGGCCCGACGTCATCCCATCAAGCCACTCATAGATACGGTTGAAAATATCAACAGTTTCCTGATCACTTCCGATTCTCTTCTCTTCCTGAAAAATATTTGGTTGAGTAAATAAAATTCTGACTCTTTCTGCTCATTAGAAGCAAAAACAGGAAAAATTCCTTAGGAGAAACGGTATTTCAAGGAAACTACGGAAGTACAGTATTTTACCATACGGAACTCTGCTTATTTCGAAAAAAAATGCTACATAGCCAGAGAAAATCGTGGAAAACTGGTTAAGTCGGCTACTATTGAACTTTGAGCTTTCCTCAAAAGTTAGAAAAAAGGAAAAAATGATACTTAAAAAATTTATTATTCAGAGAGCTTTTTGGCGATTTTTTTTATGGAGTGACTTCTCTTTAGTTTAAAAAGGACTCGGGATTTTTACAAAGCATTTTATGAAGTTTTCAAAGACTCTCGTTTCGTCATGCTTGATTTTTCCAATTTTTTTCAGCTTGCTCTATTTTTAACAATATTCGATGAAAGAAAATGTCACTCCACCTCAAACTCTGGCAATGGGTTCGAGAATTGCGGGTCGCAAGAAGAAAAGAACTGCGGCTCTTCTTGGTTTCCTCGCATCTAAATTTAGATTTTTACAATTGTTTCAACTGAAATCATTACGTTCTCGCCAAGATCGAAATGATATTGAGGGAATTTCGGGAGGTACTCGTCGTCCTCGTGAGCGACACGTTCGAAGTCCCAGTTGCGGCACTCGCGAATCATCCATTTCAGCTGAAGTTTTAAAATTACGTTTAAACCATTAAAAAGGTTTGTTTCTGAGTTGGGAAAAATTTTTTTCGCTGTACGGCTTAAGAAAGACGATTTTTTTCCAAACATTGTCTGCGATTCATATATCAATTATAGCTTTCCATAACACAAACTATATCTGGATGGGTGCATTAAAGACGCGTCAAACGTGACTCAAAAGGATTTTTTTACACACTTTTGCCAAGTCATCGAACTAAATATCTCCAACCTCCCACCTTATCCGAAGCATTCATCAATAAATCTGTTTCAAATTCAAAGTTGCCAGAAAACTCCGTACCTGATGAGTGTAGGACTGCTGATTGTCAAGCAAAACATTTGCAAGTTGGGCCCAATAATGCGCCAGGAACAGGGCTGCGTCCCCAGAAGGAGTCGGAGGGTTGAAAGGTCTGAGGACCGGAGTACCAGAGGGGCGAGAGTGGGTCGGCTGCCCCCGGTCCGTCGAGGCGTCACAATTTGGCTGCTTCAAATTGACGCCGGTGTGAGGAAGCTCCATATCCTGATCCGGGTAGAAGGATAAGCAGTGGGCGATCCAACGGAGGTAGCGATCCGCTGCAAACTTTCGGTGGTAATCAATATACTACCAGCTAGGAGATCTACCTCTTGAGGATCCTTGGTTTTGATGATTGATAGTTCTAATCAAGTCTCTCAATGTGGCCGGCCTGAACCCATGGTACTTCACATGATGGAAGTAGTCTTCAAAAATGTTCAAATGAAAATGTAAAGTTTTGAATGGAAACATACTGGGATCGACGTAAGGTTCTTTCAGATTGTAAAACGCTTTCTGAAGCGGACCACAGTCCTTCAAGCCTAAAAAAAAATAAATTTTGGAAAATGTTCGTTTTTTTGTGGGAATATTTTCAATTCCTTGGAATGATTTTCCATTTTCTTTTGTGCTTGGAAGTTTTCTTAGAGTTTCTCAAAATTGGTCAACTTACTGAAACGCCAGTAAGGACACAAAAAAATGGTTTTCCTCATAACTTTCAAGTATGGAGCTCAACCTTTCTGAAACTCCGATAACTCCAAAAAATTGTATTTCATACAAGAAAGTCTCAATCTAAAAAACCTTTTTTTTTCGTACAAGGCATTTGGGCCATTTTAAAGAAGATGTGCCCAAAAAACTCTTTCAAAGCTGATTGGCCAGTACTGTATGGTTTTTTTTTCTGAGTTTTCGTGGGATTGGAAATTTCAAAAAATAAAAAACTGTTCATCAAGTAGCTCACCAAAGCTTTAAGCTTCAAGACGTCTACCCTCCAAAAAAAAAAAACTAACTCGACTGTTTAAAACTTCAAAGAGGATGATCCAATACAAAACTGGAGCCAAGTCACTTTTTGCTAGAATTCGAAATCTCAAGCGAAGTAACATTTTCCCTGAAGGCGTTAAAGTACTGTTTTCCCGCAAAGAAAGAAAGATCCGATTTTGAAACGTAAAAAAGCAGAAAACTTCAAAAAAAAGTTGAAGCTTCCAGGTGGTCATATTTGTAATGGGAGCAGTGTTACAGGTTCTCTTAAGCTCGAAAATTAAGCAACTCTTATTGCTTCCTCGCCCTATTTTATTTTATTTTGATCTTCAAAATGATAAACTCCTGTATGGTCTAAGAAATCATCAACGCACCACCCCTAGTTCTGATGTTGGTGAGGCTCCTCGGATCATTCCTCAGGCTCTTAGCTATTTCGCCGAATTCGATTTGCTCATTGGTCAATTCTTCCATGGTGTGTCTGCAAAAATGCGAGATGATTGAAAAAAAGTTCTGCCTCAAAATATGCAGAATTCCGATAATAATACAAGGATCACTACCCAAAAACAAATGGATCGTTTTGTTGGAATAAACAATTTTCTTGGGAGTCTTGCAGCATTGTTTTTCTGAGAAGAATTTTTCGAAGAAAAAAATCCCTCATTTCAAAAAAGTGAGAGAGTCATAATCAATATAAAAAGTTTTTTTTTTGAGACTCAGCCTTTAGATTTTACTAAGGAACATTTTTCAGATCTCGTTTTCAAGTTAGGACACTTCAATAGCCCGAAATAGCGCTTTTTTGGCCTAATTTGAGTATTTTGCACACTTTGAAGCTCCATAACTCGGAAACAAGATCTATTGCGCAAATTTTTTTTTCTTGATCTGCAATCAGGGGGTCCTTATGTACACTTCAGCAAAATTTCAGCAAAAAGTTCAACCGGGGGGTTGAAAAACGTTCCCTGGTTAGATAGAAAAAAATTTACTCTTTTAAAGTTTTTCCCTCTTCAAAGGGGCGGGGGGAGGTAGTAAAAACGTTCCCTGGTTGAAGAGGTAAGAATATGAAAAAAAAAGACAAAGATGAAACGGTGAAGCTACGGAAATTTTTAGTAACTTTTGGGCAAAATCAAATCAAAACTGCGAAGATTGAGAATTTCTGCTTTTTCTTTTTGGTTTTCGGCTATGATCCTTCTATGTCTAATCAAGGAAGACTTGGTAGCTTTGATATAATAAAAAGAATAAAAGAGAGAGAAGACTGCTAGTTGAAGAGAAGCCACGTTGTTATACGAATGAGATCTATTTTGGTCTCCAGTAGCGGAGACGGTGGAGCCGTGGGCGGGGCTCCGTCGCAGCGCCGGATGACTAACATTTTACGACGATCTGGTAATACAGTCATCGCGCTTGGCATTTTGCAAGAAATCGCTCGAAATGTTAATATGAACAATGTTTTCTTGGCCAGCAAAAGGGTCATTGATCAGATGTCGTAAATGTTCTTGCTCCATGGATTTTCATGAAATTTTTTTTTGATTGAGTTCAAAAAATGATATTCGCGAAAATAGAACGAGTTCATGACTTGTGTTCATCCTTTGGTTCGGGATTTTTTCTTTAGGTCAGGACGAACTTTAAAGTTTTAATTTGGACTAAACCATACTTTTGAAGCTCTGTTTTCTTCAAAAGTGAAGTTTTTTGCTACCTTGTCCTTTTTCAGTAAATTTTTTTGGTTCAGCCGCAAAGAATTTGACGTTTAAAACACCAAGAAGGGAAAAAAAGATAACGATGAAAAAGCTTTCAAAATTCGCTTTCTTTAGAACGATTACTTTTCGCTAACTTGTATTTTCAGTTTCTGCCCTTTTTTGTTCAAGGTCGAAAAGCTAAGAAAAAACAGAAGGAAAAAAACTTAGTTTTAGCAGAACACATTCCGCCGCAAATAGAAGGAAAATCACGGGATTGTTCAAAAGAAATTTATTTTCATCGCCTGTAAGAGAGACTGTGGAGCTATGGGCGGAGTTTCCTTGCAACGCCGAAATCGCAGACGGATGACTAACATTTTGCGACAATCTAATAATAAATTCATCCCTCTTGAAATTTTGCAAGAAAAATTAAAAAATCTAAAAAAAATTTTTTTCGACTGGCGGGTCAGTGACTAATCCTGGAAAAATTTTTCGACAGAGGAATAAAATTTTTTTTTACGAAGGTGAGGGACAAGGCGTTGGTCGAGAATTTCCAAAAACTTATAAACTGCATCATATTTTCGATGAAACATTTTTGATTCTTAAGTACGAAAAGTAGGTGGCTTGGAAGAAACCCAAACTTTGAAGCTTTTTCTTCGAAGAACAGTTTTTTGACTTTTCTTTGTGTTTTATTTCCTAAATTGGAAGGGCTTCGAAGTTTGAAACGGCAGAATAAAATAAAAGTGTTCAAAAATGATAGCCTTTCAAACTCCGCTGTCGGTAAATAAAACGGATTTTTGTCACCTCATTTTTTTGGTTGCGGCTCTTTTTTTTTCTGAGTCGGAGAGACATCCAACCATTGATAATAAAAAATAGAAAACCAGACAGCGTAGGCAAAACAGAACAGTTGGAGCTTCACCACCGGCAGAAGAAAAGTCAAGGCGTTTTCAGAAATGAGATCTATTTTAGTCTCTGGTAGGGGAAACGGTAGAGCGTGGGCGAGGTTTCGTCGCAGCGCCAGAATCGCAGACGGATGACTAACATTTTGCGACGATCCACTAATACAGTCATCGCGTTTGGCATTTTGCAAGAAATCTTTGCAAAAACAATTATCTTCTCTTGTCAATGTTTTTGGAACAGGGACAAATTTCATTAAAATCTACGGGAACAAAAGTATCCCGTGGAAAATGTTTCACACAGTGGCTGCTCTTATTCCGGCGCTTCCACCTAAGGTCTCCGGGAACCAGCTACGAAATCAGCAACATTCTAAGTCCGTCATATTGCAACTGACCAGATTACGACAAGAAAAAATCGAAGAACGATATAACCATGTATTCAACTTGATCAACTACGCGTTTGGACTTCTAGTTCTCCAAGGGCCGTCGTTCGATAGAACTTCATAAATTTTGGTTCACCGCCTAGTCATTTACATTCAAGACTGAAACAACATAATAATAATTGATTTTTTTCTGTCAAATTTTCGTTAAGTTACATGTATCACATGAAGAAAACTTTTTTTCTTTGAATTTTTTTGGAAACTCTCTTTAAATTTCTTTCAATCAGGCTCTGTAGATGAAGTTGTCCACGTTGATTTTTGAAACTAAGCCCGAAAAATTCTTTCCAAAAAAACTATAAAAAAATTATGAGCTTTTTAATAAAACACGCGAGCTAGCTGAAGGTTCGTCAGCTTTCAGAATTTTATTTACTGTAAAATTCACAATAAATTACTTTTTGTTTCTGCTGGTTCAGCGAAGAAACCTAATTAATTCCGGGAGAACAGGTGTACGGTAATCAAAGTCCGTGAAAACGCAGGCGTAAAATGCATACTCAATTAAATTCGGGAAAAAAATCGGAATTGCAAACGCGGGAAAAGGAAATAATTTTTATGAAAGTTTTTTTAGTTATATGTCCGTCTAGCCTGAATCGAGATTATTAATATTGAAAAAAATTGCAGTGCTGACTATGAACTCTGTTCATTAAATTTTTAGACGAATTTCAACTTGGTTCAGCTTTATTGACAAAGGCATCAGAAGGTAAATAATTACTATACATAGGCGTTTGAGTTTTTTTTACAAGCTTTCAATACCATAAATCTTGTCAAGACTCTGTCTGAAGCTTGAAAAAAGTACATTTTGTCAGGGTTGTTCATGGAGCTTTTGCTTTATGTGGAAGAAATTCGGAATTTTGATAACAAGCCTTTTCCACACAACTTCCCGACACCCTCTACTTGCCTGCTGCAAGCTTAACTGTGAAAAGTTTTTTTTTTTTGAGATCACAAAACCTTCCAACTACATTCTGAACACCTTATAAACCGCTCTTCCAGCTCTTCTGGTTGCCATTTGCCTTTCAAAACTATTCCAAGCAGTTTTCGTAAACATTTGAAAAAGCGTAGCTGATTAAAGTTGATGCCGAAAGCGAGAAGCTGCAATCTTCATCATCGCTTTTTGGACAGGTACAATTGTTACGGTATGTTCTTGGTAATCTGCCCGAGACTGTACCAAGAGATGAAGAGAGCGCAGTCATCATGACGGTACCATGCACTCGGATGAGTAGTCGAGAAGGGGCGCTTACAGAATTGCCAGAAAGTTGCTGTACGCTGTTCGTCATCCCATAAAAGGGGTGAATACAATCGTCACGTCGTTCCTCATTTTCCCATTACCTTCCGTTACGAACATGACTAATGTGCTTAGCACGCGATTTTATTGGATTTGTAAGGTGAGATCATCATTTTCTTTCTTGGTCTTGTTGAGTTATAGAAATGGGTGGGCTGAAATGCAGGTTATCTGAACTCAAAAAGGCTTGCCAGGTTTTTCAGAAGCTTCAAAATACGTCTTGAGACTCTTCACCATCCTCCCTGAACTTTGTTTATAAGTTTTTAGAAGTCGCGTTTTCCACAAAATCACGTCATAAAAATATACATTCCCTTTGAAGTCAACTTTTTAAAATTCAGGTTTTAGGAAGGATTTTTCGTTTAAAATACCACCTACTGTAGAAACGTCTTAGGAAAGATCATATTTTTTGCTTATTCCGCAAATGAAAATTATTTATTTCTCGAGAACAGGTGTACGGTAATCAATGTCCGCATGAACACTGGCGTACAATGCACAAAGATACTTGAGTTTCGGCCTCTGAACTTTTTTCATTTTTATACCTTTTTCACATCTGGATCTTTATTTTTTTTTCTGTTGATGAAGATCTTCATTTTGACGTTGATTTCTAACTTTTTGCACATTTTCGCACTGTCCGCTTTTTGTATTTATAAAGGAAAGACGGATTCATCCTCAAAAAAACTTTTTTGTACCGTTTTTTGTGTTAAAACCCAAAATAAAGTATTTGAAGTTATTTATAAAGGAAAGACGGATTCATCCTCAAAAAAACTTTTTTTGTACCGTTTTTTGTGTTAAAACCCAAAATAAAGTATTTGAAGTTAGAAAAAAAAGAGGTTCGGTCTAAAAAAAGTGAGGAAAAAGCGAAAAAAAGTTTACTACCGAGTTCTGGAAAAGAAAAGACATTTCTGAGAATCTGAGGTAGATCATGAAAAACTTTTTTTGCGTTTTTATCATATAAAATTTTTGAGAAAAAAATGTACGGTAATCAAGGTCCGCGATAACACTGGCGCATATTGTGCACACATAGGCCTCAAAACGGTTAACGCGAGAAAAAAAAAATATATCTTTCGTGTTTATTATTCTATCTTTTTTTCGTTTTTCATGCTTATAGGTTCAACTCCGACGAAAGTCACTTAAAAATTCTTTTTCCTAAATAACCTGACTTTTTTTCAAAAAAATATTCAATCTGACTTGATTCATAATCTTTCTTGATAAGCAAGAATACAAAGTTTCCTCGGAAATCCCCGAACTTCCGTGTGCAATTTCGAACTAGCTTCCAATTGTTCAAAGATTAACTAAAAAGACAGGATTTTCGTTCATATGAGACGGTCGCCATGTACGTTTGACGAATTGCGCAATGAGTGTGATAAAGAAAAAGCTTCCGGTTTTTAGTGGATTAACTGGGTCATTCAACATTTTCTGGACATTTTATTGACTCTATTAACTTCCTCCTTGATTGATACAGTAGTCTGACACTGTTACAAAATTATCCACAACTTCAATGAAGATGTGCAAGACGATTAACAAATCAAAACAATTATCAACCATTCAGATTTTTCGAAAACACGAAGAAAACACTTCTCTGAAACTTTTGAAACTCTTACCTTCAACTTTTAAAGAACGATTTCTATTTATATTTTCATTTGAAAAGTAAATTCTTTTTTTCTTTTCTTTGCTCTCACCACTCGTTCCAATTATATTCTCTTTTTTATTTGAAGAAAATAAAAATTTCCAAAATTTTCTTCAAATTGAATGCAATTTTAGTTACTTTGCAGTTTGAACTTCTGAGAGGCACGAACTTATGATATTTCTGAGCTTCTTTTTCTTGGTTTTCAGATTCCTTAGAATGTGTTCGAAAAACTCCGTTCCCTTGCAGATTTAAAAAAAAGCTTATATATTCAAAATTCATTCAAGCGAATCCAAAGTGTACATGTTTACAAACAAAAATAAAGCAATTGAGATTTCAAATTAAATTCCAGGCCGGATGATGACGGTCTTTTCGATGACCGTTGGTCGTCCACGACCGAATCCGCCGTATCTCGGTCCCCAGCCACCGTATCTTGGTCCGTAGCCACCGTAACCGTATCTTGGACCGTAGCCACCACCGTAACCGCCGCCGAATCCAGGTCCACCCCACTGTCTCTTTTCACGAGCTGGGAAGGCGCTGTAAATGATTAAAATTAGCTTTTTTTTCAATTTGAAGAATTAGAAATGATTCTATGAAGCTGGAATTTTAAAGTTCGGGCTTAAGATGCCTTTGAAATGGTGATTGTAGTGAAAAAAAAGAAGCTAGCCAATCATGACCTAAAAAAAAATTGAGAAAGATCTGAGAGCACATTTTCAGCTTAATAGTCTCTTCATAAAATTTGCGATGATCATTTTCAGATTGGGACTACACGAAATATAGTTTCCAGTCCACTTGCAGAAACTAAGAATAGGCTATAGAACCCAACTTTGGTTCAATGGAAGCCTTTTTTTCTACAATCTGAAAATCTTCCTCAAAAGTTTTTTTTACATGATGTATTTAAAATAAACTGAAAGTATTGTTTCTTTGGATGTTTTAGGCTTTGAAAAAGATCAAATTGTCTTTCATGGCAACTGAACCTTCTTCAAGAGTTTTCAAAAAAGAAAGAAATTTTTTCAAAGCTTTGTGATACTCTGTAAAAATAGGAAAACTTCCAACCTGACAGCAAGGATGACGGAGGCGAGGATGGCGACGACGATCAAAAGTTTCATTTTTTGGACTGACGGAAAACCAACGCACCCAACACCTTATATAGCGCGCAGCCTTGTTTGGGCGTTTTGTTCTCCGATTTGGCCGCACTGTCTCTCTTTCTGACCTCTTCCGCCCGATAGCCCTGCCAAGACGTCGACGTCTCTGTCGCCCGATCACACGTCTCCGCTCCAACCAGCTCTTCGTCAAGAAGTTGCTTGACGTGGCTACTGACCCTCGCCAAAAATGGCTGACACGCATCTCTTTTGTTCAGTAAATGGACCAATTTTCTCTCCATTCGATGTTTAACTTTGAAGAATTCGCCCGATGATATCATCAATCGTTTTTCATTGACCCTATGGGACAGTTTAAAGTGAATTCGACGAGAATTTCGCAGCAAAAAAAAAATTGGAAGAGATGCTCTCTTGATACAGGTCTCTCACATGGAAGAAGGCTGCCCGCCTTGTCTTCCAAACAGTTTCTGCTGGAATGTAGTTGAAAATAAAAAAATTTAGATGAGACAAAAGGGAGAGAAAAATTTTGATGCAAATTAAGTTTCCCAGAATATTCCTATCTTGACAGCCACAAAAAAGAACCAACTGAGATTTTTTGAATGAGGAAACCTATAGAGATAGCAAAGCAACAAGGCACTTTTTTTAAACTCAGAATAGAACCAATTTTGAAAACCTCACTAGGGAACTTTTTTCTACCCATTTCTTGCAATAGATCTCATTTTTGAGTTAGGACACTTCAAAAGCACGAAATAGCGCTTTTTTGGCCTATTTTGCGTATTTTGCACACTGCACACCAAAAACGTTTCCTGGTCAGGTTATAGTTCCTTTTTACCCTGAATTTGAAGGTATATTTCAAAAGCGATGAATTATGTGAAGTTTCATATAAAAACTTAAAAGAAATAAATCTGAAAGAGCACTTTTATTAGGAGACTTTCAAGCCGGGAAGCACTGTCATTAGCGTCAATTCTGTGCGTTTGTATAAGGTCTGCAGTATGAAACAAGAAAAAAACTTAAATTGAAACCAACCATACCTCATTTAGAGCACAAAGGCGCTTATTGTATATCCAACATTGATAAGTCACCTGCCTTTCTTGACGTTTTTTCTACTAACCGCAACTCAAAAAATTTTGAAATTCCTTGTATTTTTCCAACCGGCAAACCATTTTCTGTTCACCCCGACTTTTTTCCTCTCAACATTTATAAATTCATTTCTAAATTGGCTCCCAAAACTGGCTTCTCATCTGATCTCATGAATTTCTATGTTTTAAAGCAGTGTAGAGATACCCTTTCTGTTCCGCTGTCAATTCTCTTCACAGATTCATACTTCTCTTGTATTGTTCCCCAATCTTGGAAACTCTCATACATTGTTCCAATTTATAAAAAAGGAAAAAAGGCTGATCCTGAAAATTATAGACCTATAAGTCTCACTCATCCTCTCGCAAGACTCATGGAGCGAATAATTGCCACCCACATTAAATCTAGCTTCAAACTCAAATTTTCTCCTCGTCAGTTTGGCTTCCTCAATAATCGAAGTTGTACTCTTGCTCTCCTCGACTCTGTTACAAACTGGAAACTTTCTATTAGTAGGGGATTACCAATCGATGTCGTTTATTTTGATTTCATGAAAGCTTTTGATTATGTCCCACACAACCTTCTTATCGCCAAACTAGAAACTTTCGGATTCAATAGTCTTATGGTCAATTGGTTTAAAACTTTCCTCTCTGGCCGCACATCTAAGATTTTAATTGATGGTCTTGCTTCTGATGATAGCTTCAACGTGGTCTCAGGAGTCTTACAAGGCACTGTCACTGGCCCGCTTCTTTTCCTAATTTTTGTCAACGACCTCCCAGATATCTTTGATTCTTCCGTTACTTCATATTTGTTCGCCGATGACTTGAAAATCTCTTCAGATAACCCTGATGCTATCCAAGACAGTATAAATAGATTGCTCGATTGGTCCAAAACTTGGGGCCTCCCAGTTGCGGCCAATAAAACTGTTGTTCTTCATCTAGGCAGAAACAATCCTGAACATGTTTACAATGTTAATGGCTCACCTATTCGATCTGAAACTGTTGTCAGAGACCTCGGTCTCCTTATCGATAAAAATTTGTGTTTCAGCCCTCACATTAATCATGTAGTCAACATTGCCACTCTCAAATCTAAACAGCTGCTCAAAGCTTTTGCTCACTTGAACATCCAGCAGTATAATTTACTATTCAACATGTACGCTAGACCCTATCTTGACTATTGCTCTGAAATCTTCTCACCGCCTATAAATTCAGAACTGTCCGTGCTACTTGAAAAACCTTACCGTCATTATACTAGGCAAGTTTTCATGAGACGTAATAAATCCTTTGACACATACTCCCATCGCCTTGATGTACTCGGTTCTACTCACGTTTTCCGTAGGAGAACTTCTATTGCTCTAGTAACGCTTCAAAAAGTCGTCCTGTGCATATACCACTTTCCTAGCGCAGAAAAGTTTTTCAGTAGAAGTCGTTCACCTCGGTATCCTTTTCATTTGATTCAGACTGGTCCCAGATTTAATAGTTTTTTTAGCACTGTCATTCCTCTTTGGAATAGACTCTGCTCAAGATTCAACCCTAACACGTCTACCACCCGTTTCAGAAAGTTTCTCGACTCGCTAAGCAACGAAGAACTCTTTTCCAACATTCCCTTACGTCTACTGTGATCATAAATCCTACTACGTGTCCTATTCTCTATACCGGTAAATTCGCTCGTGAGGGCTTATTAAAACCGGTCCTAATTTTCCTCTAATATAATTCTTGCTCAAGCTATGTATCTTTATTTGTAGTTCATTTTGTTTTATGTATCAGAGTGAAATAAATATTCAAATATTCAAAACAAATATCTACATGGACTTCTACAAAAGGACTTTTCTTATAAAAAAGAAAACCTTGAATTTTCTTTTTTCGAATTCGTGTGTCTCGGGAATTTTATTTTGACAGCTTGAAACAAAATTCAGCGTATTTCAAATGCTAAGAAAAGTTTTTGTCGCAGTTCTCTTCGACGAAATCTTTGAAGTCCACGGGTTACAATGCATGATCTATCTGAAACAATTTTGGACCCGTGGACACTTCAAAAGGCATTTAAAAACAGGTAATCTTCAATTTTTCGATGCAAGGTATTGTTGGACCAACTTCGCAGCCAGTTTTTAACATTATTCTGCCATCTTCCTTGAATAACATAGCTATTGTACGCGTTTCAATAAGTCAATTTCAGCTGTAGTAATTTTTTGTAGAGAACAAGAAAATATTAGAAAACAGTTTATTCATTTATTTTTCTCTGTTTTGGCGACGTTTGGAAGGAGAAATTATAACCTATTCATTTTTTTTCTAGGTTTATGTTTTCTTTATTTGTAAAAAAAAAGAAGATCAACGGTTTTTTTTGTTGATTTTTTTGTCTATCGGATCATATACGACCACTTAAAACTCATATCCCATGAATGAGGAAACGACTCAATCACTCTATTTTCAAGTTTTTCGATGCTATTTTATAAATTCCGAAGAATTTTTTTTTGTGAGACAAAAAAGCCATGAATAGATGAAATACTTCATTAGTCAATTTTAAAGTTTTGTACGAGATGAGAGAAATGATTGCAAGGTGGGAGTGGCAGGGGATATTGTACATTTTGAAGAAGTTGCTTAACCGCGGATGACGGTCTCCTTGATGATGGTGGTCTGTCCACCGCGACCGAAGCCTCCTGGGCCACCTCCGAAGCCTCCGCGGCCTCCGTATCCAGGACCGCCTCCGAATCCAGGTCCTCCGCCAAAGCCTCCACGGTTTCCGTATCCGGGACCACCGCCGAAGCCAGGTCCGCCGCCGAAGCCAGGTCCGCCGCCGAAGCCTCCTCGGCCGCCGTATCCAGGACCGCCTTGGATCACCGTCTCCTTGATGATTGTTCGCTGAGGAGCAGCGCTGAAAAATGAAAATTTTGGAGGAGTTGAGCAAGATTCGTGAGCGTTTTTGTTGTTCCAGATCGCCGAAAATAGCTTGAATCAAATATTTCAAGGAAAAGTTCACTTGTCAAGCGCTTGAAAAATAGGCAAAAAGGTTCAAATTGAATTTTTTTTTGATGTTTCAAAACCATGATACAGATTTTTGAAATTTATAGGCGATTACTATGACAGTTCGAAGAAATATTGCTTCGGGTGTCTTGCTCACTTTGAATAAACTACATGAGACTCACAGGGTTAAGCTTAACATTAAATCTGAAAAAAATAATTTTGCAAGAGCTCAACACATTACTGTTTCAACAACTTTACTGATATGTACTATTAAAGAATTTTAAAGTTCATCTCAGTTAGATAAAAATTAAAATTTAGATTATTATTCCTCAGGTGGTCAATGAATTAAAGTAGAAACTCACTAGGCGTAGGCGGCAAGGGCGCAAAGAAGAGCAACGACGAAGAACTTCATGGTCGAGAACCTGGTGTGACAGTTCGATTCGCACCTTTTATAGGCGCCCTTGAGATACCATCTTCTTCTTTATTGATCAAGACTTCTCATAGGGAGGCCTCAAACAGACGCCCAGATTGCGCCGCACAATAGAGAGAGAACGAACTTTGATGACGATTCCACGCTTTCAAAACGTGTGAATCATTCAGAAGCTGAACTTCTGTCATTAGGTCTTCGCTGAATGGCAAAAAAAATGAACGAAAATCAGCTCTTTGCCGAATTGTTTTTTTATAATCAAAGAAGGTTTTCTACGAGAATCGATGTGTTCTGTTGGTCATTATTGTAGAGTTCGTTCAGAAAAATTTTGGTTTCAGAGACAAATTTCTGATAAAAAACAGGGATTTTTTTTACCGGTATAAAAATTGAGTTTTTTTGAAACTGCCAGATCTAAATTGCAGCGAATTTCCTCAAAAAAATTACGAGGAGAATCCAAAAATTGAAAAAAGGTCCTATAAGGTTCTCATCAGAATTTTTTCTAGCGTCGGGAATCTGGAAATTATTCTCCGATAAAAATTTTTCAACAATATAATGTTGGTCAGGCTTTTCCGGTGTATTTCGACTCATTTTCCCGCCTTCTTTCTTACTTATTTTTCGAATAGTTTATGAGGCTGAATGATCATCAATATACAAAAGAAGACTCTTTACAGCACTGATTATGATAGGTCCAGGTCTATCATTTTGTCATGTCCTAGTCCCAGGTCCAATTTTTCGGCTATTTCATCTCATAATATTCTCGAAAAAATCCGGAGGTTCGACTTCCAGTTCTCACAAATTGTTATTCTCTTATCGCAACGAGGAAGTAAAACTAGAGAACAGGCTGCAAAAAATTTAGTGTGGTACAGTTCATTTGCTACTTTTTTATTTGTCAAAAGCGAAATTGAAAGGAGAAAAAAGAAAATAGGAAATAATTCATCGTTTGATACGATTCACGGCGTCGACTGGTAGCTCAATAACTCGGACACTTCTTGATTTTTTTTTCAGTCAAGATTTTTTTCGGTCATAAAGTATCTCATGATTTTGGAAACTTTTTCTACTTGAATACTGCAAGTTTTCAAAGTCCTCGACTGCTTAACTTTTAAAAATAAAAAAAAAACGGCTTATTTGAAAAAGTCATGGTCTTGTCCATTCACCGAAACCTGCGGGAGTTTGATATTTTTTCCTGAAGAAACTGAAAAAATTCTTTTTTGCTTGTCGCAACGATTTCCAAAGTCATAAAAAGGCGTTGCTTCAACTTGTTTCCTTCATCCGACAAAGTTCATCACATAACATCCGATGCAGCTTTTCATCGTTCTCTGTACTCGACCAGGAAGAGATCCACCCGTTGCGTGGCCCAGAAATCGTATCCGATTGCGTTGAAATCGGCGTGTCATTGTCTGACCTGTTTGACTCTTTCTTTTTTCATTTGCTTGTAAAACGGAAGTGATAAGCCTAATGAAACAAATACGGAGGTCGTTAGGCAATTTCGTTCCAGTTTTCTTTATTATCAAAAAGCAACCGGAGTCGAGAAACAAACCAAAAAAGAATAAGAAAAAAAATGTATGTTTTTTTAAACATTCTAATTTATTCATACTGAAAGGACAATTTTTCAAGTTTTATAACAGTGGGTATTTTTTTCCGAAAAAAAGATTTTTAAAAAGTTCCTGTTTGGAATGACTGAGTTAACAATGAGAATATAAGGAGTTAAGATTTGAAGTCCAGTGAAACGACTGATAATTTTACTTTTCTTAAAGCGTACAAGTTCCTCGACTTTCATTACTTTATAAAATGTGTGCCGCATTTGAAATGGCTCGTGTACCCGAGAATTATTAAATAGAAACTTCAAAGAATCGCTTCATGTTTCAACGTCGAAGCGATGGATAAAAAGATAAAAAAACCATATTTTTTTCCCACTTTGATGAAATCTGGTGTGATTGAATCAATTTTTTTATTTTTTTATACAATAGAAAGATAATCAGAGAATTAAAAAAATCGCTGAAAAAAATATAATGAAATAGTTACTAAGTTTTTCTCTTTTTCAACCATTTGACCTTGAACTCGATTCCTTCTGTCAGTTTTCCATCGCCGTATCAAAAAGGCGAGCGAAAAGAAACAAAACCGATGCACTTTTCCGTCGTATAGTCGCCGTTTCTGCTCTCGTAGTAAAGTTCTGAATCGGGAAGTTTCACGTGAGAAAAGAAGAAAAAGAGAGACGATAAATGACCTGAAACTTGAAAAATAGACCGTTTCTTCAAGGCTGGAGTCTCACGCGGAACTTTTTTTTCGCTGAGAAGGTTTAGGGAGAAAACCAAAGATATAAAATATCTTTTGGAAAAATGATCATTGAGCCTGAAATATCGATTAAATCGTCTCGAGGCAGTTTCGCTAGATCATCAATAAGTCTAGAAATAAGTCTAGAAACAACCCAACTTTTTTTCCTCAAAAACTTAAAAATCAATCGGAACCTTCGATTTCAAAGTGCGCACTTTTGACTAAAGTTCGCTTTAGCTGGACTTCAAAACAGTCTTTTCGATCGGGTTGATTCGTTTTCTGATGTAATCATGCGTGAAGGTCAGTCGGTACAAACTTAACGTGCCAGCCTTTAATTTGAGTGCAAAGTTTCTGAGGTCATTTTTTGAAATTAAGTTTCCTTCACAGAAAAAATCTGGAACAAATCAGAATGGAACAAAGTTTTTAGAATCTCACGAAAAGGAGAACTCCACTTTTTTGTAGAAAATCGAAACGAAAATTTAGGAAAATACTCAAACTTGAAAAAAACGAGCTCCGTTCCAATTTGAAAGCACAGGGTACCAAAAAACAGCTTCATGAGCGATTTGAAGTCAATTTTAAGCCCTTTGGCTCTCCGGACCAGCCATGACTGAGCTACAAGTTTCTGAAAGAGAAATGAATATTTGAAAACGTCGTCACTTTGTGGCAAGATATTTTCAGGGGAAGGTTCTGTAAATTTGGAAATAATTTCAAGATAAGCTCCGTCCGCTCTGTTCGTATTCTAAGGCACAGAGGGACCGAAATACAACTCAAAGAGCGATTCAATTTCTATTCTTGGCTATTTTGATTTCTTGACTAAGTATGTCTCACCTACTTCTGTTTCTTCTTCTTCCTACGCCTTTGTACCGCTAGAGCGGCGACCCCAGTCGCTTAGCCGAGGTACTATCCTGATATCAGTGACAATCAGTAGACTAGCTCTAATGAAACATTCGTACATTTCTCAAACCCATTGGTTGGGTCGAGGCGGGGATCGAACTTGTGACCGTCTGAGCGTAGACAGACACACAACCTATTGCGCTACTGCGCGCCCCAAGTATGACTCACCTGGACCTTTCCGAAAAAAAAAAATGAATATTCAGAACCAAGTCTATCTTCAAATTGCCAAATGGAAAGTTATGGGAAACGGACGAGAGCAGAGGATGATAGGATTATACACAACAAAGCGTCCTAGAGCGCGACAGATAGAACAACAAATGTGCAGGTGTGCCCACGTCCGACTCACTTCTGCTCCCGTCAGACGCCGAATGCAGGTCGGTTTGTTTAACTGTATGCAGTAAAACGTTCAAGATCAATTTTCATATGCCGAAAAATAAACTTTTCTTGGGTAATTTCATTTTCTGATCTCTATGAAGTGGATCTATTGGTTTTACAGGGGTACAACTTTCTTCGGGAATTTTCTGAAAATAACCTGATTGCTTAGCTCAATGTATCTACTGAGTCTGAGACTCTCAACTTTTTAAAAAAATCTCAGATTTGAATTAGAAAAAGCTGCAAAGCGAAAAAAATTTAATATTATATCAGTTTTTTTGTGGTTCTCAACGAAATTAAATATTCAATTTCTTTCTTTTTTTAATTTTCATGGTCATGCAAGTTTTTCTCAATATTTTTTTCCTGTTTTTTTAACTTGTAATTTATTTCTTTCTTTTCATTGATATAAAAAAATGAATTTTTACGTTTTTTTCAAATTAAAAAAAGGCGTCGAGATAATTAAAACTTTTTTTCAGCTTTCAAGATGTTTTTTTGAGAAATTTTTCAAAATGTTCTTTATCCAAAGTAAAATGACCCTCTTAGTGTGAATCTTCTAATTTTTCCAACAAATTGCTCAAAAAAACGCCTTCTTGCGAGGCAAAAAGACAAAGTTCAACCCGAATTTGAAAAAGCGATTTAAAGCATTTTTTTCAGAGTATCGTTTCATATTATTTTTCTAAATAGTTTAGCAGTTCCTCATTATAGTAAAAAAATAAAAAAATTGATTGAAAAAAATTTTTACTTCAATAAAAAAACTGTTCCAACGTTGGTTTCGAAAAAAAGTTAAAAAAAGAATGGAAGTCTTGAGAAGCAGTTTATTTGCCGTTCAGCTTAACAAAACCTACATGTTCCAACTTTGAAGTTGTTTTTTTGAAAATGTCCATGAAGAGGAAAAAAATAATTATTTGAAATATTCTCAAATTTTTGAGTGCAATTTGCTGTGAAATGAAATTCAAAAAAAGAATTTCAATTAAAAAAACAGCCTTTTTCAATGGTATCATTCAAATACAACTTCAATTTTTCCATCTCCAAGTTTGTTATAATTATTAATCAATGGATATTTATATATTTTAGTCTTCTACCGGAAATGGCGTCCTAAATTCCAATGTCCTCTATTACGATCTCGTTGATTTGCCGAGTTCTGCAAGCGAAAGAAGTTTAGAGGTGGGACCTGTTTTTTTTTTCATTTTTTTGATAGTTTATGGAAGTCGAAAAAATGTCAACTTCATTCAATTTCAACCGGAAAAGGGTGAATAATGATGGAATTTCATAAGTTTTGAGTGGGTGTACGATGTTGTTAACTGTTCGTCAATGTTTCTTTTCTTGTCTGAGGAATTTTTTTTATTTTGAAGTGTTTGCTGCTTGAGAAAAAATAGAGGGTTGATCAGGACTCTTCTCGGAGATTAAGTAAACTCCATTCACCACTAGCTCGAGACAGAAAATACTGAAGAGACTTCGGAAATATGTCTTTTCGCGAGTTAATTTTTGGGTCTCTTATAGGATATTTTTTCAGACCAGAAAATATATGATTTTTTTCTTTTTTTCAGCGTTTGTCCCACTTTTTTTCATTAATTTTTCCTGCATCAAAAATACATTTTTTTAAATTTTTTTAGTGAAACATTTTTCTCATTAAAGGTTTGAATCAAGGAGCAATTCATTCATTAAATTTTTCAAAAGAGAAAATGTCCATTGTCTCGAGCTGAAAGGACGTTGATTCATTCTTGAAAAGCGAAATTTCGTCCCAAAATCAATCAGAAAACCTCGCGGAAGGTGTTAACTGCGCATTGTTTCATCTCAAACAAGTATACCAGTCCAGTCGGCGGCTCCAAGTATTGATTTATTATTCGGTTTGCTGAGGTTCCGCGCGCTGTTCTCTTATTTTGTTTCACTTCAAGTTTCGGCACATTACAGTGTATTTAGGAGAAGTTGTTCGGTTTGATTCTAAAAAAAAAGGTTTCAGAATGTCAGACATGAAGCTATTTGAGATCACCATCTCGTCTCGAAAATTTGAAAAAACAACTCTTGTCTTGACCTCGTCTCAACCTCGTCTTGATCTTGTCTTGATTTCAAAAAAATCCCCTTTCTAACAGCATTCGTTTGGTGGTATTTAGCTGAAAGTATGAACATATTCCTCCGTTTTTGTTAATTTTTGAACATTTTTTAGGTTTGAGAAAATAAATAGGAAAGCGTCATTCAAAAATTCCCCTTTTTTTCGTTTTCCCAAAAGAAATTCTCTCTCAGTCCGCAAAAATTGGCGCCAATAGCCCCAAAACCTCATCGAGCGTATTGAAAAGACTATATTGTTCCTTTATTTTCTAATAAATATTTTTTGATGCTTTTCGAAAGATTTTATAACGCATAATTTTTCTCCTAACCAAAAAAAAAATAAAACATTAACAATAATGATAATAACTTCAAGTTACCGTATTTCATCAAAAATCTAATACCCTCGGAACTTTTTTTCACAGCGAGCAAACATTAAAAGAGCTGAATTTATTTCAAATCCCATGACCTTAAAATGTTAAAATCATGCTAATGGTGACGTTACTTTTCATTTTTCCCGGGCTGTTTCGAGATTTTTTTTCCAAGGTGGTGTGACGTCTCGAAATCCCTGCGTTGACACTTTACAAACACAATTTTTGTTTTTGTGACGCTTATTTTTTGAATGCTCCTCCTATCTCTGAGCAGTTTTTTTTTTCTGATATTTTTGCTTCGGTAGAAAATTTTCTCAATTTTTTTTCCAACTAGTTTTTTTTCCGTTTTTGAGAGCTCTAGACAACTTCCAAAACGATTTTTCTTGGTATTAAAAAAATAATTAATGTTCAAAAAAATCACCTTGAGAATTTGTCATTCAACTTTAAAATTTTTAATTTTTTGAAAAATTGTTTTTAAATGATATAAAAATCTCTTGAGGAACGCGTAAGCAATGATTGTACAACTATTTCTTGTTAACGACCTGATTTTATCTTTTTTCTTCGACTGAATCATGAGTAACAAGGCTCATAAACTGATGATTTGATCGATGATTCTTGGAGAATTGCTGATTTAACACATTTTGAATCAGAACACTTCCTTTATCTTTGATCCCTAGTTTCCTTTAAAAAAAAGAACTTTTTATAAATACTTTTTAATTGCTGTCGTTCAAATTTCAATGATCACCGTTCTAAAAAAATTAATTTTAATTTCTGTTTGGAATTTTTTCAGCAACGTTATCTTCTTTCTTTCAAATATTGGGTATCGACGCTTCTCTGAAAAAGGAATAATAGGCCTCTATCATTACTGGAAATGAGGCTTTTATAATCTTTGTCCCGAATTCCAATGTTTTTTTCGAATTTTCCGCGTATAAGATGTACCAAATTGTGTAATCTTCCAGGACATCGGCTCGGAAGACGATTCTATCAGGGCCATGCCTTTGGAACGTCGGCCGGCATTGAGGTTTGTCGTTTTTTGTCTGACTCACGCGTGTTCCAGTGCCCTCTTCCCTCGTCTTTCAAACCTTCACCTATTGCAATCGGTCTATTTCCGCGTGTGCTTTGAGCTTTTTTTGTTTTATTTTTGCTCATTATTTTCTTTGTTTCTTCTCATCAAATCGTAGTGCTAACTAAGGAAAGCGGGCGATAAGCTTAGGATTATGGAAAAAAAAACAAAATTGAAAACACTTGTGGAGTTCTTGAATTGCTCAAAAACGGTTTATATGCTTTTTGAAGCACTTCTGTCTCATTTTTCACTGTGTTCGGCCTATTGGTATACCTCTTCCTCAAGTTTTATTCTCAATAAAAAAACTCGACGCCAAAAAACCATTCTCTGTACCGGCAATTTTTGCAAATGGAAAAAAGAAGAGAAATGAACCAGTTCTGTCCTCCCAAAGTCCAATTATGTACTCCCTCAAAAATCAAACATTTTGGTAAAAAAAAATAATTGCCCTGAGGATAGGAGTTTTGTGGGAGACCAACCGACTTTCGACCAATTTTTGATCTCTCTGGAATCGAGCGAAAATCTTTTTTATTGAAAACGAGAACCGTCGGTTCAAATCAAACTATTTGCTCTTGCTACTTGAGATTTTCATTGGGAAGAGAGAGATGAAAAATGAGCGGAAATCATTCTGCCTTTCCTTTTTTGAATCACTTGCCATTTACCAATAAAAAAATTCGGTGCTGACGTAGACTTCTATTGAATGTGAATTTTCTTTTTGATCGATCTTTTATATTCCCCTCGAGGTATCGCGCGTTTTTATTCGTTTTCCCGCCGAACGGCGAGAGAATCGCCGCCGTCGGAACACTTTCCGCCTCTTTGTCCGCGTGGATGTCTTCTTTTTTTCTTTGATATACTTACAATTGTATGTTCTACAGCCTTGACAAAATTCATTTTTTTGCTAGAAAAAAATGTAGACGAGTCGAAAAACTATAAAATGAGTAGAAAATAGTCTAAAACATGAGCATCTCTTTAATGAGAGCTGATAAAATTTGTAAAAAATCCGAGAAAAAATCACCGGAATGATGCATTTCGAGGCAATTTATTTTTTGAAAGCTTCAAGGTTGAGATTGATCGACTTCACTATAGTTTTTTTTTTCCTGGCCGAGACTCAACATTTTTTTTTTGAACTTTCTCAGCGTATGCGAATGATAAAAGGCAAAATTGTATCAAATCTATTTTAAACTAGTTCCGTCACAGTTTTTCCCACAGGTTGTCTGTTGAACGATGTAAAAAAAGCTTGGGAAAATCGAAAAAAGTTCCGTTTTCACTGATAAGAGCGAAACACCAATTTTTCACCTAAAATTCAGCGGATGGTTTTATCAATAAAACCATTACTTAGAGATGGGGGGAGGTATTTGCAGTGAAGAAAAAAAGTCCAAATTTATCTGAGCTCGACTGTAACAAATCAATGAATGTTCATAATAAAATGGAAAACTGAAAATCCTTTTCAAAAGTTTTCTGAAAGAATATCGACCAGAAAATCATTTCATTCTTGAAAAAGACTAGCCAAGAAAAAAAATTTAAATTTTAAGTTTTTCAAAATATTTTTCGAGTTAAAAGGCTGATACTTAAAAAACCGTAAATTCTCTTGCGATTCAATTAAAAATGGAGGTTGATTAAAAGTTATTGATAATTCTGGTTTGTTTCCTAAGATCATTTTATGTCGATTGCTAAAACTCTAAAAGTACGGGAAACCTTTTCAAACCGAAGAAAATCGAGCCAGATCCCTTTGAGCAGATAAATGAAACGTTCAGGACGCTCAAGAGCAAAACCACTTTGCCGTACATTTTAACATTCTCTCTAGAGCTACGTCAAGAATTTTACAAAAAAACAGCGGTGGAAAGGTTCCGATGGATCGGCAAAACGGAGTGCGCGGCTCAGCGACGCTTAAGTGTTCTGTTCGCCTGTGTTTGTTTGGTCAAAAACTTTCACCCATTGTGCCCCCAATAAACGTGCGTCTTTACCTCACAGCTGGTTCCTTCTAAATATGGTTGCTTCTGCTCTGAGTTGTTGCATTTGTTGGATGATTGCCCACTTTGGAACTTCTTGTTTCATATGTTTCCAGGAGTTTTGAACGAGTTCTTTTTTAAAAGGTTGCTTCGATAAATTTTTAGCGTCAAAGTTGAGCTCATTTTTTGTTTTCCACTTTGTCCAGCTTCTTTTTTTCTGGATGATTGGAACTCTACTCTTTCTCAGAAATAGACGATTTTCGTCAAAATGAAACTTTAAACTTTCCTTTCTCTATTCATCTAGATTAAAAAAAAATTTTTCTTCATGAAAAAAATTCATGAAAACTCGAATTATAAATAGCTGAACTATTTTAGAAGCGTTTTCTCCAGATTCCTTCAAGAAAAAAAATCTTCTCCAAGTTTTCCCAGCATTTTTTTTTCATGATTCTCTTCTCGTCATTTGGATAATTTCCCTTCAAAGCCCCCCCCTCCATCTAATTCTATTTTAAAACTGTTTCAGACGAACGAACGTTCGCAGGACACGAAAAATTGCGGAAAAGACAAATAACGAAGATTTTGACGAAGACGAAACGGTTGGTTATAATTTTTGCTCGAGAAAGTTGGTAAGAGTTTCCAGATCCTGAAAAAATTTTTACGCCTTTGCACTCTTTTTTTGAGAATGGACCCATATCTTCCTTTAAAATACAGTCAGACGATAAGAACAACAAAAATATTTTCTTTTGTAATTAAAACAGTGGAATAAGTGAATCTGCTCGAAGTGAAGTTATCAGTGTTTTGAAGTGAATAGAAACATTCAGACCGCAATAAGCAACCTTATCTCCACTGATAAAACCATATTTTTTTCTTTCAATTAATTCACTTGGACCGTTCATAAAGTCTTAAAGGTTTCCAAGCCTGCTGATGTTTCATATTAACTTTTTTCTTCATTCAAACTTCATTGAAATTTAGTGCTTTGCTCATTTTTGACCATATTTCTAGAAATAATTTTCAAGAAAAAGATTCTTTTTTTTCGCTGTTTTTTGGGTTTTAGGGAAGGTTCCAATCATTTTTTTACTTATTTTTATAACACGAAACATCATGACGCCATTAAAAAAATCTTTGCGATGAAAAACAAAAATTTCAGTTATAAAATATTATCAATTTTAATAGGACCCGAAGGTGAAAATTAAACATTTCTCACGATATTCATTTGACAATAGGCGTAAATTCATTCGAAAGTGTCAAAAATTTGAAATTAGCTCACATAAGCCCAAAAAATTTTTGACAAAGGGTAAAAAACTTGGTAAAACCATCATAATCTGAAAATTAGGCCTATCTATGTAAGAAACCGCGAATTTTATTAATATCCTCGAATAACTACAGAAAAAAATTTCACACAAATAGATCTCATATAAAAAAACTATTTGGACCAATTACCCAAAAATTAGCTAGTTTCAAAGTGAAAATACTTTCCTTTTGAAAAAAATACACTGCTCCACATAATTATATATCCACCTGATATTTTTTTCGAAAAAAATCGAATATTTTTGAGAGTTTCTGAAAAATCTTCTTGTTGTCAAAAAGATGGCAATTTCGATCAGATTAACATAGCTATCAACAAAATTCCTATTGAAAAAAATGTTTTTAAAAAAATTTCAATTTTTTTCAAAAAAACCGAATTTTTCCGTTCCACATAATTATATATCCACCTAAGACTTTAAACTTTTTTTGAACCAATTTTTTTCCGGTTTTTTTGTATCAGTTATCATTTTTCTTATCATTTTTTTGTTTGAAAATAAAAAAAGAATAAGAGCAAAACGATTTTTCGAAAAAAAGTGGGAGAACCTTGGCTTTTATCACAAAACGGTCGCGGTGCTGTTTTGTACTCCAGCTCCACAGTCATCAATGTGAGGGTTGAATTTCCATATGCAGGATTAACTCAGAAGTTTTGAAAAAGTTTATCACAGAAAAGATTCCTAAATGGGCGTCAAATTTTGAAAAAAAATTTCAAAAACCGTGAGCGCCTTTGACAAAATTATCAGTTTTTTCAACTTGAACTCGCTTTTCTCAGTCATTGAGCGGAGAAATTCTTAATCTGCAATGCAACAAGGCTGAGAAGGGAATCTGAAATAGTTTAACTCAGAAAAACCTGACAAAAAAAAATCTCAAAGCTGAAAAAATTTCAGAGAAACAAGAGTCAAAAAAGGATATTTCGTGATTTCGATTGTGTTGACTTTCTGTTTAATTTTTTCGCTGAATAAGGATAATTATGGACTATTCAATGTTTTTAAAACAAAAAAATATAACTGTAATCTTCAATCATGAGAAGAAAAAAGTAATTTAAAATTCGAAGAAAAAAAAGTTTAGATCCCTATGAACTTGACTTGAAATCCCCTTAGTTATTTACCGCATTCGGTCATTCTTCTTTACTAGAAGCAGGTTTTTTTGATGAGACCGACTATTCTTGAAGTAAAAAAAACGATTTTATCTCAGAAAAAGTTTACAGAAATGGTCCGAAGACATTTTAAGTTTCCAACTTTTGGCAAAACTGCAAAAAATTCATAAATGTTATCGGAAAACTCCCTCCTTTCAGTGCAAAGAAATATTTTTACTGAAGTTTTTTTGAACTTAAATTGTTGCTCACAAGTACAAAGGTACTTATGGAATCAAAATATTCACATCATAATCGATTCAAGAGTAGCTGATGTAATGAAGAGCACCGCGACCGTTTTTCTGATTAAATCCAAGGTTCCTCAACTTCTTGGAAAACCTTTTTTTGCTCTTATTCTTCTTATTTTTCAAACAAAAAAATGATAAGAAAATGATAACTGATACAAAAAAACCGGAAAAAAATGATTCAAAAAAAGTTTAAAGTTTTAGGTGGATATATAATTATGTGGAACGGAAAAATTCGGTTTTTTTGAAAAAAATTGAAATTTTTAAAAAAAATTTATTTTTTTCAATAGGAACTTTGTTGATAGCTATATTAATCTGATCGAAATTCCCATCTTTTGACAACAAAAAGGTTTTCAGAAACTCTCAGAATATTCGATTTTTCGAAAAATCTCAGGTGGATATATAATTATGTGGAGCAGTGTATGTCGAAAACTTTTTTTTTCCGGTCAAAGTCCAGAAATCAAAATTGCACCCTTATCACACACACACACGTCAAAACAGACTTACTCATACCTCTTTTCTGGAAAATTGATTTCGAAACAGTAATATCAGGACGAGCCAGAAGGCTTATACGGAAACCACTGATAAGACCAAAAACTGCGCGTTCAACCCTACTTTTCGCTTCCAGAAGCTAGTTTATTGATTTTTTTTTCAATTTGTTCGGATTTTGTTTTGTTATTGATAATATTCCAGAACTGTCGTACTTTGGAGCGACGGGTGACCAGAGCCCGACAAGTTCGCAGGACGACACTCGAAGAGAATAAAGCGCAGATTGCCGCGTTACGCGGCAAGCGGCTTTTTGAGTCGGCTCTCATTGTGAATATACGAGAAGAGTGAGTTTCAAATTTTGATATAATAATATGACATCATCGGTTTTTCATTAAAGTATAAATTTCAATAATTACGCTTCAGGTTATTTTTTTAATTAAAGTTAATCATTCATCATTTTTTCTGATTTGAAGTAATTCTTGTCAATATTATTTTTTTCAAAACGTCAATTTTTCAAACATCAAGCCTAAAAAAAGTTGATTTTCTAAAAATTTTTTTGAGCGTGTATTTTTGTTTGAACAAGTTTTCAAAAATTCAAACAAAATCTTTGTGAAAGTCGAGTTATTCATTGGGATTTGTATGAAAAGTCTGATTTATAGGAGAGCCATTAGTTTTTTGAATATGAAAAACACATTTGAAGAATTTTCTCCACTTAGAACCTTTTAAAATTCTAAAAATACATTTTAATTGCCGTTATATTTCGTATTGGATGATCGAATGATAAAAAAATCATTTCTATTTTCGAGGAAAACTTCCGGATGGGTTGAAAACATTCAGTAGTTGATCGTATAAAAAACTTCACCATTGCGTTTACCCGGCGCTCATAAACTTAAGGCTAATGGAAATCGAAATTCTAAAAAAAAAACGGCTCCCATCGATTTGAAACGTTCGAAATTTCTCGTTTCTCAGATTCATCGATGGGAAACGAACAACTACACCTGTCGTGAATTTCAGTTTTCCCGAGGAGCATGGTTTTTTTCTGCTCATTTTAAAACCAAAAATAATTATTTCAGACGACTCTGTCCCTCCAGACATGATATTCCCAGACTTTTCTCGTGTAAGTCAATATACCAAGTCCCAATGGGTCGAAGACGAAAATTATATGGTCTCGTTAACGGATAAATTCGGCCAGAGGTTAACTCTATCTATTTTTTTATTTGAAGAAAAAAATTTCCAGGAAAAATGCCTATTGCATCAAATACTTGCCGATTTATAACGAAGAAGGTAGTTTAAAAAAAAGAATTGAAACAGGAAATAGAGTTTTCAGAATCGTGCTCTCGGTATCCCGCTGTCTTGACAATCGTCTCACCCATTAGGAATCCAGCTTTTTTTATCTGGATTTAGTGGCTCATTCTTTGAAATACGCCAGTTCTGACGTCAATTCTCTACAGAAGTTTCTTGAATCAATCTACATGCAGCAATATCCTGAGAGACCAGGTGTGGAAATTTTTTAGATCTTATTTTTCAATGAACAAAAGTTCAAAGAAAATTTAATGAGTTCGCTATTGTCTTCTTAGAATCTCAGGGGGGAGCAGTCTGACCTGTCTGCGCTCGCTTGATCACTCTTCACACGGATGAAAAAAAGCGAGAGGGCAGAAAGTTACTTTTTTGAGCGTAGAAACTAAAAAAATTCAACTATTTCTGTTCCAAAAAGATTTTTTTGAGCTCTCAAAAAAATTTAAAAAAATTTAATAAAATTTGCAAAAGAAACTTTTTAGGATCCTGCTTAATGATAGTCGAAAAAGAAAAAGTCGGGAGAGCAGAATCGGCACGAAATTCGGAATCGAGGCGGCTACACCGAAAAAAATTAGCCCTTCTGATGTTATACGAAGGTGAAAAATATTTTTTTGATAATCTCCGAATAAAATAATGAAGTTTTTCAGGATGAGTCCAGAATATACAGTTTGTGTGATTGCTGCTCTTTTGGCTGAGCAACGGGTTTTAATCACGGGTCATTCGGTTGGTTTTTTTTTTAGGTTTTTGATGAAATTTGAAACTCATAGCTAAAAAATCTCCCTAACACCATGAAAATCGATTGAAATACAAATTCTCGGAGTAATCATTTGCTTTGGAGTAGAGTAAAATTGTTTTTGATTTTTTTTGCCACGCGTTCATCAGCCTAAGTAACATTTGGAAGGGTTGATTGCGCAAAAGGTGCGTAGCGGTTACGTTGTTCTGAGGAAAAAAGGACATAGAATAAAATTCAGGGTTCTTTTCAAAATTCCTTCCGCTCATTTTTAGCCATTCCAACTGCGACTTTCTGTTTGCGAATAAAAATAAGCCCAAAGCAAAATTATCACTTTTTTTTTCTAATCGAGTGTGTGTTTTCTTAACTTTTATATGAAAGTATTATCCAGGTTCTCCTCACTTCAAAAGCAGTTCAAGTTTTCGAGTCACTAATGCGCCCTTTGGTTTGGCCGCACACATTCGTTCCAATCATACCGGATAATTTGACGGATCTTTGTCACAATCCAACGCCCTATCTTATGGGAATTTTGAGGTTTGGTTGGTTTTTATGAAATAGTCCTTGAAGCGTTTGAATAATCTCATAGCCGTATTTTTTTTTCTCATTTTTCCTTCCAATTTAGAAGCAACCTGGCCTCGATTCGTGAGATCATCTCAGAGCTAACCAGAGAAGATTTCTTGTTTCGGCAAGATTTTGTGCTTTTCGATGTGGACACTGGCCTCATGATTCCACAACCTTCGCCTTTTCTGGAAAAGCAGGATATGAATCAATGGAGAACAGCTGTGAGTCATGATATCTTAATAACTGACATCAATAAAAATATTTAGAACGCCTTGAATTTCTGCGAAAAGGTTGGAATGCACAAAAAGCTGTCCGCTGCCCTAATAAAAGCCCTGCGAGAAGCTTTAAACGAAAATGACAAAGCTTCTGCCGATTTTCAGATAGATTGTGTACGTATTTTCTATTGATGAAACCGAAATATTTCTTTTTTTAGGCGATGCAATCTTGGTATGCAGCGTTATTCGGTCATTATCGAGTTTGTGGCTGTCACAAAGAATGGAATGATACCACTAAAAAGTCAGTTTGTTCCGAAAATTTATATTACTTTACTGTTTCAAGATGTCTCATAACCAACGCAGCTTCGAAAGCCGCGTCTTCCTACTTGAAATACTTCACGGAGACCATTATTTTCCACGAATGGATCAAAGAAAAGGTTGGGATCTACCACTTTTTGCCCTTTCTTCCACAGAATCAGACATTGAGAAAGGGATCCTTTTTCTGTCACTCATGACGACCGGCAGAAACAAATGCATGACTAATTTATGGGTTAGAGAGGTGAAATTTCAACTGACCAGAACGCAATGAATTTTTGATTGACACTTAAAAGATGATGCAGAATATTATTACTATTATGGAAATTGGGTTTATTTCCAACAACTTCCTTTATAATTTTTTTAATCACTCTTTTTTTGTTTTTCTTTTTTTTCTGACTAAATGCTAAAAATTTTGAGGTCTTTTCTGCTAATAAAGGAAGAACTATAACCTATCGAATCTAATAGTTGTACTTAATGAAAATCTTCACAATGTTTTCCGATCAAATTCTTATTTTTGATTGGCTTAGAGGCTCATTTCCATTTTTTAAGAAAAATGAAGGAAATGTATGCATTCAGGTCCGTCTGAAAAAAATTCTCCAAACGGCTTCTTAAAAAATTTCATCTCTAAAATCTAAAGGAAAACACAAAAACAAAAAGACTCCTCAGGTCTATTTAGAAAAGAACTGCACTTTTCTTAAATTTTCTGAAAGTATCATCTCAGATAGCGGAAGCCAAACTAACGCCGTCGCTATCTCAAGCCAACGAGGACGACACGACAAAAATGGAGAATTTATGGCTGGCGGCAGTTCGGTCAACAAATCCCGTTTCTCCATTTTCCAGAATGGTCAATAAAATGACCACTGCCCTACATCTTTCCTCTAGAAGACAATTTTGATTGTACTATCCTCGTTCAAAAACCCACAGCTTTACCTAGGTGATACTCCAGTTTTGATGTACAAACTTCAAAAAAAGGCCAACTATTAAAAAAATATTTATCAACTCATATGTTATCCATACAAATCACAAAATATTTGAAGGGCTACAAAGGACTTGATCGATTGACCCAAGTACAGTAATTTCACAGTGAAAGCTTTGGATATTATCAGCGGAAAAGTGCAGTTCATTCACCACTGCCTGAACGGATTTCGACTTCTTCGTGCAATTTTTGTCCCAGGAAAGCGGCAAATGAAATAATAAAAAATGGAAAATTTACTGGAGAAAAAAGAAAAAAATTGAATAGATACACCGATAAGTTATGCAAAATAATTAATTGATCTTTAAAGGAAAAATAATTTGGCAGAAAGGAGGAATGTACAGGACAGATATCTATGTGGGAATTGAATAGCTAACCTGAAACTATCGGTTTTTTTAGAATTCGGTGGATTTTACTGGATTATGTGTTAATTACGGTCTGAGCCACGAGATCCTGGCGTTGAAGGCGGCGGAGAGCCCATGCTGGCGTAGATCGAGCGGAGTTTCTCGCCCCACTCCTGAATGATTTCCTTTATAATTCCAGAAAAATATTCAAGGTTCTTTTTTTTTCAACAGGTTTCGTGCAAAAAATGTTTTCTTGCTCTCAACCACTTTGTATGGAGCTTTTTGGAAACACTAGGAAACTGCATTTTTTTTCCTGCAAACTGAAATTCCACAAGAGGGACGAGAACGACATTTATCATAACTTCAGAGAGTTTCCAGAAGATTGAATTCCATACAAGAAAGTTGCGATTGATAAAGCGCTCCTTTAAATATTTTTTGACAGAGCTGTGTTTCAGAATATTTTGCTTCAACGTTAACCTAAACTTCTAGTCGATGATTTTCTTGATCAGTTTTCAGTCGCATTTTTGACTACACTCAAAAATAGCTGTTTTTGTCGCTGAAACTAGAAATTTGACTTTTCGAGGATTTTTGTGGGCTTTTTATTATGATTTTTTCCTTCGCGTTCCAACATTAAAAACTTTATTTCATCGTTTTTCGTGTCGGGAAATTCCTAAACTCAAAACTCACAACCGACAACTGCGAGGTCAAACTGCCAAGAGTGCCACAAATCGAGTCGTTATGGACGCTGAGCCGTTCCGCGTTGTTGGTTTTGTAAAGAGCCGGATCACGTCGCGCTTTTTCATAGCCGAGGAAATCGCGATATCTTTTCACCTCCTGCAATATTCGTTTTTTGAATTTTTCATCGAAAAAAAAAAAATGAACTTACGTCATTCAAATCGTCCAATCTGCGACTGACTTGTTCGAGGCCTTTGCGGGATGTGTCGCATTCCTGAATAAAAAAATAAATTGCAAAATTCTGGGAAAAAAATTAGCAATTATGCGGAATGAGATGATTGCAGAATTTCCCATAAACTGCTCTCAAAATTTTTTTATTTTTCAAACTTCCGAACTCATTTCATTTCAAAATGAATAATTAAGTAAAAAGTCAAAAAGTTAACAGCTTTACTTCATTTCATTTTTATTCAAGTTCAATTTCAGCTCGACTTTTTTGCGAATTTTTTCTCTTTTTCGAGCTTAATAGTTTCAACAAAGTTCCAAAAAAAGTCTCTCTATTAGAGTATCTTAAAAACCTTAGCTCATGAATTTCCGACGTTTTTCAGGAAAAAAAGTTTGATTTTTCTCTTATTTTTTTGTGTTTAATTTTTTTCCTTTTTTTAGCATCTGCACTTTTTGAATCCCATAAAAGAACGGGAAATTTGATGCCAGTAGCTGGCTTGAACTTTCAGCGCAAATGAAAAAGGAAAAATTGAACTTTCAAAGTTATTGGAAATCGCTCGAGATAGTTTTTTTCTTCGAACAGGTAACTTTGTTTGTATGAAGACAAAAAAGAAAACTTTTGAGTTTTTTTTTTCGAATTCACTTCTAGTATTTCACTATTTTGGCGGTTGAATTTAAACATGATCCCAAAGGAAATGATATTTTTTTGTAAGGTTTTAAATCTGAAAAAAAGAAGGAGATTTTTCTGCAAACTACGAAATTTTTGTTCAATCCAACTGAGGACACTTCACAGTTTCAAACCCCCGAAAAGTTGACAAAACGGACAAAACTTGAACAAAATTTATTTTAGGACTCATTCCATCTCATAATTTGAGTTTGTCTTCGAACAGATGATTTCAGTTCCGGCTTCAGTTTAAAACACGAAACTTAGTTTCTTTTTTCTTCAAAGTCGATTTCGAGTCAACATTTTGACCTTTTAACTTTTTTCTCAGCTGTACTTTCCTAACTTCATTTGCGAGGAAATTTGATGTTCATGCTGGCTAGAACTCAATAATGTCCATGAAGTAAACAAAAACGAGGCAGTTTCAGAGGGAGGAGAGGAGTTTATTTCATGGAGAATTACTTATTTCCTCATCGGACTTTTAATTTTTTTTTCCTGCTTCATAATAGCTTTGTCGGCAGAAGAACTTGATGTCTCTGCTTATTATAAGTTGGAAAAGTCCACGAAGGATACCAAAGCCGTTATAGGAAATCTATGACCTACAATTCGCTATCGTGGGACGAAATTATGACAAATAAATCTGTGGTATTTTTTTCTGTTTTAAAGACTGTGATCAAATGATCGCAAACCAATGGTAGATTTTAGCTCTAAGAGGAGGAGGGAAAATTCCCCTTGTAAGGCGGAAACTTCAGCTTCAAGATCCCATTTTTCGTTACCACTTCCTCCATTTCTTACTCCTGTACTCCCATAACTTCCTAGACAAGGAAATTTGATGCTTGCTGGATCTCGAGAACGGCCATAAAGTTGGAGTGGAGCATAAAAGTGATGTCAGAATGCTCTCAGGTTCCCCTGCGAGCGGAAAAAGGCCGTGTCGTCGAGAACTGACGACTCCTTGACATAAGAGCGGACCAAATTCGTTTAGAACGCGCTTCTCTTCGCTTCGTTAGGACTCGCGCCGCTTCCGCGACTTTTTTGGTGCTCTTCTCTCGCCACAGCCGCCGCCAGTCATATTTGGACACCTCGAAAGGCACATGTTTCATGGCTTGATGGCTTCTTTTTTCCATCTTTCGGTTGAGAGGAACCCGTCGGCTGAAGTATATCGCTTCAGGGGATCCAGAAAAACAGCAACGGGAAGATAGATTATCTGCCGCCAAGAAAAGGAAAAAAATTTGTTTTTGTAACATCATTTAGGCCAAATAGATCACATGAGACCATTTTTCATATTTTGTTTATCTTCACTGCGCAACCCTCAAAAGAAACCGCTCCTCAGGAGTTATAACTAAATTTTGGAAGCTCCGAAAAAATCGAATTTTTTGAATTTGCAAAAAGTTACTACGTTTTGGGTACGTGAAAAAGATGTGATAATGCGAATAGATGGTGAATATTGTTCTTATATCTTTTTGATAAAAGCGTTCAATTAACATTGTGTGATCCCTACATGACTGCGTAGTGGATCGAAGCAATAGTTGAAGATTTTTTTCAAATTTTTTCAAGGTTTTAGAAGTCCAGGAACCTTAATTCGAAAAAGCTCAAGATTACATTTTTAATAACTGACAAATCCCAAAAGCTGAAAAGCTGCGTAAGTTGAAGCCGAAAAAAGATACTTATTGTAAAACGCTACGCGACCGCGTTGCACGCTTTGAAAACAAGAATCTCTCACCTAACTTCATTTTTTGTCATTGTAAGAGATGTAATTTGTATCTTGTTTCTTTCAAAAAAGATTTTCATAAATACATAAAATCATCTTATTTATCCACAGAAAATGACTGACTTTCAGAGCCCAAGTTGATTTTGAAAAGTTTCCCTCTTCGAAACGAGGAAATTTCACAGCGAAAGCATGAAACCAAGCATCTTTTGTTGGCTGGAGCCACTCAATATTCAAAGCAAGACTCGAAAAAAGGTTGAATTTCCGGCCAGCCGGCCAGAATCTAACGCCTTCTGGCCGAATTTCTTTGTTAGTTTTCCATAGCCTCAAGTTGATTTCCGCTGTGTTGAGAAGTGTTTTTGAGGCCAAAATTCGAAGAATCCATTTGGAGAGTAGTTTTATTTGACTAAGAAAAAGCATCAGTATAGGTTTTGAAAAAAGGCAAATAAGGGTTTTTTGAGCTTGAGAGACTATGAAAATCTCCACTGAGAGTTTGTCAAGTTGTTTATTTTTTGGGATTGTTGAAATTTTAGATTGTTTTGGGGAGGATACTGCGAATTTTTGAGCTTCAGTCGTCAGAAATAGCTTTTTTGAAAGATTTCGCTCTCTACTCAACGAATCTAGAAAGCTCTCAAAACGAAGAGATGCAGAAAAATTGATAACAATTCAAAATTTGTGAGAATGAAAAATAGGTCAGTAAAATTGCAGTCTTTAAATAAAAAAAGTTAACTTCAAAGTTTTTTTAGAGTAGAATAGAAACTTATTATCAATAGAGCACAATACATAAGATTTCAGAATCAATTTTATCAAGTTTTTTTACTGCCTGCTTTTTGCCCAAAATTCTTTGCGAATTGTTTTATTTCACCAATTTTTCATTATTTAGGATGTTAATATAATCAAAGAAAATTGATCTCATTGAAGAAAAAAGTTAATTTTATCATTTAAGTAAATTTCAAAAGTCTCAATAAGTTGGAAAATCCTAGAACTAATCTTTGAAAAAGGTCAATTGAGTTCTCACCACCGTCCCTTTATCAAGTTTCAGTCTACGCTAGGAAACCCCTTTTTCCACTGAAAACATCGGAATTCGGTTTGCGAGGAGTGAAGCGCCGCCACGTGCCAATCCTCCTTTTTTTTCGCTTTGTTGCTCGATTTGCTCGGAATAAAATATGGAAAAGAATAGGTCCCGCAGACGTTTATGGCCGTTGCTTGAAATTCGAGACACCGCCTCCGTGGGGAGCACCGAATAATTAGTTGCAAACAAATGCTTCTAGACAAAATTAACTTTTTGCGGTGCTCTTTGTCGTCTTGAAATATTTTTTCGAGGAAAAGGGTATGAAGTCGGGTGAAACAAGAGATGAATGTTTGATGAAGCACGAATGAGTTGGTTCCGTTGATGAAAGTTGACAAGTTGCACTTCCATGTTCAATTGGAAAGGACTAGACGGCAAACTCAAAAAAAAAACAGACGATTCAAGAAATAGAAATCAAAAAAGTCAAAAAACGAAATTTAGTTATTTTCAAAACCTTTTTCTAAACCTGTTTGCAAAAAACAAAAAATTTTTGAAAAAATTTTCTGAAACAGGAAAGTCATGCAGAAGTTCGGAATGGCATGAAATTCCATCGAAAACGGTTTTAAATTGTTAAAATCAAGCCATTACTAACTTAAAAAAATAATTTTTCTATGTTTTTGCTTGATTCGATTGACACACTCAAGTTTGCTTTTTTTCGAAAAAAGAAAAATCATTTCACTCAAAATTTTTCATATCGCCTGATTTTTCTCCATGTTTACTTAGCCAGTGAAAAAATGGCCTCTCTTCCCCCAGAAATTGGCAGAAACGAGTAAGTTTCACAATTTTCCGCTCCAAAGCGTCGAGAATAATATGAAAAATAATTGCTTCCGATTGAAGTTTTCATCTTCGCAAGTTTTTTTCTTTGCTCGAGAGCTGCATGAAATAGGCAGAGCGAGAAAAAAAACAGCCCAAAAAAACTTGAGAATGTGGAAGAAAAAGATGGAGGAGCCACTCCAAAATAAAACAAATTTCAAAATTTTCTAGAAAAAAGAAGCGGCTGTTAGCTTTTGAAAAAAAGTAACCTTGTAGTAAATTTTCTGAAAATTAATTGATAAATTGAGTTTTTTTGAATTCGTTCCGAAAATGTTTCACCGGAAAAGACGAAACTAAGAAAGAAAATGCATTGAGTTCAGTCTCATCCTAAACTTGGTGCACAGCCCAACGTGACAGATTTAGGATCAAGATAAATGAGAAACTCTACGTCAGACGCTTTTTCTTCTTTTTTTCTCAACTCGAAAAAGTTTCAGAGCATTCGATGACCATGAGATTTTTTCTCTTTGAGACTTCTCGAAATTTTCAAAGATTGGATGAAATTCCATTGTTTAGCCGGAAAAACGGGGAGTTTATACACATCGACCAAACAATTTAGTCTGAGAGAATGAGTCTGCTTTGAACTTTTTTCTGTTTTTTTCCTTCCAGTGTATATTAAAAAGAAGCGTATTTTTGAACTTTTTGGTCTTTTATCCTAGCAGTTATCATTCTAAAGACTTGGAAAAAAGCCCATTTTCAGCAGAAAACTAATAAAATAGAGTGAAAAATTTAAAAAAGTTTGTTTCGTTTTTCAAACTCTTTTGTTGGAAAACGTTGAAGTATCCAGCTCAAATGCTCAAAAACCTCGTGAGAATATGATTATAAGAAAAAAAAAGAATATTCGAGTTTTTAAAGTTCAGGCTTTGTACTTGTACTATTTTTGAACTATAGGAAGCTAAGCATCAAAAACAAAAAAATATGAGAAATTATCGAAATAGTATCGAAAATTCCATCTTCAAAGTCCGAAGCTGAAAATTTTTTCAAGTTAGTTCTCTGCGAACAAAAACGCCGGAAATCGAGTGTAAAATTTTTTCGAAGTTTGAACATTGTGGGCTGTTTTGCGTGAACACATGTTTGAAACAAATCACAAGAATTCACAATTGAAGCTTTCACGTCGACTTTTTCGATCTTATTTCCTGACCTCTTTCTTTTTTCTCCCGGCTCAACTTTCTCAGGCTCACTCTCTCAGAAAAGTGAACTTTCATAGATCTTTTAAATTTTCTTTTCAAAGACCAGAAACTGCTGCGTGGCTTTTTTCTCTTTTTTCCGCGCTCAATCAAAAAAATCCTCCTTCAAAAGCGACCCAGCTTACCCGCCCGACAAAAGCCCAAACATTCGGAAATTTTCGACCAAAGTTCTGGGATTCATCAGAGATTCCATGGGAAAAGCTGAATATCCGCGGAGCAAAAGGTTCAAAGAATCCGCTCGGCCATCTAAGTGAAGGAAGATTGCGCGCAACATTATTCACCTAAGGCCCAGGGGGACGGAATTCTACGCCATTTTTCCTTTTTTCTCTAAAAGTTCAGTTCTATCATTCACATGTCCAGTAGCCAGAAAAAACTATACACAATACGTATTTTTCTCAACATTTCTGTTTTTCAATAGGAACCACTTAGAACCGCCGATTGTGTGAAAAAGCCTCGTTTATTCTCGAATTTCACTCAAAAATATCTCTTCAAGAGCTGGAGCATCGAAATAAAACCGAGCCTCCCATATATTTTTCCGAAAAGGTGATTCAAATACTGAACCAAAAAAAAGTGAGCGACTTGTTAGAAAAAAAACGAAAACTCGTCAGAAGTGACACTTACACCCCCCAGATGCTCGTTTTTTTTGGTTTCTTTTTCTCTTTTATTTTGTTCGCGTTTTCAAAAAAGATGCCGTCCCAAAGCAAAAGGAATCAATCAATTTCAAGGCTTCAACTCGAGTGTTGGTGGCGTAATTTTTGGCCGAAAAACATGTTGAAGGATTGGCCGAGAGGGTTTCGAAGCTGTTTTTTGATTGCTCAATTGAGAAATTCCTCCGGAATGCATTCTCGATTTGGGTTTGGTTGAAGAATTTTATTTGAAAAATTCGAAATTCGATTTGTGAGCGAAATCAAAAAGAAGTTGGATTTTTATGCTTTGTGGTTTTTTGCTTGATTATGCAGGAGAGTTATCATTTGAAAACTGAAAACATTATCAAGTTTATTCGGAACAGTTTTTCCTTCATTTGAAGAAAAAAACTATTTTGTTTTTTTAAAGCTCAAAAATCGACTTCATTTTTCATTCTTGTAACTTTTTCTCGCTTCTTGACAGAAATGTTTTGTGAAAATTAAACACAATATAAAGTGAGTAGAAGCTCAATTTCAACTTCATTCACGTGAAAACTAAAAAAATACGCTCGAAATTCGATACTTTGAGCCACTTCCGTAACCATTCTAAAAATAGCGGATGGGGCTGAAAATCAGCTTTCGATTCAAATCAGAAGTTCCCATGAAGTTTTTCGGCAAACTTAATTTGCTTCATCAGGTTTTCTGTTCGAATAAGTTTGAGGCCGAGGCCACCTGCACTTTTTAGCTATTCATAGGTCTCTTCGGAAGGTTTTTGTGGGATCTATTGAAAATGGCGAAAGATCATCAGGTTTCATTGAGATGAATGAAGACAACAGAAGTTTTTTTTGATGGTTTCGAAATCAAATAAAATGAAAATAATTTTTTTAAGATTGGCTTCTTTAAAGAAAGGAAAAATAATAGTGAAGAATCTCAAGGAAAGTTGAAAGAAGGACAAACCTTGATGACTTTGTCGACTTGTCGGATCTGGTCCTCGATGGTGCCGCCGGAGTTCATGGCGAATGCGCTAGTGCAGCGCGACGAGGGGGCCGGCCTTGCACGCGTCGCGTCTCTGGAGGAGGAGGCGTCGCGGTCGCTCGCGAATCCTGCAATCGCCGAGTCTCGTCCGCGAATGATGCAGATTTATGGGGCAATGGCCGCGGGGATCATTTCTTATTGCTCTCTTTTTTTGCCAGTTTCTTCGAGAAAATCTTACTTGAAAGTTTTTGAGTAGGAAGGGACCAAAAATCATCAAATCGAGCTGATTAGTTCGGAATAATTAATAGATATTACAAATTTTAGTTTAATCACTGAAATATTTAATTGTGTACAAAACTTTGAAATTAACTTCGAAATTTCTTACAAAAAGGACCTAAATTTTTTTGAATAAACTAACGAAATTTTTCTATTATGTGTCTTTTTCTAATTTGAAAAAAATAAACTAAATCAAAGATTCATGTGCTAATAAGACCTGTAAATTCGAAAATATAAAAAAAGCATGGTTTGATTTTTCCCTTGCAAACTTCCCTCGGTACTTGATGATTTTACGAAAAAGTTTGAATGAACATGAATCAAGAACTGCATTCTTTTCAAGGCTGTATTCAAGTTTTTTTTCAGCCGAAAACCTTCTGAGAAAAGTCAAAAATTTTATGAGACTCTGAAGAAAAAGTCATGTGAAGTTAAAAAAAACCTTAATATTTTAGTCAAAACCGTGAATAAAAATAATTTTTTCTAATCGCATGCTGATGAGAAATTCTCATATTTTTTTAGTTTGAGAAATTGATTATTCGTCCGGTTTAGGAGTGCTAACTATGGTAGCTTCGTTTAATTTTGTGCTATCCGTCTTATTTTTTTTTTCCAAAACCCATAACCTATTCCAACTCCATTAAACATTACAAGCTATTACATATTTAAAAATTAAATTTATACTTATCATGCAGAAAAAAAAGGGTTGAAAAAAATTTTTCGAATCAAAGTTTCTGCGGTCAAAAATTTGAAGCATACACAAATTTCAGTTAGACAGAACTATGAAAAATTCAAAAAAATTTTTTTAAAAAGGTTCAATATACTTCCTGATAATTCTTTTTCAAACTGTACCCCGTCAATCTTGGTTTTTCAATTATTTTCTTATTTTTAAACGGGTTTTTTTGAAAGATAAATTTCAATAATTTTTAAGATTTGAGACTACCTCATGACCGTATTACCAATTTTTTGAAAAAGAATGAATTTCACAACTTCTGGTTTAAGTTTTTTTTTGAGTTTTGCCGTAAAAATTGTGCGAAAGCTGGAATAAATTAGAAAAGACCAATTAATTCAGATCTGACAAGCTAAAAAAAAACACGACCAAAATAACTTTAGTCGCTTTTTCAACTAGTAATCTCTATCACTGCGTAGCTCTGGCTTCGAAACTCCAAAAAAAAACGATTATTCATCTTTTGCTCTTCCCCTTCTTTCAACTACATCAAGCGTCCCGAATCTTCCTGGAAACAAAGGGGAAACGTTTTGGGTTTTTCGAGCGATTATAAGTGCGTTCAGTTTTTTTCCTTCCTTTTTGCGGAACTTCATTCGCGTGACTGAGACGGATTCAAGAAGTTGTCAATTTCTGCAAGTCTCTCACTTCTTTGTAGTTCCTCATTGTTTCAGGCCGGAGATGAATTCAATTTCTGCTCGCTCGGACTTTCAAAGTCTGAGTTTTGAGAGAATTAGGGAATTTGTGAACTGAAGGGGTTCTCAATTATCAAAATTTCGCAGAATAAAAAAAACATGAAAAGTACAGGATTAAAAAAACTCACCTAGAAGTTTTTTTATTACAAAAGAAATTTTTTTCTCACCCCAATAATTTTTTTGAAATTTTTTTGAGTCAAGTGGTTACTTGATTGTTCCTTTTTTTGGAAAAATATACGAAAAAATAAGACAAGCTGTCCATAAAAAGCTTTACAATAGCTCAGAGATACCAGCGTCATTTTTCAACCTCTTTTTCTTATGAAATTCCTTACCAACCAAATATTGTTTCGGTATTCTCAGTTCCTCAAATTGAAAGAAAAATTTTTCCTCCATTTTAAAAAAACTTTCATTCAATCCGAAATGAAAAAAATCTGAAACGGCGAAAATTTGAGCCTTTCTCCAGCTTCGAAACTAGGTTTCGAATTTTTAGTTAGAAATTTAAGATTTCGAAATTTCTCTCAACGCTGACGACTTCAAAAAAATCTTTATAATTAAAAAAACGCCTTGCGCCCTTCAAGATCTGAAATTTTCATTTTTATTTCAGGAAAGCAAATTGGTTAGAACTAAAGACCCATTATGTGGCTAATAACATTATCCATCTGATGGCATATAAATAATGAAATTGTTCATTTTTTTCTCTTCTTTCAGCTGGCTCAAATCTTAATTACCAAGCATGAACTGACCATTCCGCTTCAAGGTGCTGAGACGGTCGAAATCCGGTCGGTCGACGCTCATTCCAATGGCTGATATGATGTGGAACGCTGCAAATTTCAATTTCAATACAACTTGAAGTATGATATCATGAACAGGTGAAAAAACGAAGTTGCAGAATAAGGAAAATGGAAAAAGCCTGAATTTTTCGAGGCAGAAAAGAGCAATGATAAAATAATGAAAAAAATTGGAGAGGAGGTCTTTTAACTTTTTTTTTTTCCAATTTCCTCACACCACCCGGTTGTATCCTGTTTTGCAAAAGGAAACTATAGGAGGTCCACAGATAACAAAAAATTTTAAACTCTTTGGAAAAGGTTCTGATGAAAAAAAAATTGAGCAAAATATCAATGAACAAAGTTGATAGAAGGTTTAAAAGCAGAATTTTCGAGTTAGGTTTTCTTTTTGAAGTTGAACTGTAATGAGAGACAGGAGCAGTAAAAAGGGATTTTTTTCTTAAATTCTTCCTTGTTACAAATTTTGTGTTACAGACTTTTTACGGGAGGCAGAAACAATACTATGGGGAAAAGTCGCTCGAGGTCGAACGCATCCACCTAAAAAAGTAAACATTACAAAATACTGTTTTACGGTTTCAAATTTTTTGAAAAAGTAACAAAAAGCCAGAGCTCATTTTGACAGGCAGGAGGTGATTTACCTACATCAAGACAGTTAGAATGATGAAAAATAAAAAAGGCTTCGAAAATCTCGCGAAAAAACTATAAATCCTCTTTGAGAGCCAATGATCATTTTCAAATGGCCCAGAAAAAAAAATGGAGTCCCACCCGAAAGACAAAAGAGTTTGACGGCGAACAATACCGAGCTAAACTGGACAAAAGGCAGAAACGAAAAATATGAAATGGAAGAAGATGGCTGTTTTCCATAGAATATTCCTCTTTTTCATTGGCTACTAGAAAACCCGAGAAAAATTGCACGTTTCTTATGTACTCAAATTAATTTCTGTCGCCGAAACCTGACGTTTTTCCATTTCAGTTTGAATGATGAAAATTCCAGTTAGAAGTGGAGACTGCTCTGAAACTGAAAAAAGAGGAAAATCAAAGAGAAAAGGTGAGGAAAATTGCAAAGAAAAAGCTTCATTGCGAAACATAGGAACGCCCGGAAAAGGACTTTCCGGTAGCCCGCAGCAACTAAGTCACACACACAGACAAAGAATTTATAAATTTTTGTCTTCCTTAAGCCTCGAGCGAAAGAATTTGCTTCCTGTTGATCTCAACTCATTTATACTTCCCCTCGCCGCAAATTTTTCTTACACATTGCCGCTTTTTGTTTTGTTTTTTTCACACTCTTTTCACAAAAACTTTGACTTCAATCCATCTAACTGCCACAGGTGAAAAGGAGCAACCTCAACAATTAATTTCTTCTGTTTTTCAGCATTTCAGCCTTGACGGGTCACCTCAAAACAAAAGAAAAAAAAGAGAAGAAATATAGAAAATGAAAAAAAGTTAGTTCCTCCGAAAAAAATTAAAAAAAGGCGGGTAAAAATGAAAAAAAGCGTAGGAAGAGCCTTTACTTGCAGAACAAAAAGGAAAAAGCACAAAAATCAGCAAAGACTTCGAATTTTTTTCCGGAAGTCAAGTCTCTTAGAGTTATCAAGATCAAAAAAACTTCGCAGACTCGAAGATCGACTTTCTTTTCCGAAGACGTTTGAGAGTGAGGAAAGTCAGCTTTTTAAAATGAAGCTCAAATTTCCTGACAGAAAAAAATTATCGCTATATGTTGAAATTATCGAAAAAAATAATCTTATTTATTTATTTATTTTTTTATCTATAACTCAAAATTTCCCTTCAGAAAATGACTACTTCGAAAAAAAGTCAAAAAAAGTGGGTAAAATTTGGAAAAATGGAAGAAAGCCATTACTACCAGAACAAAGGGAATAGCGCAAAAAAATCAGCTGAAGTTTTTTTCGTTCTTTTTCAGAAGCTTTTTTTCTTTTTCTCCAGGAGTCAAAATAACAGAGATCAGAAAAATGAGGGTTGTTAAAATTTTTGTTTAGTTTTAAAGTTTCTACTGAGACGCTTTAAGAAGCAAGGAGGAATTTTATCAAGGTTTTTGAGCCAGAAGCCGCTTCCAGTGTTTTTTTCTGCGCCATAAAAAAACTTATGGGCCTTCAAAAATTCCAACAAAGGCTATGTCGATATTTTTTTAAAAAAATACAGGGTTTGAAAAATCAAGAGATATTGGTAAAACTAGATGGAAAAAAATTGAAACTTTTCATTTTTTTCACAAGTTAAAGCTAGAAAATCAAAATATTAAATTTTAAAAATTCATCGGAGTCTCTGCATTTTTAAAGGTGACGGAACAGGTGGCACTATCCTGCAATACAATAACTTTAAAAGTTATAGAAAAAAAAAAATTGAATGCGAAGGCAACTTTCAACCAAACGCAGCCTTTTTAAACTTAACTTTGAAGTTCAAAAGAATTGCGAAATAAAAAAAAGGCAAGAAAGTTCCCTTCAAAAGTCAAAAGTCCAAGCGACAAAGCCAGCGAACAAACCCACGAATCAGACATAAAACTTGGTGAATAACAATCCAGACACCAAAAGTGCGAGGAACGTCTGACCGGAACACACGGAAACGAGAAAATGAGCCCGCGCATCCTCGAAAAAAAGCCGTGAGAAATGGAGAAGCCAAAAAAGAAGAACAAGAAGGGAAAAAAACGGGCCGGAAACACAGTGAAAAATGACTTTTTTTCTTACTAAGAACATCGTGTAACGCTTGGTAGAAGATCAGACTGTGAATAATGGAAAAATTTATTCTGGGGTCTCAATAATGTTTTTTTTCAAACTGTTTCGAAACAAAACTTTCCAAACCAAATTCTGCACGACTCCATTGTCGCACCAAGTCGTTTCCAAAGCAAAATTTACTGGGGCGAAACATATTTTTTTATTGAGTTCACTTGGCCAAAAGGTTTTTCTTATAATTATCATTTTTTTGCGAAGAGGTAAAAATAAAAATAAAGGCCGAAATTCTCAATTTACGGCTACTTTTTTTTGATTATCTTGCTTTTAAAGTAATTTTTTTGTTCGAAATGAAATGGTTTGATAAAATGATATAAAAAGTTTCGAAATGTTGGTCTTCAGAATCAAGTGAAAATATGCGCATTTCCCCCTTTTTACAGTAAATATTTTCTTAACTTGAATCTATGACATTCGAATAGAACCAACGGAAAAAAGCCTTCTATCAATGAAGAAATCCATTTTTTTCGACTTTAAGGGTATGTTTTTTTGGCTGCAACTGTTCAAAAAACTTTGTTTCATCTTATAACGAGAAAGAAGTCAAAAAAAGGTATGAAGAAAAACGAGAAAAAGAAACCGAAAACGGCCTATTTCTCACCGACAACACCGAGAAACGCTTGTGAGCACATTAAAACGTGAAAAATGAAAATCAGTCCCGAGGCCCAGGAACTGGCGTCTTTTTCTTCTTCCTTTTTGGGTGCATAAAGAAGATTAGAAGACGTGCTGCAACTCAAAGAAAGAAGCTAATGACCACCGTCGAGTTGTTGTTTTCGCGGACAATGGAAACTTGGGAACGCCAAAAATTTATCTGATATTTAACTTTTGCTGAGAAACTTGTAGATGGGAAAAAAAGTTTTGAAAATCTTTAAGAAAAAAATTCTACTAATTCACACGGGAATCTTCATCTTTCAATAATTGTATTCAATAACTTCAAGAAAAAGTAAACTCGTTTTCATTTTTTTGATGAAAATAACATTTTTGGTCGCATTTTGATTGGCTTAAAGTGGAGCTGCTGCAACTTCTGACGACAAGTGGTTAAGCTCGGCTTCATCTTTTCTACAAAGAGTATTGAAGTTTCTTTTGAGCTTTTTCAACTATAACTTGTTTTTTGTAAGATACACAAAAAAAAGCAAATTTAAAACATTCAGCTTTGATAAGAATACACATCTGAGGTTTGAAAATGTCCGAAGAACAAAACACTGTCCTTTTTTACAACAAAAATTTCACTGAGATAACTTCCAAACCGTTTATTTCAAAATATCCCAAGCTTTCAACTAATTGTTGGTCACAGGAGCTCTCCAAAACTTCCTTCTCAAATTTTGAACGGAGAAGTAAAAAGCACCTTTTTGAATTTTTTTTTTTTCCAAATTGAGTTTCTTCTGAAAAATTCCCACTAGGATTTTTTTTCTGAAAATCAGGGGCTGACAAAAAAAAGATAAAGGAGGGGTTCTTTCCGCTTATTTGATATTAATTGATAGTAGAGGGTGAGTAGGAAAAAAACGGGAAGTTGAACACTAGGAACCTTGGGAAAAAGTGAACTTGATAACGAATAAATGGACAAAAAAACCGAAAAGTTTCCAGAAAAAAACATGCATTACCCGTTCCTTTCAAAGGATTGAAAAAGAATTTATTTTTGAAATGAAGAGGGAAAAAAATTAACAAAGAATAGTGAAATAGGAAAACCGTGTTCTTCGATTTTTGATGAAGATGCATATGAAGTCAAATATTTCTCATTCCATATTTTAACATTAAAATTAGGAAGAAAAAAATAAGATTGACTTATGAAAATAAGGCCAGAAAAGGAAGAAAAAAAAGTTGTCGAAAACATCGAATTTTGGGAGACTTCTTTTAAAATTGATAAATAGCCTATGTCAAGCTGTTTTTGAGAAATGACGAAAAGAAGCTTGCAAATGCAATGTTTTTCTTAGCCCGATTTTTTCCCTAATAGGTAGGAAGAATTTCTGAACTTGGGCTATTCTTAAATTTCAGCTGCTTAATGCCAATATGACAGTTAAATGTAAGATGTAAATGAGTTTCTGATTCTTCTCAGCTCTTAATTTTCAAAAAAGATGAGAATGGATTAATAAATTTGAACAGACTGAAGAAAGTGAGTTTTTTTTTTCTGGGAGGGTGAAGAGAAGAATAATGAATGTGAATAAATTTTTTCACATCGTAAATTAATTAGAAACGTGTGGGTCTGCATACACGAGCGGAAAAGGATCCTTGAACTTGTTCAAAATGTATACGTCTTGAAAATGTATAGTACGTACTTATTTTCCGATTGATATGAGATATCAAAGACAATCATAACCTACTCCAGAAATATATACTTTTTTTAGATTTAAGTTTGTTGGACAACTGGGAAGATAACGGATTTTTGGGAATTTCCTGTCAAACTTTCTTTTGGTTAAAAAAACATTTTTTTGAATGCTTTTTGACACGGAAAGTCATTTTACTTTGCGGTTTGGGTTTTTACAAATTCGCTAAAACACTTTCTGAAGGTCCAAATAGAGATCCCTCATAGTCGCTACCTGCGCTAACTTTTTAGATTTGAAGATATTTATTTTTTTAATGTTTGCGTTTAACACAAAATTAGACCCCAAAAAGAAGGTCATTTTGCCTTGCGACTTAGATTTTTATATATTATATAAATAACTTTTTTTCCAGCCAAAAAGAAGGAGAAAAAGCGAAAATTTTATAAATTTCAAGCCTGAACGGTTCATTTTTCAAAAAGCTTTTTTTCTCAGAAGCCTATGGGGTTTAGCAGATAATCTCTCTTGTTTCCAAGTACTCTTACCCGGGTCTATAAGCCACCAAAAATTCGACTTGAAACGCGTACCCGAGTCCGAGTAGTTCCCTAGTTAGGTTGTTTGTGGAAAAAGTTGTTTTCTTCTGTTTCTTATGATATAGTGAATAACCGTAGACGTTTTAGAAATCGTTTAAAAAAAATAACCGTTGAAGACCTTTTTTGGATCCTCTGCAAAGAGTTCTAGGAAGGGAAATGAGTTTTAGAAAGCATCTTTGAGCTAATTTTTTTCAAATAAATGAATAAAGGCAATCGACCCGGTTAAGTGAGATGATGAGGTAAAAATAAGAGTTGAAGATTGAACAAGCTTGTTTTCTCAGCAACTTAGAGATTGAATTTGGGGAACGGGAAATCAATTTGATGGATACATTCATACAAAATTACCAAAAAAGGCCACTAATTATTTTTCAGATTTTTCTGGCCTGTATCCCTTTGTTTTAGATTTTTCCTAATTGCAACTTTTTGTAGCCCGTTCTTCTTCAAAGAATGAAGCGGTATCGAGGTATGGCTCATCGCTAATGCGAAGGAGTCGAAACGCTGATAGCGGAGTGTCTTCAAGCCGCCAATAAAAGCGCCGTCGTCCCCGTCTTCCATTCGCCTTTTCTTTCCGTTGCCTGCGATGCTCGCCTACACCGCAGCATCCGGTCAAAAAGCCGAGTTCTGTCTCAACGCCCTTTCGGCTCAGAAAGTCGATGAACGACGACAAATCGCGCATCTCAACGATGAACTCGTTAACATTGTTGAACATGTAAGTTTCCCTGAATAAAAAAACTCTAATCTCTTCATTTTTGTTGTCATTTATTTTATCACTGAATAAAATAAACTGGCTATAATCAAAAACTTTGAATTGTTCAAGAAATTGAATTTATCTTTGATGCTGGGTTCTGTTTGAAACAGAAAAACCATCAAAAATCTGGTTAGTTTTGATGTAAATGATTTTCGAATTCCCAAAAGGAAAATTTTAGAATAGCCTGATACAAGTTCAAAGCAGTATCAAAAGTTTTAAAAGGAAGGATTGGAAGAAAAATGACTAAATTCTTTTAATAGTTCGAAGAAAAAAGTAAAGAGGTTTTTTTTAACAATTTTGTTCCAGCTGCACTTCATGAAATCAGAATCAGCGTTTCTTCAACGTGAAATCGAAATTCTGAGCGGAGGACTTGGGAACGCCAACTCGCAAGTCGCAGGCATCTACGAATCCGAAATCCTTGTTAGTTCTTTCATTATTTTTCCTTACTTTTTTTCCAGTCTTTTTCCAAAAAGATTCAATTTTTTTCGAAACTCTTAAATCAAAATACATCGAATTTATACGTGGAACGCGCCGTTTCATTCAAAGCCTGCCTATTTCTAATGTTTTCGCTGTTCTTATCAGTTTCTTTGCACCTTATCGGGCCTCTCGACTCGTCATTGATGACCATGCGCGAACCATAAGAGCATGATATTCAAAAGAATTCCATTCGTATATTATTTTATAGCAAAACGGGTGGCAATGTTATTTCAAGAGATAAAGGAGAATGAATGTCTTTTGAGAGGCACGAAAAAAACGATTTTTCCGGGAATAATCAACTCATCCGATTTGATTTCTACATTATCCTTTAAAATAATTTGAAAATTTTTGATTAAGCTTTTTTTCAAAGAAGTTCTCTCGAAAGATCTTAAAAAAACGTGAAAACCCAATATTATACTTTCGAAACATTTTTTCAGAGATCGAGGCGATTTTGAGCTTGTTAAAATTTTTTAAAAAAACTCTTCACCTCGATTTTTTTCTTATCGTAAAAAGAATTCACGATTTTTCTGGAAAAAAACAATGACAATATTTTTATGGCAACGTAGGTTTACCGTTTCTCACTTTTTCTTGATTCAGGTTCAAATCGAATCTCAAATTTTTGTTTTTCTTACAATAAAACGTGGATTGAAGCGAATAATAAAAACATACTAAGAAAGCAAACCAATGGCGTTGTGTTTTTATGAAACTAAACAAGTACTTATCTTTTAAGAGCCTGAAAACATCTGCTGAAGAGACCATCAACATCAGAAGAGGCTTTGAAAATGAAGCCGCCGCTTTTTCTGTTCAAGTCAACGAGTTGCGAGAGAAATGGCTACAATCAAGGAATCAACAGAGAGGCGTTCCTCCTGATGTCGAGGCCGAGATGGTCCAGCTCACCAACCTTGAAGCTGAGGTTCGAAGAGGATAACTCTGTTTTTTTTTTTCTGAAAGGAAACTTTTAGACAGCTCTGAACCACCGGAAGTTCAAGTACATGGAGGAAAAGTGTAGGCAAGTGGATCGCGATAACAATCGCATCAGGGAAGAGATCAATCTTGTCAAAATGGTGAGAAAACAGAATATGACTCAGAGTTGATAAGATAGTGCGGGTTTCCTAAAAAAGTTCAGTTTTTCTCTACTGATCAAATGAAATTTTCGGCAAGACAGCTACAGAAAGGGGAAAGTCGATTTAGGTCGGACGCAGAAAAAAGTTTGAAACTTCTTTAAAATTCTTTAGAACGTTGCGTAATCTTGATGTTATAATTTATTTCGAGAGGAAAAATCAAGTTTCAACAATTCAAAATTGTGTGACCACCAGAAATTTCGAAGATTTTTTTTTACGATGGTAGTTTTAATATAAAACCTGAATTTCAGAGAAGAGATCAAGAGCTGGTACTCCGGCAGGAGTACCAATCCCATGAGCAAGACCTGTTGAACAGTCTTCGGAACTTGATGGAATCTAACAAATTTGTGAGAGTCCCACCAGTTTTCGAGGAAAATCGTGTTTTTTCCAGAGACTGTCCGAAGAAGCCAAGTTCATCGCTCACGACCGCACCTACGAGCGTCAAACTCATTTCCACTCTGAGATCCGTCGGGAAATCGATGAAATCCGTCGGGACACTGAGGCGGTAAATATTTAAGTTATCTTTGAAATGGGACAAAAAAGACTGAAAATGCAAGTCATGTTATTTATTAATTTTGAGATCAAATGTGAGTCACCTTTTTTCACGTTTATCTTGTTTTTTGATAGCTTTTCAATGACTTTTGATTCTTTTGAAAAAACCTAGCGGAGCGAATAGAAAGATGAGAATTATGAAAACTAATATTTTTTCCACCCTTTTCCCATGACCTCGACCTCCCTGGCCAAAAGCCGCGTTACGTACGCAACGCTTCACTCATGTCAAACTACCCATCTCATTTTTCAAGACGGGTAGGATTGACTATAACAAAACTCTTCAACTGCACAAACTCTAATTTTTCAAAAAATAAAGTCTCGAAACTGCCCTATTCAATTATTCATTCGGCTTGTTGGTTTTTGAAGGGGTTTTCTCAAAATTATAAAATTTGCAAGTGAAACCTCAGAATCTTTTGGTACATCGAGGAGCGTTTAAACCGTTTTTTTTTTCGCAGTTTCATAAAAAAAAATAATTTCTTTTGCAACAGAAAATCTTCACAAAAAAGTTCCACAAGATCAAAAAGTACACACCAACACCCAAGATTTTTTTGATATTTTCCAGAGAGCGGCTGAATTCCAACGCAGATTGGAGCACACCTACCATGAACGCATCGAAAGAATCCGTCTCGAAAGTGCGGCGCCTTTAGTTGTCGCTCAACGAGCTGATGAGATGGTTTACATCCGTTCAGAAGCTGTCGAGATGAAACGAAGACTCGCTGAACTCGATGCAAAGGTTATCAAACAGGGGTTTATGACTTTATGAAACATATTTTTTCAGAACGCGACCTTGGTCCAGGAAATTGAGCACTACAAGAACATGAGCGCCTTGGAGCATGCTGAATATGAGGCCGTCCTGGCCGAGAAAGACGAGCAGATCGCTAAGATCAGAGCCGAGTGCGTCGAGCTCACCGTTGCGATGGAGCAGCTTTGCGATCGTAGCATTGTTCGTTTTTTTGTTTTGCCTCTTTCCATTTTTTTTTTACATAAGACTCGTCAGCAAAGCACCATTTTTCTGATTTAAATGCTTCTTGTAGGCAAAAAACTGTACTTTCTTAAGAAGAAATCCATCTCATTTTTTAAATTATTTTTCTTCGAAAGTGAAGCTTGTATCTCTTTACATTTTCCCCTCTTTCCAAAATCTTAACCTGACACAAGTAAAACTTGCCGTAAAAGTTTCTCCTTTGATCGTTTTTCCCGTTACGAAGTTTGATACATATGCTATTTTTTCAGAACCTTCAAGCCGAAATCGATCACTACCGTCGACTTCTCGAAGGAGCACATTTGGTTGGCGACCACAGGACCAGTTTCAGTCAATCTTCGATTTCGCGTACTGTAGCTTCCGAGTATCGAGCAGCTCCCCCTCCTCCTCCAGTTCCAGCTCCTGCTCCTGTCTACATTCCCAGACCTATTTCACCTCTCCCTCCACCTGCTCCAACTCATGCTCCAGTCTACAATCCTCCTGTTCTTTCTCCTCTTCCACCGAGAAGCCCAGTACCAATTGTCCCACTCTACCAATCTAAGCCCTACGCCGACTCCCTGAGCTCTACTCAAATTTGGGAGACCAACAGAACTTCTTCGTATAATGCTTCGACGACCGAAGCTGGATCTACAACCGAAGAAGGGACGGTCGTTTCGGTGCACAGAGGAACTTTTGGTCAGTTTTTCACGGTTTTCGCGTTCAAAAAGGGAGAGTCTACAGTACTCATTATTTTTTGAAATCTCAGAAACGTCCTGTGGATTCAAATTTCCGCTCATAACAGATCGAAAACCTCGCTTATCATTTTCAAAAAAAAAGATATCAACCTTTGCAACCTACACGGCGCATTCTTTTCCCATCAAAATCGCAAAGTTTTAATGCTATTGTTCCTGAGAAAGCGTAGGGTTTAAATGGCACTAACACTTGCGGCATGCCATTGAGCTGTCAAGATAAGATACGATTACGCCGAAAACTTAAAAGATGCGAGGACGTTTTTATCTCTTTTGGATGATATGGGTTTTAGAAGGAATTAAAATACTATGGGGGATGAGGAGAAAAGTTTTCGCATAGAAGAATTATTACTTTTTCAGTTGATTCGTCAGCGAACAAAAGCCAAGACGAAGAGAAAATTCAAAAGTGCACACGATGGTTCAAGGGACGAGTGAGGATCACGGTGAGCTATTTGAATGGAAAAACATGGATAGATGAATTTTTCAGTTTATAGGAAAGTACAAAAAAACGGAAAACATGATTTTTCGTTTAAAAACATTTTTTTCTCTTTTTATGTTCTATGAAAAATATTTTTGAAGAGAAACTGAAAAAAACTGAAAGAAGGTCCAGATTTTGGTTCTGCATTTAGCTTTCATAACTGCGAGAAATGAAAAATGATTATAATCGATTTTTGGGACGCAAAACTCTTGTATGACTTGAAATGACACTAAAAGAGGCTTTTCACTTCAAAGTCTTGCATATTTTTAATATTTCTTTGAAGTCCTCAGCCAGGAGAATTGAGCTTGACCAACCTCTAACCTCACTTTTTACTACAAGAGCCTGGGAGCGAAAATAAATTTCAATGTGTTCTTCTTTTTTTGAAGGATATCCATTCATTCTGGGAGAATATTCTTTATTTTTTTATCCAGGACATCACTCCACAGTACATCCGCCTGGAGAACCGCAGCACAAGTAGCCGAATCGACGTCGGCGATTACAGGGTTCACTTTCTAACATGATTCATATCACTGTATCAACATTTTCAGATAACGCACCAGTTCAATGGAACCGAATCTTCCACCACTGTTCCCTACGGCACAATTTTGGAACCCAAACAGACACTCCATGTTAGAAAAAATTCGAAAAATCGCAAAAATTATGAAATTCGCAGATTTACGCTGAAAATTCCAACCGAGAACATTCCAATCTTGTCATCCCTGTCACGACTTTCGATACTTCCATTTCGGCTAGAACGATTGTGTTTGACGCCAGAGGACAGGTTGGTATTTTGTTGAGAATTGAACAGACCTAGAAGTTTTGATTCACTAGCGCAATTTCAATCTGACTTTTTTCTCAAAATTTTTGTCAATTCAGTGATAAAAAATGAAAATGACAGTTTGAACCCTGATAACTTTTTTTCTGAGATGATTCATAATTTTTTTATTTGAAAAACATACCTGTTTGAAGAAGGAACTTTTTCTCTTTCTAGTTTTGAGAGATCAATCAAAAGTTTCCCTGTTTACAGGAGCGAGCCTGGTTCATCTACACATCGAACTAAACAGACCACTTGTAACAAATCCTCATTTATTCCCTCCGTAACTTGCTCAGTACATACTCATATCTCTCCATACCCACGGTCTTTGTTCAAATAAACTGCCGTTCACTTGACTTTCAACCCAAATAAACTTTTTTTCTGTTTTTTTTTGCCTGATCAAAAGTCAAAAAACCCTGAGAGAAGGGTTATGAATCTTGAATATTGGCTTGGATTCCCGTAAACATCATTGAAAAATAACTTGATTTCTTACGCCTGAGACCTTATGATGGCTGAAAAAACCGGAAAAGGGATAAATGTTGCGGATACTTTTCATAGAAACGAATAAATTTGTTATCGTGAGCGTGAGATTTTTCCATTTTTGGACTGAATCTAGTGTACATTGTTAATCAGCCCGATTTTATCCTGGCGAAAAAGTGACGAATCCATAGAATGCTCAACTCTTTCTGTGGGCTCAGCTTTCGGTGGTTAAAAATAAAAGTTGCGGCTGCATAGCTTAGCAATTCCACCTACCAGCCGGTGGCCTGAAATCCGAGATGCTCCCAAGTGCAAATCTATCCTAACAATGACGCTTTTCTTTTTTGGAATAATTGTTTTTTTCAAGTTCAAACTAGATTCAATTCTAAAAAGTTTTTTTAAGAATTTTTTTCGTGCATTTTCATTTTTTTGCTTGGTTAAAAAAAGCTCTTAGAAATTGAAAACTACAGAAACGGATGAATCATCGAACAGTGAATTATTCGTTCCAGTAACACAAATTGCAAAGCTCATAATTTTTTTCGATATTTTCCATGAAATTGAAAATTTCGAGAATTCCGATCTGTATGATATCAGATTACATTTAACACGAAAAAAATCCAAGTTTTTTTAGAACGCCTTCTTTTCGAAGCGGTTCAGTAACCTTATTTTCACTTCTTCGGAGATTTGGTCTTTATGACACACTTTACATGAAAAATATTCGAAAAAAATTTGATGAATAAGTTGGGAAAAAAATACTTCTTTTTCAAACATGGTTTTTGTAAATTATATCAAAGGTCAGCCGATTCTGATCATTTAGAGAGAAATTAAAGCCAATCCAAATAGGCCTTCTTTATGGCCAAGGTCGGCATGCATTTTGAGTTCGAATATTTGATTTTTCACAATTATCAATAAAGCAAGACGTCGTTCATCGTCTCTTGAAAAAATAACTCCCTACGGACCGTTTTTAGCCTCCGGGTGAACTTTTGATGAAAATTTTCTGAAAAGTAATTAGCACTTCCTGATCACAAAGAAAATCTCGCAAAAGATCTTGTTTCAAATTAAGAAGCTTCAAAGTTTGCAAAATACGCAGAAAAGAGCTATTTTGAGCTTTTAAAGCTCCTTAACTCGAAAAAGATATTGCGAGAAATGTTTCCCTTATTTTGGAATGAGAAGGTATTCAAAAAAGTTCGAATAAAATTGCAACCGGAGGCTAAAAAATATTCCCTAGTCAGGCAACTCCAAGATTTTGGAACAAGTTGTTCACATTCAAGAAGAAAAAACACATGTCGCAGGACTTATTTTCGACAGCTTATTTTTCAACGGTTTCATTCAAACTCAGCTTGTTTTCGCGAATCCCATACGTTCAAACCTATTTCGAAAATTCGACAGCAGTGAAAAAACCGAGTTTTGCTCTAACTTTTATTTCACTGCGTTCTCCATTCATTTTATATTCTTTTCCTCAGATTCTGAAAGACTTGGCGTGTGAAGTCCTTCTCAAAAATAACACAGTTGTCACGGGATTTTTCGGAGCTAATTATTTGAATTCTCTGACATGAGAATGTTGCAAACGACGACACGAAGGGCGACAAAGACATTTAGAATTCCTAAATTAGCGCAGTTAATGAGGAATTGCTAGCCTTGTCTGCTTCTTCTCGGCCTCCAACCTTAGCGCCTCTCAAAAGTTTCTTTTTTTTGAAAGCCCTAATCTAATCTCTTTTAAGTCGATTGCAAGTCACATGATACTCTTGACAGAATAAGAGTTTTTATAAGGTTTGTTTTTCGGCGTCAACATCAAAAATCAGTGCGGATCCTGAAGAAATAAATGTTTTCCAGAAACTTTTTGATTTAGACTCAAGGTTCAGTTTTTGTAAAAGCAAGGATTTCAAAATTAGAGAAAATTTGATTGAAAAATTAGTTGTCTTCTTTTCCGGATCAAGATGAATGTCTCTACATTTTTTCGTCCCACAGCGTTTTCATGTCATCTTTTGTAAACCTTAGCAATTTCCACCATACGACCTTGGTGAGCTCAAAAACTTCATAAAGATATTTTCGGAAAGAAGAGCATTTCTGATTCAGTTTATTCAAAATTAATGCCTTTTTCCTTTTCTGTCCTGAGATTGTGACTCCAAGAAGAGTCACACATTTGTTCCAATTCTTTTCTTTTCAGTAGCCCGAAAATCCTATTTAAAGTACCGAGACCTTTTTCGCCGCTCAAAGTCAACAACTTTTGCTTATGATTTGGAGTGCTCGAAAACCTTGGCAAAATCATTCATAGTATAATGAATTTGTAACATTGTTTTCATTTTTCTACTTTTACATGACGAGACTTCGAGCCTTTTTCTATCCCTGAATGAAAGAATTGCTGAAGTTTTCGATAAGACTGAAGTTCAGTTTCTAAAGATACACACTTTCATATTCGGGACAGCCTCTCGGAAAAAAATAAGAGAGTTCGTATTTCAAACTGTGGACCTACTCAAATTGCGTTCCATTTGTTTTTCATGTTCCTTTTTTCATTTTCCACTTTTTATAGTAATGGAAATACGCCTGAGGCTCGACGGATACGAAGCTAATTAAAATATTTGGGAAGGATCGTGAGCCTTTTGCTTTTTTATTTATACATGTTGATACTTGGTCACCTCAACTGGAGCGTCTCAATTTACCCATCCCACTTGTCTTCGTCGGAGGTCCGGGAATAAAAACAGCTATTTTTCAATTCTCTCCGGTTTCAATTACTGGAATATTCTTTTTTTTTCATTTGGTAGTGTCTAGAGAAATTTTGAAGACTATTCTACGTTTTTAGGGATCTCATTTCTTTAAAGAACCATTTTTCTCTCCGATACTTCCACTAGTTAAAAATTGTGAATTCTTTGTTGATATTGCAACTGAAAAACGGAAAGCTCATAATTGAGATTAATAGTGATCTGTCAAAATTACAGAATCATTATAATTTTTTAAATGGTAGTGTCTATGGCAACGTAAAGGCATATTTGGAATTTTTAGGGGATTCAATCGTCTGACTACTCTTTTCAACCTCAATGGTTAAAATAATCATTTTCAGAAATCAGCTCCTATTTATTCTACATTAAATCCTGTTCAGCAAAATCACAAAAAAATCTCGATTTCGTCGTTCGTCATTTTGATATTCTTCGTACAACTAACCGCAAGCTCTGACTTTGTTCTCCCAATTTTTCAAAGCGCATTCGGATATTGAAAAATTAACGCGGGTCAGATTTCATTATCCTTTTTATTCAATTTCGCTCGATTGCCGGAAAAAACGTTCCCTTTCGGTGTACTTTCAGCTTTTACTTTAGCTTTTTCATTTTTTTTTTGGAAAAATTACTCCCAGCTGGTATTTAGAAAAATATTTTGATGAACAAGTTTTTTTCACAAGAGAATTTCAAGGAAATCTTCCGAAAAGCTTGCTTTTGGCCTTTTACAAGATTTTGTTTGTTTAGTCAAGGGTATTGATATTTAATTGAGAATCAAACTGAAAAGGAATCTGCAGCTTATATTTGAAATTTTAGGAGCTCATATAAAAATAATTTGCTATAGATTCGTTATGATTTTCAAAATTGTATTTGCATCAAATCTCTTCTGCAAATTCAAATTAAAAGCTTCAAAGGTCGCTCAATGTGACGATTTTCGAACACTATTTAGTCAGTCTCGAGAATAAAAAATACCCAAATGAGATGCAAAAAGTGCACTTATGGGTAGCTATTTCTGAGCGGAAAACCAAGACGATACTGAACCACTCGACGTTTTATTGCCGGGTGCATATTGGCCGAAAATGGAGCGAGTGCAAACAAAAATCGAGGGTTTTTTTTTCCAGGATTGGTCCGCCCTTTGCAGGGCCTCAGTCGACGGTCAGAAGCTCTTTTCAAATCAGTTCGTGTTTTTTGGGCTTCTAGAGAGAGGCTTGGCGTCATCTCAGGAAGTCTTTCCCGTATTCGTGACACGAGTTCTTGCACTTCACCTTCTTTGCAGGCAAGTTAGCACGTTTTCGATCTTTGGCTTGCAGTCGCCTTGCAGGGCTTCAAAGCCTGTCCTTATTAATATTGCAAGACCAGAAATAGAGGGGGATATTAAAGAAATCTAGGCCGATAATGGGAAAATTAGTGATGTAGTTTTTTGGCACTTGTGCTTTTGTCAAACTACCCGCGACGGCACGAATTTCCGACTGGAATGAATTCAAACAAGCTTTCGAAGATGCACAGGCTCAGAAAACTTCTTTTCCAACTTTTGAATACTTTCACATTCTTGAGTTCTAGACAATTTTTAGAGCCTTTCCCTCATTGACCTTGCAAGACCGGAAATAGAGTGAGATATTCAAAAAATCAAACAGAAAATGAGAAAGAAAAAAGAAGCTGATGTATGCCCAGAATTTAAAAAAAATCTTCATTCTACTTTTGAACAGTCTCGCGTTTTTTGCTGAGTTTAGAACAAGCTTCAAATCTTTTCTCTCATTATTAAATCGAGGCTTCAGGAGTGAGCTCTGAAAAAAAAACTTTTTTTAATGCATATCCAATTTATCGCTAGCTGAAACCTTTTCTGAATTTCTACTCGCTGATTTTCACTGTCAGAACACTCAAAATAAGAAAAAAAAAATGTGCAAGTTCAAAAAAAAATCTCAAGTTTCAACTTTTCTGAGTTTCAAAGATTTTCGCTCATTAACTTTTCAGCTGAAAAAGCTAAATTTAGACAAAGATGCGCGAAAAACCAAAAATGAAGGTGGAAGCCCTTTTGAAGAAGTTTTGAGGCTTCTTTGAATC